AATAAAAGAAAAAAACGTCTTTCTCCAATCTCGAACGGAAGGTTAAATTGGCCAGAGATAAAGTACAATAATTTTTAATTATATACGATGTAAAATTTAAATAATAAAAGCTTAAATAGAGTGATTTTGTTGAATTTTGATAAATTTCTTTATTTTTTACAAGTTTTTAAAATTTGTATGTGGCGCCATCTGCTGTAAGATTTAATTTAAAAATAATTTTTATATCATTAATTATTATATAAAAACAGCGCTTTTTTGACGTAACTGGTGAGCTTGTTTTTTTTCTTTAAAAAAGCAATGTTAAAAACGAGTAAAATTTGTATTAAGTCCGACTTTACTCGAGAACGTGATACGTCACTTTTCTCTATCTCNTATTTACAGTTTTGAAATTTTATTAAATTTAATGAAGAATTTAGCAAGTTTGGAAATCCAGAGTACCGTGATTTGGTTCTGTGTTCATAATATTTTTATATGAAAGGGAATACAAATTTACATCGAAAGTTCATTGTTTTAAAAAATAAAAGAAAAAAACGTCTTTCTCCAATCTCGAACGGAAGGTTAAATTGGCCAGAGATAAAGTACAATAATTTTTAATTATATACGATGTAAAATTTAAATAATAAAAGCTTAAATAGAGTGATTTTGTTGAATTTTGATAAATTTCTTTATTTTTTACAAGTTTTTAAAATTTGTATGTGGCGCCATCTGCTGTAAGATTTAATTTAAAAATAATTTTTATATCATTAATTATTATATAAAAACAGCGCTTTTTTGACGTAACTGGTGAGCTTGTTTTTTTTCTTTAAAAAAGCAATGTTAAAAACGAGTAAAATTTGTATTAAGTCCGACTTTACTCGAGAACGTGATACGTCACTTTTCTCTATCTCCTCGCCACTTTGACCTTTAAGTAGCAAAATTTAACAGCAACGATGTCTGGTAAATAGAAACAACCCTGCGAAATGTAAAAAATTTTGGTTGGTCCAATCCTGACTATAATAGAAAGTAGACGCCGACATATACACACACACATAAACCCGTATATAGTGTACGGTGTTGATGTGTCGGCGTTTATTTTGCGTTATACGCGGGAAACGATTGCAATATTCGTGTTTTGAGTGAGTTTACGAGGTAGTCCGTTATGCATTATTGTGAAAACGATATACGGTGCAACAGCCGTACGTAATTTAAGTAATGTTATATTAATGTTAATTAAGGTAAGCAATGAGAAATACAGATCGTTGTTCCCTTGAGTGGAAAACCAGTTTGGAATACGGGTCGACGACATTATAAAAGTATAAATGGAGAGATTGTTGTATCGAGCATCGGTGGTTCAGTGGTAGAATGCTCGCCTGCCACGCGGGCGGCCCGGGTTCGATTCCCGGCCGATGCATTTTTGTTTTGTACGCGCACAAGGCTCGGGAGATTGACCCGTAAAATGTCTCTCGTTCGAGACTATTTTATTGAGATCAATGTTATAAACGTAATTATTATTTTTTCTATTAATTACAGTTCAATTAATCGTACTTGCCAACGTTTAGATTGGAGAATAGCTGGGATATCGGTAAAAAGACGCTGACAGCATAAAAAAGGGAAAAATTCTTTATTAGCGTTGATATTGCACAATGCTTATATTAAATAACATTAAATTTTATTTATTAAAGGTATTTTTGCGTATAATATCTTATAATGCTTTTGCCCTAAACACTCAAGAGTATGGCAATACCTTTATACTTTTTAACACCCGAATTAAAGAAAGGACAAATATTTTACGATATATACCGTAAATCTATACAGAGATTGATGATGTGTTTCATCTTGATGTGTCATAGTACAGTACATTGTCTTTTTTTCACCATACTGTATATCTTTTCATTTTACCACGCAGCATTGCAGAGACTCTCCTGTATTGCTGTTTGGCAAAACCATCATAAACCTTACTATTTTACATTGTCCATCTTTTACCATTGTTTGAAGGCTTGCCTTTCTTGTGCTGGGTAAAAAATGCTTCGCCTTGGGCAATCTTGAACACAGCCGAATTTCCCTCTCTGTTGCGATTTGAATTCTTTTACTGGGTACTGTTTTTAGTTTTTATATGTTAATAGTTTAAAAACAAAGTACTATCTGGCTGCTTATTGTGAATAATTACGCAATGTAAGGACTCCCGTAGATACTGTTTCCTCACTTCTTACCACTATGCAATTCTTTTTGCACTTTGAAATCAAACTTAAAGGTCTATTTCTAAGAGTTTGCATTTTTTTGACTCGCCGAAGAACAAATAATATATTTTGATAGCTGTAAATCAAAATAACACGTGTCCAACATTATTAAATTCGTTTCTTATTTTAGAACGATCTTGTATAGTAAAAATCATCGTTTTTTTTTTTTATTTATAGTTTTCAGAAAAACTGATTTTGTTTTAAATTATAATAAAAATTGGCCTTTTTTAAAGATTTAATTAGTTTCCTACTGCAAAGAAATAAATAAACTTTAAAAAATTCCATCAATTTTACTGCTCTAATGAGATTTTATTTAAAAAATAACTTGTATATTATTAATAATAAATAAACTTGCGCGTGGCGCCATCTGTTACGAGATTTTGTTATAAAAAACGTTTTATTATTTATTATGAAATGGCAAGGAAAGTGTAATTTTATGATTACAGAAGAGTATTTGAAAATGTAAATGCCGGACGGATAAAATAACGGATAAAATCTTCATTTAGTTTTACCCACTGTCTCCACCCCCTCGACCTTTAACCAACAAAATTTAATCGAATCGATGCTCTTATATACAAGCTACCGTGTAAAATTTCATATCATAAACTATAATTATAGTAAAAATAACATGAGAAAGTACTAATTTTAATTAGAATAATTCTTTTGCAGACGAACCACCATTTGTTTTGTATTTTCATTTTTACGTTCTGTACTTTTAATTTCCAAATCTAGCAATAAAAGAGGCAAATAATTTGCCTTTTAATTTGTTATTTTTATTCTTTACGTAATGTAATAAATTATGGAACAGTTAAACGAACAATAGAGCAATTTTTATACTTTATCTGTGTGTCCTTGTTATGTTTTATTACTATAAACTTTATATTCTTAACTAGCTGCAAGGACCCGCTTCGCTGGGTTTTTATTTGTTCATACATTTGTATGTAATATAGTTTTTTTTTTATATATAAATAAAAGACTGTTTTTCTAAGTAATCTAGAATCTAGCTGCAAAAACCCGCTTCGCTGGGCAAAAAGTAACGATAGTGAAGATTAAGATAATTACATTATAGCTAATCTTACCCGTTTTCACAAAATGCAAGAATTAGGTCCCCCGTTTCCAGACTAATTAGAGAATTTTTACGTCCAGTCAAACGAATTATTTTCAACGTTTCTGGAACGTTTTCAATCGTTCTATAGTCGAACCAATTCGAATTTTATGTTCGAATTTAATTCGAACAAATTCGAAAAAATCGAACAAAACATTCGAAATAGAAAGCCACTTTCAACCACTTTCAAGCCCATATCTCCCGCTCCCTTATAGCTATCGAGACGCAACCACCCCTATGCACGAATGGAGACTTGGGGCTACCACCACATACAAACACCATTCACGTGCGATGTGTAGTTTTGGCGAAAAAGTGAGATATAGGGACATACATGTCCATTTATATATATATATATATATATATAAAAATGAATGTGTGTGTCCTTCATGCATTACCACACCGTTTATCCGATTGCCGTGAAACTTTGGGAATATGTTTAATATGTAAGAGTCCGAATAATAGGCCCAGCCACATAGAATTTTATTGAAACCCCCCGTACGCGCGATCTTATCAAAATCTTTAAACGGATGCTCATCCTTCTTCTGCCGGAAACTACTTCCTCCCTCACCGGATTCTCAACCGGAGTTCTGATGATAGTCATCACTGATAAGTACGATTGGTAATTGTGGACATGTGATCCCTAATATAAAAAGGGGGTTGCTATCCGAAACGGGGATCGGAGAAGTCTCTCAACGAACTACACCCGATCATCTCTCGATCAACCCAACCCAGATCATCATCTGTATCGCTGATAGAATCCGATCCGAACGCCGATCGCCACACCTTGTTGAACGAAGAATCTCTACGAATACGAAATTGAACTCGTCCAGAGGTATGATCGCTGACCATGTAAACTCTCTCTCGGTAATAGGCGGCAGAATATAATTAGAATAGCGTATCCAAAGTTCTGTATGTATTTAGTATAAATGGATTATTAAATGTTCGTTTTTCTTGCATTTTGGGTGTTGTCTATTCGAATATCGCCTAAGCCAAACTGACGACCCTCTCGCCTCCTTTGCCGCTCTTAGAAAACGCGTCCCGATGTTACGGGGTAATAACCTTGAACGGCTATCTCCTGGCTCGCGAGCGAATTTCTGTTGTCGGACTAACGGAAGTAATTACTCGAGTCCGATAGCTCACAAATATATTCCAGCGAAGGTTTGTGGCGTAGTACGATTGCCATGAAGCTTTGGGAAGTTTTTTAATACACTCTCGTGAAGGTTTCTGGCATTTATCCTACGATAGATGGCGCGCGTTTACACGAGCATTCGAGCACTGTGTTCGATCGATTTCAAATTGTGAAGACCATTTCCCCGTTCAAAAAATATTTCTATATATGCATTTGTGAACTGTTATTTACGACATTCGTAAATAGTCATAAGTCGTAATCGATAATCGTAGCCATAAACACTAAACGTAGATTCGTCCGATTCTCTGCCACGCTGCCCGACCATAAGACCGTCCGAAAATTGCATTATTGGTTAATTACGGAAAAAACCACAACATATACCAAAACATGTTTTATAAAAATCGTAGGCGTGGAAGTGTTCGGACTCGATTTTCTTTCGTATTTTCCAACAGATTGCTGGGCTAGGGAGAATTAGAGCCCGAAAGGCAGCGACACCAGAGATAGAAGAGTACGTGGTAGAACGAGGGGAAGGGACGGCAGTTGTGTTGTTAAGATCATACTTCAAGGGATCATTTCTGAAGTAAACTTAACAGATTCGTGACGGAATCTGTAAGCAACACCGACCACGATGATGAGGTGTGGAGTTTCCTTCTGAGCGCGAAGCGGGTCGGCTGACTGTCTTTTTTTGCAGATGGCCGGCCATTGATGACCGTTCCCGCTTTCTATCAGGAAGTCGGGAGGGAGGAAACTCGTTCTGAGTGGTTCCCATTTTTTTCTCTAATAAAAATCAGCTTAATTACACTATGGTCAGTGAACCTATAGCGAATAAAATTGGATGATGTGCGAATTATGCTGCCCGGAAGCCGACAATCAATAGTGACGTGATTTCTGATTTTTAAAAAAATGTGCCTATTTCTACTTAATTAACTACGTTACTTTTTACCGATCTCGTACAGGTTCCTGTACATCTCTAATTGTTACTGTAAGAAGTTTTTATAAAGAAATCCCGTACTTCGTTTAACGAATAACTGATGTTTAATTGAATGAAATTATATTGTAATAAACAGAAAAATTTCAAGAAATTTTAGTAGAAGATTTTAAAAAATAGAGGTTTAAAACTCTACTCTGGAAATGTTGAAATAAATATATGGATATTTTAAAATACAACGTATAAATATAACGTTTGCTGAAGAGGGACGTTGGCCCGAAATACTCGATTGTAGTGGCATACAAGATTACGTTACAATAAATACATTTTAATTGGAAATTGTGTGTTTCTCTTCCCTCAGTATAATAAGTTATAGATCGCAGGATGGCCTAGATCGGATGTGCTATCTACGGTTGTTACAATTATAATCGAAGGAGAAAAGAAACTAATTTTTAACATTTTTCGATAATGCTTCCATAGTATGGGGATTCAGCGAAAGTTTTTAAAGAAACGTTATTTGTATATTATTATTTTAAAATTTTACTTAATCATCACGAATTACATCTAGATTTAAAAATCTTCTACAATTGATATCATCATGAAGTAAATATGATCAGCAGACGTTTTCTTTTTCGATAGCAATTTTTTTTTCTTTTTTTTTCCGATAGCTTATTGGGGAAGTCGGTCGAATGGCCGAGCGACTAAGGTGGCAGCATACTACTGTGGGGACCCGGGATCGCATCCAGAGGCGGTGTAAGGCGTGGGCGACGTGGGCCACCGCCTACGGCCTCGCTGTCCGAGGGGCCTCGCGCTTCGAAGGTTTATGCATTACATAAAAGCCGTAAACTCAACGAAAAAATTTTACTCTTCATAAAACGATAGATATATTGACATGTCAAGATAGGGGCGCTGTTGAGTAACCTCGGCTGCTGGTGACTTTTTGTTGGAGATTTTGTTAACACTTTTTTTATTGTAAATTACTGGGTTTTTTTATTTATTNCATACTTCAAGGGATCATTTCTGAAGTAAACTTAACAGATTCGTGACAGAATCTGTAAGCAACACCGACCACGATGATGAGGTGTGGAGTTTCCTTCTGAGCGCGAAGCGGGTCGGCTGACTGTCTTTTTGGCAGATGGCCGGCCATTGATGACCGTTCCCGCTTTCTATCAGGAAGTCGGGAGGGAGGAAACTCGTTCTGAGTGGTTCCCCTTTTTTTCTCTAATAAAAATCAGCTTAATTACTCTATGGTCAGTGAACCTATAGCGAATAAAATTGGATGATGCGCGAATTATGCTGCCCGGAAGCCGACAATCAATAGTGATGTCATTTCTAATTTTTTAAAAATGTGGCTATTTCTACTTATTTAACTACGTTACTTTTTACCGATCTCGTACAGGTGCGTGTACATCGCTAATTGTTACTGTAAGAAGTTTTTATAAAGAAATCCCGCGAGGAGGCAAGAAGAAAAAAAACCAGGAAGCACTAGTTGTTTTTTTACAAGACGAAGGAGAAAGATGTCTGTCTAATCGTTGTACATAATTAATTGTTATAATTAAAGTTAGTTCACTAGTTTTTACCATTGCCTTTGACTTATTTGAAACAATTGTACACTCCATAAGCACGAGTCATACAGTTACCATAACGAAAATTTTTCATTTTTTCCTGGTCATTGGGGACTATAAAGTTCCCAAATGGCATTTTGGGCAGACAATAGTCTGACTCAGAATTTCAAGGTACTGATGGCCGAATACTTTGGAGATGAAGCTATCCAAGAACCTGAAAGACAGGTATCGGGTGAAGAGAGTAATGAAAAACTGTGGAAGAAGATACAGGAAGGGGTGGATTTAACAGTGTAAAGTCTGACGAATGTGTGCGATTGTCGGGACAATTCAGGAGTTCTGACGATCGTGCGTGGGCGTAAAATAAACACTGAGATGGGCTTACCGTTCACTCTTTCTCATTTAATGAAATATTGAACGTTTTCTTACAAAAATTTCTACGTCCTTGTAGTTACAATTCTCGAGAACAAAGTCCGGTAAAGTCGGAAAGCCACGTTGCATGTCTTCGCTCGGTTCCCCGTAAATAGTCTGCGAGATTGACGGCCCTGGGGCTCGCTGTTAAGCTTTGGATATAACAGTTCTTTGGGAATGAATGGATTTGGGAGATAGAACGGCCATGAGAGAATGAACGGCTGATCTTGCAGGAAGAACAAATTTTTGGAGCAATGAATGTCGTGTCCTTGAAACGCGTTTTTATAGGATTCTCTTCTCTATTCTGCGTTCCGATTGGTCTTCCCTCGTGTCCAATGTTACCTCTAAGCTGCGCGGGTGCGCGGCCGCACACTGTTCAAATTATTGCCGCGCACGAGAATTTATGCGCCGCGCAGGCGAGCATGCACACCGATTTGAATTGTTTACTTATTTCTCACTCTGTCTGCAACATGATTATTGCTGCGTATATTTCGATTAAATACATTAAATCAGTGACAAAAGATAATATTTCGTATAAAAGTATGTTTTAAAATGAATTTTAATCTCTACTTTATAATAAACTAGCTGTTACTCGCGGCTTTGCCTGCGCGGATTTTGCAAGCAAACCCNTCGTCCCGTCTTTGAGACGGCCTATAAATTTTCGTAAAATACTAGCGTAAAAGGAGATTAATCAACGATTATTCTTTGTTTAGCAGAAAATATTCTATTTAAAGACTTTCCTGTTTATTTAATAGAGGAAAAGTGGCTGGTATCTCGTGTTTTTAAAGACCAAATTAGGATACCAATTGCTTTCTTGTCTTTAATGCCAGAAGGCTCAAAAGAAAGAGAAAACCGCTTGGCCAACGTCTCGTATTGTCTGTAGATTTTTCCAAAATTTTGGAAGATTTACACGAAATTCCAAATTTATACAAGTCTGGTTAGTCAGTGACAAGAAAATTCAAATTTTTACACAGTTAAGTACTGAAAACTAGAAAAATTAAGATATTTTCGTGTTAATTGATAAGATCCGGTCCAAACGATTAAAATACTCTCCGATAAATAAATTATTTTTAAAAAATTTAAATATTGGGTGAATTTTCGTGGGTCTCGGAGTTCGTCAACTAGTCGCGACCCGGTTAGATTATTAATTGTTTTTTTTTTCAGCTGATAATCACGCGGAGTGAGCAATTACGATTCACAGTTCGGCCGTGGAACCTCTCCACGACATCTGTCCGAAACTGGTTCCATAAGTTAAACCAGAACCGAAATAGTCGGACGGAGGTAAGGCCCCGGAATTGGATGGAGGGGAATGGTATTGTCCTTGCAAGTAGTGATTTAACTCCTCTTGCGTGTCGAAGATCATGACCATAAAAGGAGATCCGGGAACGTGCTCCCCGGACCACTTCACTTCGATCCTGTAATCTCCCGGTTCGGTCGGATCGTATTTACATAATATGGTGCGGTCCTTCTGACTTTCTCGCTGCATTTCCACCCTGAAAGCACCTAAAATGGAAATTCTCGAGATGTTAATTGCCATAAACGAGACCTCGCGTTAGCACATGTTATTATATACAGTACAGTACACCTAAACAGAATAACATTTTTTTATACGCGTGTATACATCGATTACTATTTTTTATGTACTAAGACGTCTCTCTCTCTCTCTAGTGTTCTGATGGGTGTTTGGAATACTAAGGAGTATAAAATTAAAGTATTACCTTTTGGACCCCTAATACGGACCGTTAGTTGACCGGCTCCTGCACCTCGAGTGTCGCAAATGAATCGACTTTGATATATGGCTAAAACTCCGGGTTCGATTCCAGGTCCATAAACTCTTACTTTAGAAGCGTCTGGAGAAATTTTTCGAAAAATTCCCCCCACGGGGAAGTGTTATAAATTTATAATAGATACATTTTGAGCCACAACAACGCGTGGCGGGGTCTGCTAGTAATGTAATAAACTAATCGCGTATGCCCATAAAAAACTTCTAAACTTGTAAATATATTTTAATCGAATATAATATTAATACAGTTTTTTTATTTCAAATTAAATACTACACAATTAACTTATCGTGGCCAAAATCTGTTTCCTTCCGCAATGGCGAATTACCCAATGGTAGCACTAGGCGCGAGCGTAGGGCCTCTTCGTCTCGAAGGCCTCAAAAATGATATAAAGTTTCAAGGCATACCTTTGCTATAAGTGAACATTTAAAAACTTTACTTTCTCATAATTCATTTGATATCGAAACCGGTGTAAAGTTTAATGTAAAAATATTTATTTAAACTTTAAAACGGTTAATCTTAAATACATACATATACACACATATATATATAAACCCGATTAATATAAAAATATATATATCTATTAAAATTTCTCTACGAAACAAACTTTTACAATTAAGATCGCGGCAATTCTGTAAAATGTACATGCAAGGATTCTGGCGGTTTGCAAATTTCTTTCGGCCTTTTTGGCATTAAAATATAATATGCCTACCTGGCATTGTAGTGCATTGTTTTATCGCCCATAGGTTATATCCGGGCAAAAATTTTTGGAGAAATAAGATATTGTGTAACGACAGACAACGAGGCACACAAAAATGATTATGCCAAACAGGATTTGAACATAATGGCTGCGTTCAACAGAATGAACAATTCTGGAACTGCTCGGTCTATTTTGGAACACGTTTGGTGTTTTGACGTCACATTTAGCAGCGAATTTCATTTTACACTATCTTCGGGCAAAGATGGCTGCGCCCAAATAGCACGTGAAGCATATATTTGAGTTGAGAAGACTGGAACAGATGGAAAGTTGTAACGCAGACAGTAATTACACAGAATCGCTAATGGTAAACAAATGACTTTTCTTCGTCGAATCCATTTATACTTAATAAAATTCGTTAGTTTTACTGTAGATATCAAGAGTTAACACCCGGCATTTTGGTTACTCGTGCGAAAAGACACGAAAATCGATTGGACAACGTGAAACTCTTTTGAAAACATCGCAATCGTCCCGTCTTTGAGACGGCCTATAAATTTTCGTAAAATACTAGCGTAAAAGGAGATTAATCAACGATTATTCTTTGTTTAGCAGAAAATATTCTATTTAAAGACTTTCCTGTTTATTTAATAGAGGAAAAGTGGCTGGTATCTCGTGTTTTTAAAGACCAAATTAGGATACCAATTGCTTTCTTGTCTTTAATGCCAGAAGGCTCAAAAGAAAGAGAAAACCGCTTGGCCAACGTCTCGTATTGTCTGTAGATTTTTCCAAAATTTTGGAAGATTTACACGAAATTCCAAATTTATACAAGTCTGGTTAGTCAGTGACAAGAAAATTCAAATTTTTACACGGTTAAGTACTGAAAACTAGAAAAATTAAGATATTTTCGTGTTAATTGATAAGATCCGGTCCAAACGATTAAAATACTATCCGATAAATAAATTATTTTAAAAAAATTTAAATATTGGGTGAATTTTCGTGGGTCTCGGAGTTCGTCAACTAGTCGCGACCCGGTTAGATTATTAATTGTTTTTTTTTTTTCAGCTGATAATCACGCGGAGTGAGCAATTACGATTCACAGTTCGGCCGTGGAACCTCTCCACGACATCTGTCCGAAACTGGTTCCATAAGTTAAACCAGAACCGAAATAGTCGGACGGAGGTAAGGCCCCGGAATTGGATGGAGGGGAATGGTATTGTCCTTGCAAGTAGTGATTTAACTCCTCTTGCGTGTCGAAGATCATGACCATAAAAGGAGATCCGGGAACGTGCTCCCCGGACCACTTCACTTCGATCCTGTAATCTCCCGGTTCGGTCGGATCGTATTTACATAATATGGTGCGGTCCTTCTGACTTTCTCGCTGCATTTCCACCCTGAAAGCACCTAAAATGGAAATTCTCGAGATGTTAATTGCCATAAACGAGACCTCGCGTTAGCACATGTTATTATATACAGTACAGTACACCTAAACAGAATAACATTTTTTTATACGCGTGTATACATCGATTACTATTTTTTATGTACTAAGACGTCTCTCTCTCTCTCTCTAGTGTTCTGATGGGTGTTTGGAATACTAAGGAGTATAAAATTAAAGTATTACCTTTTGGACCCCTAATACGGACCGTTAGTTGACCGGCTCCTGCACCTCGAGTGTCGCAAATGAATCGACTTTGATATATGGCTAGGACTCCGGGTTCGATTCCAGGTCCATAAACTCTTACTTTAGAAGCGTCTGGAGCACCGGCGATTCGCAGAGTGAATGGACTTCCTAAATAGAAAAAAAAAGGTTTTGTACGATACACAAATGTTAAGAAATAAAATTCCATGATTATATTTAAATATTACAACAAATCTTAATAGTGGTGCAGATGTTTTTCGTTTTGCTTTCCTGGCTTGTCATTTATATAACACGGAAAAGTATTATAATTGTGTCAAATTTGACCCTCTGCTTTTCTGCATAGAGTGGCTGTGACCATAGTTACAGCACTCTTGATGGCAATGACGGGTATTATCAACCGCCATTTTATTTTAAGTCAAAATATCAAAGTGTGTACCATGTGTTGGGCAGGATTGTCACTTTAGAATCTATTTTTCTCATCTAAATCTGGATTGTTGTGTTTGCCCCAAGATTTGACATTTAAGTAATCAGATAAGTGATATAAAGCTAGATTGTTTCATTTCGAATTTAGCTATTTTGTAGATTTTATTAAATTATTATTAATATAAAGAAGGTCAGATCAGAGTTTAAAGTGGTAAGTGTAGTACTTAACCATCAATATATCAATATTTTTATAATCTGAGTACGTGCCAAGTCTTGAAGGTCTTTATGCTCAGACATAACTGTTTGTTTATAGTGGGCTCAGGTCAATCTGATCAATTCAGTACGTTGTTGATTTTTTCGGGACAGTGTTTTTTTTCCTTTTCTTTTGCAGAATGTAAGTAATGTTGTTATGTTTTTATTATAGTTATAGTTTGTTTGTGAACATTTCGGTTTCAACTCAAAAATATTTACGATGGAAAACTATATTTTGACCTTCGTCACGTTACGGACCACATTGTTGAAGTTAAAATACTTCTAAGAGGTAATAAGTAGCTAATAATTGTGGGAAATGGAAAAAGTGTTGCATTTTCCCATGAAAAATAGACAAAGAAAACATGTAAGTAAGTAAAAGCCAGTAGTAAGAGACTCTTATGTGAAAACGCACCATTAGGATGTGTACAAATTGTGCACTATACGCATCATTCTGAATAATAAAAGTATATTAACTTAAACTAACCTTTTGTTCGTTATGTTGTAGACAAAAGCTTTAATCACTGAGCTCTTCAAGATCAGTGTTTAAGGTTGCCATGAGTTGATGAGGATGGGAAAATTGCCAATCCGAAATGCATTGTTAAATAGGTGAAATAAAGTAACTGTTTTAATCTCGATCATTGTTAATTGAGCATAATTAAGAAAGACGTTATAAATATCACTAGTCTCACTATCGAATGAAGAAACCTTTACTTTTAACTTTTTATATTTTTAATTATTATCCAATGGCAAAAAACTTGATTTTGAGAGTAGTGGCGAGTTTTATAAAAAAAAAAATTGTAAATGTTAATAACGAATAACAACTTCATTAAGCCCATCTCTCTCGAGATATGACACCCCTCTATCTCTTTTCCCCTTTAACCTTTAAGAACCAAAATTTAATAGCATCAATGCTCCTTATACACAAGCTATCGTTCCAAATTACGTTTCTTATAGACGCCAACATACACACGCGCGGGATATTTTTTCCTTTTTTTTAACTTATTGCTTATTTTGTCTTGTTTAGAAACGCTTGAAAGTAAATAACAATACAAGATATATCATGTTATTTACTTTCAAAATTAAAAAAAAACTAAGTAGGGTTATTTTTATTTGCACCATCTTACTTAAGGGTTAAAACTCTTGTTTTCCTTTGCACACTTTCACACGAGTTAGAATATTCCGGCTCGTTGGCTTTACACAACACAAATAGTACGCCCCATTGATTAAAAGGAAAATGTCGGACATGTATTCAATTTTCTTTAAATATGACATCGCTACAGCCACTCTATGTATATTCGAGCTCGTTGTCTTTTATTTAATTAAAAAATTACTTTTCTTATTAATCACAATAAATAAAATTGTGTGTGGCGCCATCTGTTATTGGGAATTGTGTTGTAAAAATTTTTATATTATTAAATATTATAAAATGGCAAAAGGCTTAATTTTGAAAATAGAGATGAATTTTATATTAAAAAAAATTAAATGCCAACAACTAGTAAAATCTTCATTAAGTGCAAACCACTCTAGATATAACATGACGGCTGGAAGGCCGAGCGGTCAAGGTGGCAGCCCACCGCTCTAGGGACACGGGATCGAATCTGGACGAGTCAAGAAATTCCAAGGAATTTTTCGGGGGGTGGCCCTCATATGATCAACTCTAAGTGATAACCTCTGCCCTGCCAAATGGCATTACAGAGCACTGAGAGACGATGTTTTAATCATAGGCCAGACCATTGCCTGGTGGGCACTGAGCGCCGAAACATAGATAGTTGGCCCGAGAAAATACTTGGGCTCTGGCTCGAGCTCGGGTTAGAGTGGCCCAATGTCCACTAACCCTCATTGCCCCTCGAGTTTAACTACACTTACTAGAACATGCGTTTCGGTGCAGTTAACTGCACTTAGAGCCCCCTACCAAGAGAGGGTGCTCTTAAGAACGGGCGGTGGGTGCTTCCCTTTTGTGGGGAGGCCTGCTCAAGACATTCCCTTTTTCTTATAGATCTAAGAGATCCATTACTTTTCCCATCAAATCCTTTAGTTTCTTTAAGTGTTCTTTACTAGTTGCTAGCATTCGAAGTACTTGTTCAGGGGGCTTAGTACAGTCAACTTGGTCGGCCCCTAGGCAGAAGTCCTCGGTTAGAGGACAGTCAAGCACATAATGTCTCGTGTTGCCGTGAGGACCACCACAGTAGCAGCTACCATCTCCTTGTCTGAACTTGGACTTGAAATGGGGAACCTCCCATGTCTGGTTAGAATTTGTGTCATCAACCAACTTACCGGAGTGAGGCCAACTACAGGCATGAAGGCGTAGGTCGGCCTACCTACTGTACTTTGAGTCCAGTGCTCTCGCCAGTGTGTCATCGATCGTTGCAGTAGAGTATCTTTTATGTATGTAGTCGAGGGTTCAACCATCCTCGTAACAAATGGGCCACTGGCTCCCGCCTTTGCCAGCTGATCGGCACATTCATTGCCCGGGATCCCGGTGTGGCCTCGGATCCACTGCAAGACAATGTGTTGTTTGTGCCTCGCCCTTAGTACCCTACCTCTGATTTCCTGTACCAGCAGATCGCGATGGTACCCATCGCTCAAGGCCTGTAGCGACGACTGGCTGTCTGAGTATACTGTGGGGGTGGTCCATTCTGATATGTCAGGCCCTGTCCCTCACCATCCGGTCACCCCATTGTGGGCCTGGCCGAACCCATAATGGGCCTGCTATAAGAGGCCCTCTTAGTGCCCATAGGGTGGAAAGAGTATTAAAAAAAAATATATATATATATATATATATAACATGTTACCANAAAAAAAAAAACTAAATGCTAACAAGTAAAATCTTCATTAAGTTCAATCCCACTAAATGCTAACAAGTAAACTCTTCATTAAGTTCAATCCCACTATATATATAACATGTGACCATCCTCTATCTCCCCACCCCCTCAACCTTCACCCATCAAAATTTAACAGTATCAATGCCCTTTATACACAAATTACTGTGCCAAAGTTCTTTTCTTAATCTTGACCTGATATTCAGATATTTAAGATGTCCACACAAACACATGGAATTTTTTGCCTTTCTTTCCTTTACTGTATATTTTTGGGTTCAGGTTTCAAAACATGAAGATTTGCAAAAAACTAGAAGGGTCAAATTTGACACAATTCCAATACTTTCTCTCATTATGTATACATAACAAGGGAAGGTATTGGAATTGGAACAGTGACGTGTTATCCTATGGACAAAAAAGGCAATTGCCTGGGGCCCCAAATCAATCTTTAATAAGAAAATATTTCCCTGAAGAAAAATGTATGGATCCCCTAAACATTAGGATGAAGTCAACACTACATGGGGCCCCTAATTCAAATTTACCTGGACCCCCCTAATGAAGCTATAATGCCCTACTGTCCAAGAAAGTAAAAAGGAAGAGATGTTGGTGGGTGCAAATATCTAAACATAAACAAATAAAAATTTGAATTAAAATAGTTACAACAAAAGACATTTTTCCTGCAAGTCTGAGTCAAAAACATAGGCACACATTGTACATGTCAAAATAGATATATATCAAGGCATATTCCAATATTGTTCGTAAGATCACAAGCGTGTTTCGCGCACTGATATTAAAATTTTTACCAAACATAATTAGATATCGAATAAGACTTATTCTTGGTTTATCCTATACAGAATTAACACAAAATTTTACCTGAAACGTGTTCTCCACCATATTTTACTGTAAGTATGTGACGACCACCTTCTTGAGGTTTAAGATATAATGTAAAAGTGCCATCACGATGATCGTAAAGCTCACAATAGGCAACTTTGTGTGGACCCATACAATGTGCTGTCAATTCACCTAACAGGAAATATAAACATTAAAGTTGTTTGGATTTTATTTTGTGATAAATTTATATAAAAATAGTAGAATATATCAAAAACTATTTATCTACGTCAGTGATTCTTAACCTTCTTGACAATTAGAGAGAACTTGGACACTGCTTAAGTAAACCTGGAGCTTATTAATAAACCGGCAATCTTGTGTCGGAGTATAAGGGAATATGATGAATATTCTCATATTCATTTTTCAGAAACTTTTACTTTTTAGTAGTTCTTTTCAGTTTCCAGAAACACATCGACACTTAATTCTACTATTCATGGTAAGAGTTTCCATGCAAAAGCAAACATTAGAATGAAAGATGAATACCATGTTTGGCTCTAACCATTAGTGGCATTGTCTCTGAGATAATTCACAATTTTACCATTTATCATTTCTTCTTGATGTTATCAAAAATGGTAAAATTGAGAGAAAAGTTTCCATAGCTAAAGCATGTTAATAAAGTATATAATGAATGTGGTGTGAAGATAATATACTTTGGATAAGTCTAGGTGGCAAACAACTAAGTAAGCAAGCCAATGACATACTTTGTTTCATATAAAGCACACTGTGGCTTGCTTACTTAGCTGCCTATCACCTAGAAGTGTCCTTTCTGACCATTACAATATCAACACGTACATTTAATAATTAACTCTGACCTCGTGAGATGTATACTAGCAATAAAATTTTTTCAATATCTTGTATAGGTCTCTGTGGGAAGTAGTAATTAGTGATTGAGAGAACAAATAGTCCTCTTTAACAGAATCAATCACCTTTATGGTAAGGACTAGGAACTAATAATTGTACACTAGAATATGCCGATTCATCTAACCAAAGAGAACATTGGTTTGTTTTCATTTCTGTAAAGATTTTACAACTTTGAAATAGGTGGAAACATTTTGAATTTCCTACAGTCTTATTTGAAACTAATTTACTTTTCTTGCATTGCTGTTCTCCAAATTAAACCGTACTATCTTTACCATACATCATCTAATGAGATCCTCTTTATAATAAAATCCCTACAGACAGGATTTACAATAAAATCCCTACTGCTGTAAGGATTTTATTGTAAAGAGGATCTCATTAGATGATGTATGGTAAAGATAGTGAGGTTTCTTGCTTGAAAAATAGAATTTTTCTTACTAGCTATCAATACTTTTTATGCTATTTGCCATTATAACATACCAGCATGTTCAACTGAAAAACAGCTTTGCTCGTTACCAACTATCAACCTTCTGTCACCCAAGTTGGCTTATTAGAACAAATTATTCCAAGTTGGCTTATTAGAACAAATTAAGAACCACTTAGCTATATACAAAATTATAAGCATGTAAGGTACCTGGTCCAGCCCTTCTCGTATCTATAAATGCTTTAATTTCTTTCCCAACGGTTCCTCCACGTAATCCTTCTCCAGAACAGCCAACTTTGCTGGCATCACAATTAGCAACTACTGTTACTTTTAGAGGGCATCCTTTAACTTGTCTTTCTGACCACATTACATTAAGTAAATATGCTCCTGAAATTTTATTTGGTAAATGTAAAACATTTTTAAATATAATGAGATAAATTATTACATAAACATCTCTGTTAAATCATCTGTTCAGTTTTAATTCTACATATTTATGCATTTCTACTCAAATTTTATGTATATTTTTACCAAAAAGTAACATTTTCAAATTACAAAAAATAGTTTTACATGGAATTTTCTTATTAAAGTTTCATATTTATAGCATTGAAAATATAAATAAATGAATAGAGTGGATTTAAATTAATTACCAGGTATAGAAGGTGTATAGAATGCTTTATAAACATTATTTCCTAGTGATGTTAATCTGATAGGAATGTCTGCTTTCACTCCACTTAAACTAACTTCTGGAGATCCTGAAAAAAAAAAATACAAACAAACATTCATTTTATTTTTCCTTCAATTATGCAAAGAATGAAATAATAATAATCTGATCAAATGTCTTGAAACAAATCAAAATTTACAAATTTAAGACATTCAACCAGAACATTAAATTAATTACTGTACTTTTTTTTAATGCTATATTACTTTTGTATTGCGGAAAGTCACCCTCATTTCTTTACGGTCTTTATTTATTTATTCATACATGCATAAGTAAAGTTAAAATTGTTTAATTAAACAATCAAGCAATATACAGGAAACAACATGATGTCATTCCAAAAGCATTTTCTGCTTTTTGTTATATTTGAATATATTAATTCATATAATATTAATTTTTATTACAGTACATTTTAGCTTGCAATTTAGTATTAACTTGAAAATATTTTCCCTAAATGTTTTACAATATATATAATACAAAAATATAAAAAAATACTGACCTGGTCCTGCTTCTGATCCATCTATAATAAACTCAGCTTCGTCTGCGACTCTCGCACCCGTTAATCCGTGGCCACGTAATACAACTCTGGTATGATCTAACGTTAATCCGGATTCTCCAGCAAAGGCCAAAAATGGCGACTTCGGAAGTGGGAGATCAGAGTAGTAAATGTAAATGTAATATTCACCTAAAAATAAAGATTTTTGGACTTTTTAAATGATTGAGAGCTAAAGTAACTAAATACAATTAAACTAGAATATACAGTTTTATCATATTTATTAAACAAGGTCCTATAAAATAAAAATACTTAAAATAATAATTTCTTCTTGTTGGAATTATTTATCCATAATTAACAAAGATATTCTATATTATAAGTGTGAGAGCCAAAATTAAAAGAAACTTTATTATTAAGGAAGGTTTTAGAAAAAATTATTTTAAATTATTATAATATTTTGTTGTTCAAATCCTGATAATTTTTCAAAAAAATTACTGATTAAATTGGCAATTAAACTGTTTCCCACAGAATTAGTTCCTTGTTAGAAGTGACACATCAAGTGTGCCACTTGAACTCAACAAGAAAAAATTGTTGATTGGACCCAACATACTAAATCTTCGAATGAGTAAATGGAAAAACCCAGAAGAGACCCTGTATAAATTGAAGGGGGTGCTGACGATGAGCACTTTTTCGTCACCAGTCGTGAAACTTTCCATGTGTGTGCATCCTTCCATCGCCATCCTTAACCCAAATCTGGATTAGCGCCTGAAGTACACTCAAATCTCGATTAGCACCTGAAGTGAAACCAACCTGGATTAACATCTGAACTTTAATCAATGCCTACACTTGACCTCCATGGGAATCCTTCAATGAGGACCTCATCAGACTCCAGGTATTTATCGACACGCAAACCTCATGTAAACTCTCTCTCTCGAGCTGTTCAATAGTTTAGCGATAAGTAAACCTGTAAACAGCTCTAACCCTGTACATAACCTTTATAATTAAACAGGTATTTGTTAAATGAATAACCTTGTGGAGTGCATTTCTTCCAGAGTTCTCCTTCCGTCTCCAATCCGAACCTAACTTATTATGTATGCGACTACTCACGAAAATGAAATGGTTTCAGTGTCTGTCCATAAAGATACAGTGGTGTCATCCTGACATGGTGCCAAAGAGGTACTGACCCTGTGGTCATACAAGTATTCATAATCATAAATAGAATAACATCAAATTAATGTGTTTTATGCAATAAGATGCAGTAATTGATGCAGTAATGCATCACAGACCAAATTACTGCATATAAGATGCACCCCATTTCAGCACAGAATATTTGGAAATAAAGTATTTAGTGTATTTAAAAGCTATCCCACACCTATGGCTCTTGGCTCCCTAATTATTTTTACTGTATTCTGGTTTAAAAAAGTCAGATCAAAATATTTACTTTTATTTATTGGGGAAAAAGAAGTGTTTAAAAGTAGTAATTTGCAATTAAAAATTCATCATTAAAATATTCTACACGAATACATGCAAAAGCTGCTGCTTAGCTGTAGCAAATAATATGTTTAGTTAAACGTAACATTTCTATTCAAGAGTTGGACAAGGTTGTAGTTACCTTTAGCCTAATGAAAGCTGATTGGGAAATTCATTAGCTGATAGGCGATTGCAATTTCATATATGAGCCATTCAAAGTAAAGTCACTTTTCATCTAAATTGAGAAATGTAGACCTAAAGTTAAGTACCAATTTAAAAATTACAGTGGATTTATTGCTAAGTACTTTGTAGTGGGTGAGTAATGTAAATATTCCTATTTCTTTACCATCAATTTGTAAATACTGCTGTCGGGAACTGAAACTCAGAAGCAATGTAGTCTTTTGGAAAAACTCTTACACTACTTTTGCTTTCAACAGTCCATATAAGACACAAGGGTTTTTTGTTAAGAAAAGTTGCATTTTATGTTATGTAGACAAATGAAGAATCATTTTTTTTTTTAATTTTCTGCACTTTACAAACATTAGTTTAATGAAATAAATGATGTTTTTATGAAATAAGGTAATGTAACACAAGTGAGATGACTACTGGGAGGACTTTTTATTAGACACATGAAGAAAACTCCATGTCAGTTAGGTGCAAACTCATAACCAACTATCTTATCTACTTGATTACTGACGGGCAATAAAAATAATTATTATTAAAAGCTATTTTTCTCAGTTTTATACATATCCACAATTATAAATACCTTCTTCTAGTGGAGTAAAGCACAGATGATAACGATGACTGCCTATTTGTTCGACATGAGAATCTATTATTCCAGTGGGACTTCTAATTTCAGTTTTTAGTTTACCTAATAAAATAAAAACAAAAATTAATTTTTACAATATCTTAGAATTTCGCCTCTATTTGAATTAATTATTTTTAACTCTAACAGGTATTTTTAGAAAGAAGGGGGGGACTTCAGGTATCACTCAAAGGTGTGACCTGGAGGTTGGGGGAGAAAAATAATGAAATAAGAAGTGAGGTGAAGAATAGGAGGTGAAAGGGGGTCAGAGTGGGGGGTTAAAGGTTTGAGCCAATGGCGCCTGCAATGCCATCGACTCGAACCTAACTCTTAACCCTTTTAACTCTAACTCTATCAAGACTATGGCAACAGAACTGTTACAATTTAGCAAGATATCTATCAACATCTTTACATTATAAAGTCAGAAAGAAAGGTGCAGATTTCATCACAAAGATGGCCAAACAGAACAAAAAAATAATGGAAAGGGAACTAAAGGGATTTGCAAGAATCTGACTAGCCACAGAAATAAGCTGGAGCAAAGAACTGAAGAAGGGAAAGGGTGAATATTATGGGTGGGCACAAAATAATTCTGCAGAAAGGAAAAGACAGAATAAGCAGAAGGAAGATGGCCAGATGATCTGGAAGACAAATACATAATTATAACGGATGCTGATTTATAACAACAGTGTGAAGAAATTGAGAGATACAGGATCGGGTGTGGGTTTCAGAATTATCTGTAACTAGTAGTTGGCAAAAAAGACAGAGATGTTTATTATGCCAATACACAAAATGGACTAGTCAACTTCAAAAAATCCAAAGGCATGATTCATTTAACATCTCAATGGCATACTTTGAGATTTAGAACTCATAAAGAAAATAGACCTGTATATCAGAATAGATAATAAAAACCAATTTAAGATACTTAAGAATTGAAAAATTTTTTACTCCATTAAGGCTATTCTTTAAACTTTTAGCATTTACTGAGGAAGATCAAAACAAAGATAAAGTGGAAACACTGAAAGTATTCTTTCAAACAGTCATATTCATTTCTATTTATAATTGCCGAACATTAAAAATATTTCACCTGGTCCAGCATCTCCTACATCAAAAGGAATTCTTTTTTCCTCTCCAATAGTTAGAGCGATTCGATGTTGCTCATCCATTAGACTTTCCCAACCTCCAATTATTCGAACTTTTTGTGGATTAACTATTCTCGGATGGAATGGACTTCCTATAAGATAAATATACAAAAAGTATCTTATCATATTGTCTTAAAATAATTTCTAAATCTAGTTGTGTATAGTGCTATAGCTATGGAGGCTATGAGATGGCTAAGCATCTTGTTACTACAAGGTGCTTAGCTCCTGGCTCAATACAGAAGTGCTCATATGCAGTAATTAATACGTTTAGGGTCTAAATTTAAATTTTATTAATCAAATATTTCTGTTTCAGTCTATTGATCTGGTAAATTTAGCAGACTTTTAAATTTTCAAAATATTTGTTTTAATCACAATATGTTTAAAGAAATCAATGTTTTGGTTTTAAGGTAAGTTCATTTACTTAATTACTGTTTACACAAATAGCCATAAAAATCTAATTTTTTTAATTGCAGCACAAACTATATTAAATATAATGCACATTGACTAAGATTAAAATTGTAAAACATTAAAAACAATTAAATTAATATAATTACCAGCTACTTCTCTGCCATTCCATAAAATTCTAATGTCAAATACACCAACTTCTTGTGGGATATAAGTAACAATATAAATGCCTTCTTCCTCTTCTTCAATTTCACAATCAACTTCGCTCTGAGGACCTAAATATGGAATTTCATAATTCGTTAATTTTAACTAATTAATTGAAAATTTTTGAAACATTGATAGTTACCATCAATATGGACCTCTGGTCTACCCCAAAGTCCCTTTCCATTTAGTTTGAAAGATGCCGGTATGCCACATTGAGCCACTGTTAGACCCGCTCCTTCGATTTTAGGATTGCCTTCTTCTTGAGCTATGAAAGTTATTGGACTACCTGGAAAATGATTTAGTTTTTATTTAAATTACATATTTCATTCAATAATTCAATTACCGATTTTAAAATATTATCCTTTAGAGAATATGTAATGATATTTCCTAACATCCTATGAAGACTTTTAAAATCACAAATTATTATTATTATTATTAATTATAAGATCATGTCATTCATTACCTGGAACTTCAATTCCACCATAAGTAATTGCAATTTTATATTTTCCGGGAACTGTGGGTGTAAATTCTATAAGTTCGCCTTCGCCATCGGCGGTACCTTTCACTTCTATCGGAAGATGTCTGCCCAGTGGACTAGTCACAGTCACGTCTAACTCAGCAAAGCCTGCATCCTTTCGATTTACTATTAAAATATTAAATTATTTAATAATACTAAATTATAGATAAATGAAAAGTTTTCAAAAATCACCATCTTACGTGTAAAGGATATTTTCTCGTGAACAGAAAATGTTGTTGTCTTCACTTTCTGCATGGTGACGGAATTTGCATCGAACACTTGACATATATAAGGAGAACCGGATATACTTTTCCCACAATAAAAAATTTCGATTTTATGACTTCCTAAATAATTAATACAAAAATAAAACCATCAAATTGAGGTTAATATTAATATAACAACTTCACTTAACAAGCAGAGTGATGACTGAAATGAATGCTTCTAGCATTTTAGTCACTGAAGATAATTGTAATATTCAACTACTCAAAACTGGGTATACTTTATAAACAAAGTGTATGAAACCAATCTCCAACACAATTGTACAGAAAGCAAACATCTTCAACCATGTTAAACAGATATTGTCAGGTTAATAAGCTGTATAAGAACTGCAAAAGTCAGTTAGACTAAAGATGTTCATTTAATACAGTCAAAAACATTTGCTTTTTGTAAAATTGTCCTAGAGATTGGTTTAATTTGCTTTATTTATAATTATTAATACAAACTAATCACAATCTACATTGACATATTATTATAAGTGAAATTTTTATTGAACTTCTATTAAATACTTGTAAAAATGATGGTACTCGTTGGTTATCCTCCCACTTTCTAATCTTACGTATCTGTCGCATTGCTTACAAAATAATATAGATGAGCTTGAATGGATGACCGAATGAAATAATATCTTTGATTTGGGAAAAATTTAATTATTAAGTTTAATTTGTTTCAATAATGTTACAAACAAAATAGCTTTTTAACTTTATTTTTTTAAAGAAATTATGCATTAAGCTGCAAATTATTCTTTGATTTGGGAAGTTGTGTTAATAGGACATTTTGTGGAGAATGGATTATCCATTCAATATTCGGAATTTGCTTTTATCCAAAGATGACAATGATCATATCCTGAAGTAATGTAATGCATTACATTACATGAAAGCTTTTGTAAAATAAAGGTATTAAATGAAGTTATATTTTGAGTGGAAAAATCCAAATTATAGAGGTAATAAAACAACTCTACATGTAATGTTGGTATGCGGACAAATATGTGGAAAAGGCATAAATTAAACAAGGCATAAAAATACAATAAAACATTTTAAACTTGTAATAATTGTGTGTATATATATACATTTTTTAATCAAATAATTTTGTTGATTAAAACTTTTTGTAAAACCAAATAGAAATTAAATTGTTAGAAAATTGTTTAATTTAATCAATTTTCTGAATTATTTTTGATTATTCACAAATAATTCAATTGAAAATAATTGTTCTTATATGTGTATAAACTGATTTCAAAGACCAATAAATATTACAATAAAACAATCTAAGTTAAATAATTTAATTAGTATTTTTAATATTAATCAAAAGCAGTTTAATATTTGAAGCTTACCTGTGTGTTGTGGTGCCCATTCTACTAAAAGACTACCATCTTTTTGCTGATAACATTTTACCGGTAATGGAGAACCATTTGGACCTACACATATAATGGATATAAATAAATTCATCAAAATCGATCAAAATACAACAGTATTGAATATTTTCTAACCTGATACTAAAATATCGAAATCTTTTGCTTCTCCGTAACCACCAGTTTCAACAAGAAATGATGCGCTTTCGCCGTACGCTACAGACTTTAATCCAATTCCGTGCGCAATAATCGAATGGCCAGGGTCTCTAATGTCAACGATCTGAGGACAACCTATACATGTTGCGATTTGTACAAAAAAATAAAAAAATTTTAGTAAAATATTTTAAATTCAACATGCATTAATAATGAAAATATAGCCACTTCCCAGCTTACAACCGATCTCTTGTGAATCCTAATACAGTAAAATCTATCTAATGCAATGGTACCACAAGCTAGAATTCTGCTTTAACAGGTTCAGTTTTATAGAATGTTACATTTGGTTAAAGTAGGAAAAGAAAATTTGAAAATAATCTTAAATTGGAGGAGAGGCATTTCTAAATATAATGAGCAAACATTATTTTTATTTTGAAATTTTTAATTTAAAATATATGCTCTGTATCTCAACTTATTAGTGTCCTGCCCCTATACACCATACTTTTCCTGACAAAAGAGTCATGCCAGTCATCTATGAAACTCTGTTCTGGGGAAAATTTTTGAATTGAAGTTACGTGATTCTTGGTCTCTACTGGAAGTTCGTATATAGTTATTTGAGGCATCCCGTCCCTAAGCTTTCCATATATGGTCTAGAGCAGTGTTTCCCAAAGTGGGGCCCACGCCCCACAAGGGGGCAATTCGATTGTTAAGGGGGGCAATTTGAAAATGAGTTGTTGACCCCTTTTTTTTTTAGGCATCAGAATTTTTCATCGAGCTATTCGGACTTGATTAGCTAATATTGGAAGATTAATCGCGGGCCACATAAATTCATTAGACAGGCCGTATGTTGGCCATGCCTGGTATAGCCACTGTATATGTTGGGGGGCATGAGAATTTTAGAAAGGCTTAGGTGGGGCATAGCACAAAAAAGGTTGGGAAACACTGGTCTAGACTTTCATCTATCTAACATCGTTCTTGGGATTAAGGAAGGACAGACAGAAAGACAGATGACAGTGAGAATTTATAGGTCTGCACCAAATTTAAGTATTTTTACCTCATATGTTTCAAAGACATGTTAATGTATAGAGGAAAAATGTGTGTAAAACCCAAAACCCTTGGAATATATTTCAATTATCATTTAGAATTAAGCTTCTTTTACATGGAAAAATTCTGTTTTACTTTATTACTGGTTATGTTAAGCAATTAAAGAAAAAGTTTTCTGTTTTACATTAGACAGGTTTCCAACTTTCATGATGTTTTTACATAGAATATCATTGTTACAAGATTTAGTTTCTTTTTTACATTGAATTCTGTCTTATAAAGGGTCTATTTTAAACAGGTTTTACTGTACAATATTTTGAAGTGGAATTTCAGTCTTTGCCAATTACCAGAATTATTTATTTCAATATTATTCTACTTCAATGTTTCATGATTTTTGTCCCTTTTAATAGATGATTCTATCTATCTTTTTCCCTTAATTTAATAACTGAAATTTAAACAAAGGTAACTTTCTAATTGGCTCCATAAAACTAATATAAGAAGAGCGTATATTCATCTTTTACGACAAAAATAATTCCATTAATATTAAAGTACATCACTTGAGATTTTCAGTTTTTGGATAAACCAAATAATTTAAATTTGTTAAATTATTAAATTAGTGGCACAAATTATAAAGATTAAAAAAAAATCTTACCTGGTGCTTGATGACCATTGTAATAAACATTTATTTTATGAGGCACATCAGATTTCGGAGTGTAAAGTACCTGATATACTCCGGAATTTAATTCCTGTAAAGAATGTTTTACTTCATGATTACCGGCCATGATCGAGACCATAAGATTTCCCCTTCCAGCTCGAGAGGTGTCAACTATATTATTTAAACAAATACTGTATTTTAGTTTCGTTGGCATTATAATTTATACAAGAGAATATATGCCAAGTCATAATACCTTTGAACATCTGCTCTCTTCCTATGACACCATCTTCTATGTCCATTACTTTGACACGACTCGGATCACAAACTTCGACCAAGAATGGTTTTCCGAATATGGGAGAACCGGAATGAAGTACTTCGATTTTGTACATCCCCACTTCGCGGCAATTATATTCGACGTGATGGGTCGTCTGATCTGTCTTAACCAACGTAACTGGTACTGGAATGCCCATTGGCCCTGAATATGTATTAAATTTGAAAAACAAAAATTTCAGTTTAGGAAATAAGCCAGTAGTTGTTTGGCAATATACAGTATATTTTTAAATTAGGGCAATATATGTAATAAATTAAATAAATATAAATTTTTTACACTGTTTAAAACTTTAAATAATTACCTAAAACTTTGACATTTATGTCACCCTCTAATCCATTTGTATCGATTTCGAAACTGTTCACTGAACCAACGAGTCCCTGTCTCAATCCTTCTCCATTAATGGTGACAGAAGTTTTTGTCATTTTGCTGCTACTGCTTAAAGTTCCATTTGATGAGTCTCGGATATCGATTTTAAATGGACTTCCTGCAATAAAACAAATTGAAATTCATAAAAATTTTTAGGATTTTTAAATCTTATATTAATTTATATTTAAATTTATCTAATTTTGTATCAATAAATAAAATAAAATATAATTAATTATTTAAACACAATCTTTTTGTTTATAGATACTTGTGGGTGCACAGGGTGGCCAATAAAAGGTGTTAGAAGATAAAGGGCTCTCCTCAGTTTCCTTTTCCTTTATTAAGCAAATTCTTTCCTTTATCAATCACTATAGACAACTGTTTACAATTTTTATCAAGTCATCAACAGTGGAGGCTCAACTGTCTAATGTGGGATTGCTGAGTAACAACACTACTACTTTGCAAAATAAACTATATATAATAATTTATTTTAATTAAATTATAATATAAAAAACCAGAAATTTCATATCATATTTTTTAAAAATTTACAGGTCACAGAATACTTGGAACCACTGCTCTGACCCAGTAATTAATTTCTGCTGTGTGCTTTCCTGCAGCAAAACTATTAAAAATGTTGAACCATCTCAAGTTGCATCATATTATGAGACACAAATGACCATTCTCTGAGTGGGAGATGGCACGTACTATTTAACAGTGCTGTTGCAGGAGGGAAAACTATATACAACAGCCCTAATAGAAATTGTGATTTGATCCTTCTTTGGGAGTGCAGCAGTTCCACAGTGCTTATTTCAAGCCACTGCCAATCAACAGTCTTGTTTACTTATGGTTATGCATCCTTCAAGTGCACTCTTAAGGCAGTAAAGACACTTTCTTTCCCAAAATCCACTTAGTGGTCATATAATATTATTATTAATAAGATTTACTATCGTATTTCTAATATATTTTTATTCTGTTTTGACTCAATTTTACCAACAGCTGTGAAATAATATATTGGGTTGTTCGGAAAGTAAGTTAGTTTTTTTTCCATGGAAAAAAACACAATATTTTTATAATAAATAAATATTTTATTGAATTATATAGCAACCATTTTGGTCAAATACCTGTTGTCATCGTTTCTGGTAGTAGCATGATTTCACATTCATAAAAGTTTTGATCGTTGCTTACAAAAAACTGATCCAAGTGATTTTTGACATTGTCATTTCAAGTGAATGTCTTACAGTTTAAAAAAATTTGTATAGACCAGAACAAGTAATAATCTGAGTGTGCTCGATCTCGCAAATATGGTTGGTGTGATAGCAAGTCCCACCTAAGTTATAACATTTTCTGACGAGTTACCAAACTTGTGTGAAATTTGACATTATCGTGGTAAAACACTACACCTGTTTTGTTGATCAATTCTGACCACCTTTTCTGTTTGATGATATTACTCAATTTGTTTACTCGATGGCAATACACTTTCGAATCAATTGTTAAATTGTCTGGTAAAAGCTCCAAAAAAAAAATTTCCTTAAAATCCCACCAAAGAGAGCATCTCTATTTAAGAACATGTGGAACCCATATATCAAGCTTTGAAATGAAACCAATTTGTTTCAAGTAATCATAAACAGTTAAATTTGACAAATTTAATCTCTTAGTGATTTCATGTGTTGTTATTCAGCAATTTGTTTAAATCAGTACCTTTATTTTGTTTTCATTAGCTTCAACTGGCCATCCAGAACGTGGTGCATCTTCAATATTAAAATTGCCAGAACAAAATTTTGTAAACCAGTTTTGGCACTGTCGTTCTGTCAATACATCTTCTCCATACACGTCACACAATTTTTTTCTCACTTGAACAGCATTCTTACTTTTCGGTAATAAAAGAGCAAAATATGCCAAAAATGCTGCTTTCAATCTTCCATATTTGATGGGACACAAAAAATAAACAATTGCACGAAATCAAAGAAAATTTTTTACAAATAAGCCTTAAAATGTTAGCTGTCAAAATATATACAGTGGAACCCCGGTTAACGAACGTCCTGGTTAACGACCAAATCGGTTAACGAACTTTTATTTTGCAAAAAATTTGTCTCGGATAACGAACAAAATTCGGATAACTAACGTAACGGTATTTTGTGTCAAATTTTAGTTGGTGTTAATTCGAAAAAGCAATGCTTAACTCGCGCATGGCATGCGCGAGTTAAGCATTGCTTTTTCGAGTGTTTGTGCTATGCTTCTTTTTTCAGTTTTGTGATTTATATATTTAATCAATATGGCATCCAAGAAAGAAAAAAGTCATAGTGGTAATAGAAAACGACAACGCAATATAAACGACAATGCGCTATCGCATTTGAGAAAAATTTTGATTAAAAGAGTAAGACAATCAACTTTAGATCAATTTCTTGTTTCTTACAGAAAGTTTGTTTGTTTGTTAAGTTATGGCAACGCAACACTTGAGCGATCTGCCTAGGGGAATGCCTTCTGGGAGGTGTTTTTAAGGGAAACTGGCTCCTATTTAGGCGTTACAGACGTGGAGAAAACCCGGAAAACTCCACATGGCCAGCCCGTCTGAGCAAGGTGTGAACCCACGAACGAACTCCCCGTGTTTAAGGTACGAAGACCACTTAGCCACTGGTGGGTTTTTTTACCGAAAGAGACTTCGACTCGAAGAATCTTCCAATGAAGTGCTACCCGTTATTTTTTGGAGGGGATTCCCCTTCTAAGCATTAAGGTTCGTATATCTCCACTTTTCTGCCACCACCTACAACAAACGAAGGTATGTACAGTGCTAGTTTATTAAACAAAGTTTACATGTTTGTTGCTGTAATGATACATACTACGTTTTCTTACATTTTCATCAAAGAAAATTACTGTATATTACAAATAAAATCACAAAAATTTCGGAGACTAGAACGGATTAATTGCATTTGCATTAATTTCTATGGGAAAAATTGCTTCGGTTAACGAACAATTCAGTTAACGAACGGAGTCGTGGAATGGATTAAGTTCGTTAACCGGGGTTCCACTGTAATGATAATATGGTTTAGAATGAAAATGGCGGGAAAAATATGACTAATCCGTCTAGTGGTAAAAAAAAATGAAATTACTTTCCGAACAACCCAATATATTTGCTTTCTATATTTTCAATATCTTGCATTTTTTATTTTGCAATCTTTTACTGCTTATTAAATTATTTCATTTCTTGTCCATTGCAACTCTGCAACAGAGAAGAACACACAAATCTAGAGATTGAGTCTTAAAGAGATATATGGTATCATTAATTTAAAGGTCCAATGTCAATTGATAGCATATACAATTAAAATCCAACTAAATATTTAATATAGTGACAATAACTGAATTATTCCTTATGTATGTATTAAAATCTTCAAAGAAAAATCAACTGATAGACATCATTTCATTTTTGTAATTTTTCAGTATTTTTCATAGAGATGGCTGTACTACATAAAGATGAAAATGCTTTTGATAAAGTGACAAACTTCTTTGCAGTTTTGATACATCCTCCACAATATTAAAAAAGAATTTTTCAAACCATACTAAAATATTGTTTCTGTACACTTTTAAAATCTATTAATAACAGAGAGAGTTTTGAATCAAAAAGTTTGATGTCAAGATATTTACGTCATTAAGAATTACTTGTGTTGCGACATTATCATTTGAAACTGCAGTTTAATTACTTTAGATCTGTTTACCTGGAACATCTTCTTCGTTAAAAGTAATATTTATATAATGGGACATTTTTTCTTGAGGAACAAACGTCACATCGTAAAGACCTCTACTTTTCATGGATACTTCGGCTCTTACCGACGATTTTCTTGTTGTAACTACTAATTCGAGTGTTCCTTCTCCTGCATGTGAGGCGTCCACTAAACAGAAATAGTAATCATTGTAAAAATTAAGAGTCATCAATCACATTATGAGTAAATTAAAATTTAGAATTTTGTAAACACAATAACAGATCATATAGCTGAAAGTCAAAATTAATTTTAATTATAAAATAAAATTTTTAAACAACTTTGATTTTAATTCTTGCGTCACTGTCTTTGAGGAATTAAAATAATTTGTATCAATGTTATAAAACTAAATATTTCAATTGTAAATAATGTTCGGTGAAATAACAATAAAATATTTAGTTTTGTAACATTGATACAAATGATTTTAATTCCTTGAAGACAGAAATGTAAGAACTAAAATTGGGTTAAAAATTTTATGCTATAATTAAAATTAATCTTGTTTATAATCTGTGAAATAAAAAAATACAAGGCAAGTTCAATATAAAATCAGACAAGTATCATTAGAAGTCAAGAGGGTGAGAGCAGTAGCAATCCATTGGCATGTGCAGATGTAGTAAAGAGGTAACTGCACAAGTTTACATCCAGGTGTACATGTAGAGTTCTAAGCTTGAAAACCACTACAGTTATGTAGAAGATTCTTCACTGCATTCATTGCAACCTCAGCTGTGGAGAATCTTCTGCATAACTGTGGTGGTTTCGAAGCTTAGAACTCTACACATACACCTGGGTGTAAACTCATGCAGTTGTCTCCTCACTGCACCCAAACATGCCATTGGATGTCTATTGTTTTAGTCAAAACCAGACATTACATTACTCTTCCTTTGTGCACTGCCATTTTATCAGTCTGATGTCTGATATTCTTGTACATCAATAGTATTACCAATAGGAGTTACTGTTTCATAGAGTTGGAAGTTTTGTATGTCAAAATTACTGTCACCTTCCTGACTTTTAATGGCACTTTAATTGTTTTCTATTGAACCTGCATCATATAATACTTGGCATATATAAATATTAAAAAATTAAAGCACCGAATAATAAAAATTCATTAAAAATGTGTTCAAAAATCTTCAATATATTTGGCTTTTTTTGAGAAAATTGTACATTTAAATTCTTTATATAACTTTCATCTTCAGTATAATGTAGATTTGATCTGTTGGTTCTTTTTAGTATAGAGCTGTAATACAATTTTTTCTACTTTTTTACATTATTTGAAATTTTTTATTATTACATGATCATATCAATTGCAATAATCAATTCCTGCCAAATTTTCATACTCTGATTTCTTGATTTAATCTAGTTTTAAAAATTTTATCTGTTTTACCTATTCTATTCACATATTAAAATATCATACCGAATTACAAGATTACAACTGAGCATGATATTGCTTTCTTCGTCACCCATAAATTATACTTTAGCAGCTCGATTACTTAATTTCAGAATTACTAAAATATTAAACTTTGATATGTGGTATGCTTATATATTTCATTTTAGTCTCTGTATATGCATTTATTTTATATTATTTTAACCAATTTTTATTAATTTTCTTTGTTTAAAAATCTTACCTTGAAATGTACACTGTTTTCCAATTATTCCTTGACTCAATTTTGAAACTTTTACTTTAGAAACATCATAAACATTGCAAGTAAAAGGACTACCAGGTGAATGAGAACCATCTAACATAACTGCTACGGTATGGGGACCTAAATTTTATATGTATATTTTATTAAAGACTGTAATTTTGTTTAAAAATAAAAATGCAAAAGTAGCTTACCGACGTCGATGGGATTAAACTGAACTTCAAATGTTGTAATGGAAGTTTTTGTTAAAGTAACGGGAATTTTTTTTCCAGAAGGACCTTGGATCGAAGGTTAAAAAATCTTATTAAATTAATTTCTTAATTGGTGTATTGTTATTTTAAAAATAACCTTTTACCTGTGACGATTACTTTACATTCAGCATTTTCGGCACCTCTTGTATCGACGGTAAAGTGAGCACCGCGAGACAGCGAAGTCATTCTCAATGATGATCCCGTTATCACTGACTGACTGCTGTCTGTGACTTTAACATAATACGGACTCCCTAATGTTAATTAAATGGCAAATTGGTTAAGCTACATTATACATTAAATTTGGAGAAAATATTTTGTAAGTTTATAATTTTATCCAACATACCTGGAACTGGTTCTCCATTAAATTTAACACTAAGCATATGCATCTGGGGTTCAGTCGGTTTGAAATTTACTCTAAACTTTGCATTTCCTTCAGACTGAACATAATTTGGAACGTTTCTACCATTTACGGAAACGATAATTTCTAAATTACCAGCTCCGGCTTGACAAGCATCGACTAAAATGACAGAATTACTTGTAAATAAATCCAAATTATATTTTTAAAAACTTGTTAGGAACTACATAACATACTACTAAAATATACAGGTTTCCCTACGATTCCACTTCCAATGTCGGTCACCTTTACTCTACTAGCATCGTATGCTTTAACGAGAAAAGGGCTACCCATGATCGGATGACCGTGTAATCTAACATCAATAGAATGATCACCTGAAAAATAAGATTGATAATTTTCTATTATGCTATGAAATTAATCATTACATTTAGTTTAAATAAGTGTATCTTACCAACTTCGACAGGTGTATATTCTACTCTATATCCACTGTGATAATTTCCATTAATATATTCTTGTAACTGTTTTTGATTTGGCCCTAGAATTTACATAATTAAATAATAGAATAATAGTGAAATTAAGTTTGTAAGTGTTAAAATTTCACGTTACGAAACTCTTAATAAAATTTACCTAAAATAGTGACTTGAAAATCGCCCATGTCTGTACCGTGTGTATCGATAACAAATGAGGTAGGTTGTTGAATGGGAACTCGCTCTATACCTTCACCTTTAATTTTAATTTTAGTGTAGTCAACTATTTGACATTCAAATGGACTTCCTGTAAACAGTAAATTAAAAACTTCAGAAAAATTAAAGTCATTAAACAGTTGCTTTTAGAAATAATTAAAATTTATTTATTTAAAGAACTGCTCATTAAAATGATCAAAAAATAGATTTTAAGTTTTATTATTCCATTCCTTTGAATCCTTTCTAACACCTTTCAGGGGGAAATTTTTGAATTGAAATAACATGACTTCAAATATAAACAGGAAATTCGTATATAGTTAATTGGACCTCCTTCCCCTAAGCTTTCCATATTTGGTCTTGGCTTTCATCTATCTAACTTTGTTCTCAAGGTTAAGGAAGGTCAGAAAGACAGACAGACAGATGACAATGGAAATTTTTTCAAATTGTAGCCCAGTTAAGAGTGAGTGATGTTCGAATTAATTGTCAAATAGATGTTACAATAGTCTACAAGGCACCAAGGATCTAAAATATTTGACACTTTTCATAAGTGCAATGTCCTCTTTTAAATGTTATTTTTCATTTTTCAATATTTTTCTTCAAAGAGGTCATTTTGTAAAAAATAAATAAAAATTAATGAATATCTACTCCATTTTTATAAAATACTTAGCTTAAAATTGGAAAAAATCAAAACAGAAACAGCAGCACAGGGAATTGATAAGTCATCTTGAAATTTTTGAATAAATGAGCAAAGTAAAGGAGGGTTGGCCTAAGGGAAAAGCAAAGTAAGTCGGTTGGGCTGAGAGGGAGCAAAGAAAATGGGATGTGGAAGGGTGGGTTGTCAGCACCACAGGAGGTAGAGCAAAGAGAGCAAAGTGAGTGGGGATTGGTCTGAAGGGGATTGAATAATTGCAAAATCTTTGTTACAAATAGATAATATTAGAAACAAGTGGGTGAAGCCTGTAGAAAAGATATAAATCTGAAAATTTCTTACCAGGAACAATTTCCCCATTAAATTTTAAATCAATAATGTGCCTCTTAATATCTTTTGGCACAAACGTAATTGCATATAAACCGGAACCTTGAGCTTGAGGAACTGTAGGAACCTGTCCACTATTTACCATCACCTCCAAATTTCCAGGACCAGCATTTGCTGTTTCCACTAAAACATATTAAAAATTATTATAATATACATTTAATATATTATTTAAAAACTAATGCTAATTTTCAAAAATTCAATTTTAAGAATTTTTAAACACGTCTGTTAAAGAACCTTAATTAAATTCCAGCAAGATTTAATTTGAAATAAAATTTTTGTACTAACACTTTTGATCTATAAATGGAGATCTTCTTCAGGTCTATATGTTTGATGATGGAATGCTTGAATAGACTTCAAGTCCATCATTGTCCTGAAGAAGATCTCTATTTGTAGATCAAAAGCGTTAGTCCAAAAATTTTATTTCAAATTAAATCTTGCTGGAATTCAATTAAGGTTCTTTGCATGGGTGTAGCCAGAGTTTTGTTATGTGGGGGGCCTAGTAGAGGCCAACCTGACACAAAATTGAATTATTTCAAATTATTGTTCATCAAAATAAAATTTCTATAAGAATCAACAATAATTTAACACACATAAAATATGAAACTTCCTTTAATCATACATTCTCGTAACATTAATATCAAACTCTAGCAATGCCTTAAAAAAAATTAACCAATCAATTATTTTTTCTTTTACCATTCTTTAATATAGTTCACCATCTTGAATCTAGATATAGACCAGAGGTGGCCAACAGTTTTTTCCTCCAGGCAGAATTGGAAAGAAAACTTTTTCCACTGCCCGAACCAGAGGTGGCCCTAGCAAGATTTTCAGGTGATGTGAAAACTTATTGTGGTGTCACTCCGTAGAGACTAAACTGTACATAGAGATTACAGATAAACATTTTTCACATTAGGCACAAAAGGCCATTGACCTGTTTTTTCTTTTTTAGGATCAGAATTTCTCAACCTTCCTGTAACTTCACATTGTCAGGTGTGGAGAATCGCAGATCCATTCAACCAATTATTTGAAGTTCAGTCCAATATTCAGAGATTAGTTGCAGGCCGCAGTACACTACGCCCAATTAAATTAGCTTCAACTTTTTATTTCTTTTTGCAAATCGGCTCAACACTTTTTCGGCTGTGATTTTCTGGGAAGGGCACCAGGTTAACTGGGGGAGACCGTGCCCACCCATGCCCCTTCCTGGCTACGCCCATGGATCTTCGTTAGACTTGTTTATCATTGTATTATTCCAGTCTACCAATTGATGTTGTGACTCCATTAGGGATATTTTTTCTTTTTTGAAAATTAGGCAGTAAAGCATTATATTTAAGCATAAAATATAAATAAAATGCTTTATATAAAGTCTCCATTGTTACAATTATCTTGTATTTTATTATTAATCTTTTTACTAAACTGCTTGCTCTTACTTTCTATGTTTGTGAGATACTTGATTTATTACACCTTACTGTAAAGCTAAAGTAAACAAACAATAAAATTTTTTCTTATTTTTAATTCAATTGATACTTTCTATAGGTTTCTATTGAAAATAAAGAGAAAAATCAAACTCTCCATTTTTCACAAAATTACAATGGGTACATTCCAGTATGCATCGGTCTGGGCCACAATCAATGCACTGGTAAATGGTTTAATAAGCTTTTACTGGAATGTACGGATAGTAAACATTTTTTAAAATATGATCATTAATAATAATAAAAGATATTTTCACCACATAAATTTTTCTTTAAAATTATAAAAATAATTATTTTTACCTATGAATGATACCGGTTTTCCTATAAACCCTTTGGGCATGTCTTTCACTTTTATCTGCTTGATGTCATAAACTTTACTGATAAAAGGCGAATTAACAATTGGCATTCCTCTATAATTGATGCAAACTTTATATTCACCTAGTGTTAAAATAATTACATATAATAACAACTGTAAAATTTTAATTTGAAGATAAAACTGACAAGCATAAGAAAATGATATTGTTTAACAAGGATGTAAATAAAAGATAATTAAAATAAATTTTTCGTTAAATAAAATGGTTAATAAACTTTGACAAATTTATAATTTGCTCCATACTAATAAAAACAATCGATAATGGTATCATTAGTACGTAATTACCTGTTTGATTTGGCACGTATTCTACTTTTAAATATCCATTGCTAGCTTCTTTCATACTGTAAGGAACCGGTTTCTCGTCAGGACCTACCAATAAAAAAACCTTTTTGTTAAAAGAATGTTTGCTTAAAGGATCCAGTTTACGAGTAATAAATTAAATGGATATATTTGTAGCAGGAAATAGAGCAAATAAAAATACAGTACATACTACATAAAAATATAAAGAAACATTTTAAAACAAATTTCTATCCCATTTGATTAGGAAATTTAAGGCCATCATCTAGGAGAATATTGTGTTTCTCCTAGATGATAATGGCCTTAAATTTTCTCCTAGACAATAAAAAGTTTTGACAACATTTTATATCAAGTGTTATGTAATTTTTCACTTGTTAAAAATGGATGAATGACTTTTTTGTCGTCTGTCATTCATTCACTATTATGATTTAGAGTACTCAATGACATACTTATATAATTAGGATATTCAAAACTTAATTTAGAATTTATGTCTTGTTTAGTTTTCCAAATTTTGTTTATACTAGATATATCTAAACAGAAAGTTCAGTAAGTCATAAGTAAATTATTTTCAAACCAGTTTTTTTAATCCCTTCCTACAGGATAGTAGTTCCATTATATTCTCTTCACAAAACACTAAAATTATAATACTAAAACATCTCCCTATCTCAACTATAAGTAATATACTTAATAAGTAAGAAGATAAAAGTTGAAGGTAAAAAAACTTATAAAACACTTACCTTCAATTTTAACATTAATATCTTGTTCCAGTCCTGCTACATTCTGTATCATGAATATTGCTGTTTTATTAATTGAAGTTGCGATTAATCCCGCACCGGCTGCAGATATTATACCAGCTTCTATAATATGAACTGTGAATGGGCTTCCTGAAAAATTCCAAATATATTTTAATATAATATAATTTATAATTAAATAAAAAAATAAAATAAAATATATATTTACAGCACCACTTATCATCATTTTTGCTATATGAAAACAGATTTCTATAACATGTAATATATGAAGTAATACATTTTAATGTTATTAATATTGTGTAAACAGATAGGAAGTCTTGTTATTTTAAAACTACATTATAAAAAGATTAGTCATACATAACAGCTACATAATATAATATTATAATAATATAACATAATATTTAATTTTGAAAGTAGAGACAAAGTTTTTAAAAACTGTAAATGCCAATAATGAGTAAAATTTTAATCAAGTCCAACCCACTCAATATGTGACTCATGACACTTCCTCTATCTTCCGACCCCCTTGACATTTAATAACCAAAATTTAATTGCATTGATGCCCCTTATATACATATTACTGTACCAAATTTTGTTTCTTGATCTTTATCCCATCCTGAGATATTAAATAAAATACAGACTAACACAAGCACACAGACATGCAAAATTTTTTCTAGTTTTTTCGAGATTTTGAGTTCAGGGTTCTCAAAACATCAAGATTTGCAAAAAACCCATATTAGCCAGGAAAGTAAAAACCATGAGTTTCTGTCAATGGGTGAAATATATATAAAAAACTAAAGTTCATTATAATAGTTTATAATGGAAATTGAAAGCAAAAACAAGGCCAAAGTTGATTAATAGATTTATTATTTGACTACATGTTTTATTGTATAACAGACAATTTTCTAATATATATTATTAGTTGGCCATTAGTTATTATCCTCACTGATACACAAATAACTACTTTTTAAAGTTATGATACACAAATAACTACTTTTTAAAGTATGTACAGAATCCCTCAAACAAATATTAATTTTTCAATAATTCATATTTGTTTTGTAGAGAGATGAAAAAAAAAAAGGTTGAGTCGAAAAGGAGTTTTGCTATCATACTAGCAAATCTTCATTTAAACGCTTTAAACCCTTTAAACCCATTGAAATAAAAACAATATGACATCAATATCAATATTTTTATTAGCTAAAAGTAATTGCTTTGGCCAAAATGCTGTAGAACCATTCATCCATTATTAAAGACTCATTCTCAAAATTTAGACAGTCAAGTGACGTTCAATAAAAAACTTCTATTAATAATCAATCTATACTAATATTATAAAGAGGTAAAGCTTGTAAGTTTGGATGTAGGAGGTAATCTCCAAAACTACTCATCTGATTTCAAAAATTCTTTCACCGATATTTAGAATGTACTGTACCTTCAGGGTGGACATAGGCTGTATATTATTCCATTAAACATTCATATAAATTAAAATATATCATCTAAGTAAGCATTATATTTTTGGTGTCAGCAGGTGGTGAGGGAAAAGACACATACATATATGAGATAGGTAACTGTGCAGCACAGTCACGTGGTCGGCAAGATATGCAGTGCATGTGTCAGAACTTGTGCTGAACATTTGCCTATTTGTTGTCGCTTAAAATAATGAATATCTTTTGTCCCATATGCGTTCCTAAAACATTCATATAAATTAAAAGATATCATCTAACTGATACTATTATAGTCACAAACTGAATTCCACACAGGCGAAAGTGCAGGCACAGCTAGTTAATATAATTTGGCACACAGCCAAGAGAAATAGCAAAAGTTTTAATAAGAATAATTACAATTCATTAATGAAAACTATTTAATCAACTTTATATTTTTGAAGAGACAAAAATCTTGGCATTATTATTCTTAAGTAAAGTATTTGGTTGCAATTCAACCACTTTACTTAAAATAAAAATCTTTTTTTGGCTATATAAATCAAGCAGCATATTCATTCATATAATTTTGAAAAATATGAGTAAAAGATATTCAGACCGGGATTTTAATACTTAGCCGAGATATGAAAAGTGTACCATTAAACAATTGAAAGTTTCATTCTCAGATGAAATATTGTAATTCAAGTCTAATAATATATTAAGTCAGAAAAACAATTTCATGTATCTTCTTACTGGTTAAAATAGAACAAGAATATTCAATAACAATAAAAATTATTTCTATTAATTTAGTAACAGAAATTAACACAAATTTTTATTGCAGTTTCTTCTGTATAATATTTTATTTTCAATATTTAACAATAGATTGGTTCTTGAGTAATCATTTAACCAAACTTTTAGTCCAGTAGTATATTAAAAATTAACTTAAAATTATATTGGTAAATTTGTTAAATTTTCATTTAACAATCTATTCAGAAAAATATGAAAACCAGTAGGCAATTTTTTGACAATGATAATGAAAATGATAAATACATTTAAAACATATTTCTTATTTATATATCAATAATAATAAAAACAAATTTAAAAATAATAATTTATAATAGATACCTGGAACGGACTCTTTATTAAACGATATACTAATTATGTGTTCGTGAAGATCCGTCGGAACGAAGGAGACTCCAAATTTTGCACTTCCCAGAGGATGAACCTGAGTCGGAATATTCCTTCCTTTTGCACTTACTGTTATTTCTAAATTCCCTTCTCCGGCTTGGCTTGCATCCACTAAATATAAAAAAAAATAATATTAGAAAAGTACAGTGGACCTCAATATAATGTGTTATATGGGTCAATATGCATAAAATGTGTTTTAACTTTTTGGCTATTTTGCTATTATTCCACACTCACAGTTCATAAATAACACGTGTGATTCATATAATGCAGTTTCCTATAACACAGACCATATTCCCTGTATTGTATATGTGGTTCACTGTATTGTTATTGAAAGGTCATAAATTGAACAAATATAGATAATATTTTAACAATATTTAAATTTCTGTTAATTTAAAAATATTTCATTTTATTCTACATATATTTTATCTAAAACAAATCAAGTCTCAACCTTTTCTTTGAGTCTACAAGGTTGTAGACTCAAAGAAAAGGTTGAGACTCAATTTGTTTTAGATGAAATGTTTTATTTGAGGCTACAAAATTTATTGAGATTCCGCAATAAATTTTGTAGTCTCAAATAAAACATTGAACCTCTGTGCTTTAGACAAAAACAATGGAAGATGTCATTTGGATTGTCTGCATTTGTATTTTTAATGAACTTGAGTGTCCTGGATTTTTAAATGTAATGGTAAGAGTAATGGGACTTGAACCTGCAACTGCCACTTACTGTGTGAATGCGTTGCCGATAAATGGCAGTTTCGAGTTTAAGTCCCTCTCTGGGCCAATTCTTTTTTCCAGAATTTCCTAAATTATTTCATAAATATTGATTTAATTATAATTATTAAATTTAATAAAAGTTGGCACCTAACACCTATCAATAGTGCCAAATTATACAATATTTAATTATTAACAGTAGCGGTAATGTAGCAATCATTTAGCTTGAATTTAGTAAAAGAAATATTTAAAATTTTCAAAAAAACTCAGAGTAGTTTCAAATATTTTATATTCTAATAATGGAAATAATTGGCCAGCATTAATTTTTCTAAATAAAAATAAAATAATGACTTGTTTCATTTTTTTTATAATATTAGATTCACTTTTAAATAAATTGTTCACGTTTTTAAGTAAAATTAAATTACATTAACTTTACTTGAAAATATATTTCAATATATTTGCAAAACATGGTTTCAAAAACAACATTTACTTTAAAAATTTAGGATTATTTACACTAAGTCAGTTTAGGAATTGAAAATAGCGAGGTTGTGGCTGAAGTTTTCATCTTTAAAATGTGAACATCGAATGTCGCTATCTTGTAAGCAGCGCTCAAGATACAGATGAAAGCTTCGGCTGCAACCTCTTTAATGTAAACATTTTTTATACGTATAACATATAAAATATTCATTTAAAGTATATAATACTCATTTAAAGTAATTTTTAAATTCTTAATAATTTTTTAGTTACTTGAATCAAATGTTTTAATATTATCTTGACTATATTTATTAAATTTTTTAAATATTAAGTTTAAAATTTTTACCTGTAAACTGGACAGTTTTACCCAATAAACCTTCAGGCATTCCACTCACTTCTACCCGTTTGGCATCATACACCTTTATCGTCAAGGGCGTTCCGTTAACTCTATTTCCCAAATATTCGACCAAAATTGTATGTTGACCTAACAGAACATTAAACAAAGTGATGTAAATATATTTCAAATGTTCTATAATATAATAATTCTTTAAAAATATTTTTTATTACTCTAAACAAATTATTATATGGCAGAATCTGCTTATTGGAATGTAAGGCTCCTCAGAATAAAAAATTGCTAAAAAAGTTGGGGGTTTTTTCTGTATAAATGGATGTCAGTGTGTGTGTGTTTGTGGGACATGATTTTGTTCACCTTCTTTAAAACTTTGAAGCACCTGTGCCTTTTATCAGAAATTTTGCAGGGAAGTTTGGGTATTAGGGGCATAGATGCTATTAAATTTTGGTGATTAAAAGTTGAGGGTGGAGATAAAGGGGAGATCACACATCACATCTCAAGTGGGGTTGGACTTAATGAAGATTTTACTTGTTATTAATAATTAGAATTTTTTATAAAATTCATTTCTACCCACAGAATTAAGTTTTTTTTGCCATTTTATATTAATTAGTGATATTGTGAGAACCTGAGCTAGCAATTTTGTAATTTAGAAAATTTAATATTTGTTCAAAGAGAAAGAAAATTGTTTAAGCAGAAGATGACAAATATAACAGGAAGTTCACAAGATTTTCTCTTTAATAGACCAGGTCTGTTATCCACACTGGCTGGACCTCTTCATTCTCTTTAATAACATTTCACTCATAAATGGCACATCTGGCAACGTAAAGAAACAATTTCTGGATTAAAATCGTCTATTTAATTATTCTATATTTTTGCAAGTGATGTGAAGTGCCTATAAAATTTACATATTTCTGTTCATAATAGCTTATCATAATTCTGCAGGAGTAGGTTTGTTCTTTCACAGCATCTTCTACCATCAACAGTGTAATACATTTGTAAATTTTCTAAAAATAATTTCCCGAGCTGCTTTCGGATTCACACAAGCCACTACTTCCCTCAACAAAAGTATGAGGTAGTCCTATGGTATGGTAGGAGACATGACACTAATTAAGTTGTTAAACGTTTCTGCCATTTTTCAACATTATCCCATGAGTCAATGTGCAATGTGAATGTGTGGCACAACGTGTTTTACTTGGAGTTCAAACATCAAATGTGTACTTCTGCTTGCTGTACAAGTTTAACATTTGAACTTTGGCTGCAACCTCTCTATTAAAAATAATCGTGTCAATTCTTATATTCTATTATATGCAACAGAAAAATTTAACTTTCTAATATCTTACCGACTTCTTTTGGAATGAACTCTACAAAGTAACCATTTCGAATGTTTTCCCACATTTTAACAGGTAAGACAGCATTGCTAGGTGCTGAAGCAAATTTAAATAATTAAATTATTAAAAAGTTATGAAACAAAACAGAAATTTTTAAAATTACAAAAAGTTTATTTACATGTCACTGTAACTTTAAAGTTTGACTCTTGTGCTCCTTTTGTGTTGATTATGAAACGAGCGGCATGATTGACCGGTATCAGTTCTAATTTATGTAAATCTACGGAAATGCTATTGGTGTCTGACACTTCAATTTCGATGGGACAACCTGAAATAAAATTTTAAAAATTGTTAATCATTAAATAATTTTTATGGTTTCTTTAGTGGTACACTAAAACAAATCCATGTAGACAATGTTTTTATCCCTCCCTCTCCACTGCGTATAATAATATACTTTTTCTGATCCCCTTCCCTTATTTATCAATCTAAATAGACATAAATGATGCAATGTAAAAATAATAACTATTAGCCATTAAAAAACACAATCTGATAATATCATTGTTTGCTTTTCTCATTACCCACTAAATATTAAATAAAGAAAAAATATAATACCAACATTTTCGAATGTAATTTATAAACATACAATTAAAAATTTCTATTGCCCAAATTAAGTAAAACAATGTAAATTAAATGTTACCTGGCACATTTTTATCATTGAATTTAATATCGATTATGTGAGGAATTGGTGCTTCAGGCCTGAAACTCACTAGACATCTCCCATTACCTAATACTTGAACTTGATTCGGTACATTTCCATCATTAATCGATATTTCTAATTGTCCTTCTCCGGCCAAAGAGGCATCAACTATATTATAAAAATAATTATGATTATTTAAATATTATCTAAAAAGCCTACAATAAATTTGTATTGTTAACTGTTAATAAATTGAACTTTATTATCAAGTTTGATTTCTTAGCAACTATTATACAAGATATTATTTCTAAACATATGTTATTTTATTTATATTTTTGAAATTATCAAAATCATGAAGAGAAACAACATTGTTAAATATTTTTATTACATGATAATTTATTTAATATTGCAATTAGGATTGTCAATTGTCTTCCTTTGGGAGGACAGTCCTATATTGAACTGTATTGATAAAAGAACAACAAGATAACAATGTCCTCCTTTTGAGTACAATATTAATTGTTTGTTTTTGCATCTCTGAAATATTATTGATAGACAACATTCTTCCAATATTTTATTTTCTTATTCTAAAGTAATTCCTTTGTCTTTATCACTAAGTAACAGAGGAAGACGCTACTGTTGATCCAAATCAGACAAGCAAATAAAATTCAGGGTGGCATTGTGCAACAGTTAATAATAATTCTAACATTGAGTTTACAACCTTATTTATTGTTTATTTGATGTTTTATAATTTATGGTTAGTGAACAAATATTTATAACAAACTATTTTATTATAAATGTCCTTCATCATACAATGTTCGTGCAGTGCAATTATTTTTATTCTGTTTAAAAAAATTTTTTTTATTAATAGATTTTATTTCAATAATTTCACTTTCTAAAATGATTTTTCTCCCCTATAAAACTATTTATACACTTACAAATTGTATAGTCACACATTTCTCAATAAGATGACAATATTCTATTGTTCTACTTAAATAAATTTATATTTATTTATTTATCGAATTATTACATATATTGCTCAATAGCCACCTCTATAACAAACCTCAAAATATTAAAAGATCTATATATTTACCATTAAATTGGCACATTTCTCCCATAAAACATATTCGCGGTACTTCAGTTACTTGAATTTGCGATGCATTGTAAGCCTTGGCTAGAAAAGGACTCCCAGATACTCTCTGTCCGGCTACCTTTACGTCAATGGTGTAGGTACCTAAAAATAAAAATGCTTACAGTTATTCTGTTCCATAAAAATTCAAATAAATATAATAATTCCCTCTTCAATACATCACATCTGCTAAAATTTAAAGATACAGAATCATAGTTGTATTTGATTTCATACTTCCAATTTATTTTGTCACTGGACTGTTATAATGTCATATATAAAAATTTTAAATTGGAACTTACCTACTTCATATGCATTAAAATCCACTCGATAATTATCATTGGCAAGATCAATTAGATGATATTGAACATTGTTTTGAGAAGGGCCTGAAAGATTGGACAAAAGTATACAAAATAAATATATTATAATATAAAAAAAATAAAGTATAGCAGAGATGGAATTTACATTTTAATAACACAATAAAATACAAAAAGTCATGATTAAAATTGATGTTACAGCACCTTGTTCATTTTATCATTCTCAATTTGTTTCTAATTAAATATATGATTTCTAAATTTTGTAATTATAACAATACTTATTCAGAAATAGCTTGCTCCTCATCACGTTCAAATCGACAAGACACCCACTAGCCAGTATGAGAAATTGGAGATCATCAAGTGGCTTCAAAATCACGGTGTAGAATGCAATTCACCGTATTGCAGTTTATAACACATGCTAGAGAATTCAATTAATGCACAATGATTCATTATAATGCAGACACTTACATCCCAATGTAAATGAGAGAACTACAGTTTTAAAAATAAATTTTAACAAAAAATAGCTTAAATATAAGTGATAAAAAGTGGATCAACATCAGTGTAAATGCCATATTAACTAATATTATGTATTTTTTTAAACAGAAAGTTGCATCTCCTTTTCAAAAAGTGTAAAAAAATTCTTAGTTTTAATTATTAAATAGATATGTATAAATGTTAAAGTAAAAAGCATGCTGTAATACACACTAATGTTGGCAAAATGACTAATGGCATTCGGTCCAGCCACTAATGCCTCTAAATACTCATCTTTAGGAGGCATACAATTTGGATTTCTTCTATGCATATTTTTAAAAAGTCTGTTTCTTTTGGCATAATTTTGAATAATGATTCAAATGAAGAATTTGATTTGAATAATGATTCAAATGAAGAATTACATTTACAAAAAGCATTAGTAAATGTAATTTGGTGCTATTGGGAGCTTTGTGCAAAAAAGAAGAGGAAGAAAGTCTGAACAACATTTTATTGAAAGAGAAAAATTATTCAAACATCTAAAAATTTAGTTGAATAATAAAGTAAAAAAAGCTTAGGTTTAATAGTATTATTTCATTATATCATTTTGTAGATTTTTAAATGTTTATATTACTCATACAAGACATAACATCCATAAAAAAAAATTCCTTTTCAAATGAACTGTCAATTGTTTCATTAACTAAATCCTCGCTTAATCACCCATGGGCAATTATGTGAGACACCACTGTTTTGAATATAATTTTTATTGTAAAATCATGTGAAAGCCTTGTCTGTTTCAATCATGTCCATTACAGAAGGCAAAATGAATACTTGATTGCACTATAAGTTTTCCATTATAAATACATTTTTATATTTGATATTTAAACGTACAAGATAGCTCAAAATTCAGTGAACCATTCTTAAAATAATCTTAATATGCATTTCTTTCAAAGCACAGTTTTATTATAAGATACAATTTCTATATGAGCATTTTATATTCAACATAATTAATTAAATAAAGTGTAAGATGCTACTTTTATATATTAAATTTATTAAATATTCTAACATTTAATTCATTTAAATTGAAATACAACTAAAATAAGAAGGTTAATTGTAAATTATTAGTTTGCAAGTCTAATAAAGAATGAAAGAGTATTAACTATAAATAATTTGAATTTTTATCTTGTTTATCACATATTTAAAAATCATAATACAATACTCAGCAGAGCAATGTAATTTGTGGAATGGTGGTTCTCAAAGTTATCGATCTACATACTGCTTAAATCAAATCATAGACAATCCACCCTAGTCTACTTATTTCCTGTAAATATCACCTTGGATTGTGAGACAAATATTTTGTTTACAGTTCTAGTTTTATTTTCTGACTCCACATTACAATTAAATGGTCTTAAATGCTAATAATCTAAAGAGTCATCATTTTTACTTCAGATAAAATATTTTTTGAGATTGACTATCTCAGCATCTGTATATTTTGTCTATCCAGTAAACAAATGTAAAAGATACATGATGAATTAAAATGTTCTTTTCTCTAGTTAAACGGCATAGAATTACCCTATTGAAAAATGACTAGGTCGATCTTTGGACCTTAGTATTGCCACCTTTTCAAAATCGCTGACCTGGACAATAGGTTTGTTCCAACACAAGTCTCTGACTGGTTTGAATTTGAAACCTTACAGCGCATGAGCAATGTCTTTTTACAGCCAAGAACTGAATAATGCGCATGCCAGTTCTAAACCAGTTAGGGAGTTGTGTTGGAACAAACCTAATATTGGTCAGAGATATTTGCAAGTTAGAATTTTAAATATACATTTTCTGTCACTCTTAGCCTAGGGATAAGTTTGGGTGAGGGTGTGAAGTTAAAATAAATGTTTAACTGTTAAAATAAATATTTGCAAATATTTTAATAAATTTACTTTGTTTTATCATAATTTCACAATTTCTACAAAAACAAGACAAATTAATAATCAATCCAAACCATGAACTTAAAAACTGGCTTGTCTGGGTGAAAACCGGCCTGGTCGCAACACTAGTGAACCTACAGACAATACTTTGAGAACTGCATGACACATTAACTTGAAAGTAACAACCAACCGGTAGATAACTCTCAAAGTCATTATATAACTAAGAATTAATTTATTGTAATAAAATAAACACAATCAATAAACAAAATTCATCAAATAAACTTCTTATATTTGGTATATAAACATTTATTTGACTCTCCTACATAATTATTAATCTTAAACAGAAAACAGACATCTGATATTAAAACTATGCAGAAAAACTTCCCATTAAACCCATTATCTGTAAGATTTATATATTATTATTATTAATACAATAAAATTAAGATATTTACTTACTTGTAATGTTAATGCGAATATCTTCTTTACAATATCCAGATGTGTTTATTTCGAAAGAAGCAGTAGAATCCGTGCTGAACGTCTTTAAAGCTTCCCCTTTTACTGAAATTCCTGAAACTCTCTTAGTTAAATCGACAACTTCGCATTTCCAAGGTGATCCTGTAATAAATATTATATTTAGAACTAATACAGTAGCTCTGATTTATTTTTATATTCGTATAGCTCTTCTAAGATAGCAAATATAATTAAAATTGATAAGTTATCAGTCTCTTTAGGAACAATCAAATTAATATAAATCTACATACTGATAAATAGAAAACTTTTATCAATCTTTTATTGATACATACAAAAGTAATTACATGAAACAAAACTCATTTCAAATTTAAATGATTTAAATATATTTTTTTATAACTTCCAAATAAAAAAGATTATTGAATTTTAATTTAATAGTTCAATTGGAAATCATCTATTAGATATAATTTTCTATATTTAATTAAATGATAATATTTAATAAAGAGATTTGATTACTCATAAAATTTATCGTAAAACTTCATTCAGTTGAACTGCATTAACTTGAAGCCACTGATAGATCCCTGGTATGCAGGGTATTCTATGTAATACAGTTTGTTAAGTCAAAATTTCAGTTATTTTTAACTCAAACCTATTGTCCCATATACCCTTTGCTCTTTGATGAGTCTATGATCATCATTTTCTATTATATTCTCTGTGAATATAGATAATTAAAATAAACAAACACTACAGCTCCATGCCAAATGAACCACAACATTACAATGCTGCATTGATATCCTTTTTATGGATATACTACGGGTGCCTCAACATTGCTCTTAGAAGCACCTGAAGCTGTACACAATTTTAGAAAATTAGGTATTAAACTCATTAATTTGAACCTTTAAGGAGTAAAATATCCCAACTTCAAGTTAAACTTTGACTTAGCAATGTTTTACTGTATTAGAAAATTCATATCATAAAAGAAAGTAAAATTATTTTTATGCATTTCCATATTTAAACTACAATCAAACTTACAAAATTAATATAAAAAAGATAAAATTTATTTAATTTTTGTAATAGACTAGATCACTCAAACAACTAAATGTCCTTATACCAATAATTAAAAAGCATCAATTGTCATATTCAAGTGGTCTTATTTAAATGTTACACAGAGTGGCCTAAAATGCACCTATATAATTTAATTCTTAATTATAATCAAACAACGGAATATACAAATATTACTCGATTAATATTTAAAACAGATTTCAAAAATAAAAACTTCTTTTAAATTTTAATCAAATTTTATTAAAAAAATGACATGACATCGCACAACTTTGCTGTACTGTGATGGAATTGAAGCGAAGCCGAAAGGAAAGAAGCAATCCCTGCACCTGTTAGGCACAGAAGAGGCGATCCTTGTACAGTACCCAATAAATGCAGACAGCTGAACTTTGCACTTGGCACGACAAAAGAGGCTATCCTCATACCTGCAGTCCACGAGAGACATGATCCTTGCACTAGCCAGGTACAAAGAGACGATCCAAGAACAAAGCAATCGAAAGCAATTCAGCAATTGTTTTGTTCTTGTGTTTTGTTTGTTTTTTGCACCTATTTTCCATTAGGCGCACGTAATACTGTTTTTATTTTTGATCCCTGGGCCTAAATTCCATTAGTCGCACTTGTTACATCAGAGAGAATGTACATTGTCATTGTCACAGACCATTGTATATTGAAAACAAAATCATTAAACTTCTGTTTTTACTTTCCTGGCTCTGTTATAGATAACAGAGGGAAAGTATGGCAATCTGGCAAAAAATGACTCCCCCAAGATTTTTACATTTTTGAACTTAGGTGACCTTGAAACATCAAGAAATGCAAAAAAGTTTAGTTTTTTTCTGTATGTACAGATGTGTATGTATTTGTGTGTGTGTGGCACGATTTTTTTACCCCATTTGAAGCTTAATAACTCCTGTGCTTTCGAAAATTTCTGAAATTTTGCAGAGAGATTTATGTATTAGAAAGATTCATGCAATTAAATTTTGGTGGTTTAAGGTCAACAGGATGAAGAGATAGAGGGTGTTCATGTGTCATATCTCAAGTAGGGTCAGACTTAACGACGATTTTACTCATTATTAGCATTTACAATTTTTTATAAAACCCACCCCCTACTCTAAAAATTAAGCTTTATGCCATTTTATAATAATTAAAAATGTAAACAGTTTTTCTAATGAAATATCATAACAGATAGCACATCAGAATTTTAAATGTCGCCGAGAAAGTTAAGCAATTTGTTGCTGGATTTTTTACATTTAAATGGACCCACATTATATTTCTGAATTCCTTGTCTCAATTAATGGAAAATGGCAAAGTTTTATTGAAATCGATCCATTAAATTTTGAGAACAAACTCGTTCCCATACACCCATACAAGACATGCTGGCAACCATAAAACATTGCACGACAAAGTTGCACGATTTGTGCAATATCACTTTGTCATGCACATGTGTAAAATGACCTTATATCTTGAAAACAGTCATAGACCTCCATTTTTTATTGCATTTTTGAATTCTGCAATGAAATTAATAGAAAATGACAAAATCTATCAAATGGATTTTGAGAATGAGCACAATTCTGTAAGCCTCATAGAAGAAGTTTTGCTAATGCTCCACTTCAATTAACTAAACAAATTAATTGGTTTGCAAAGTTTTGAGTGAAACTTCTATTGTTTTTCTTCTTAGAAAATAAGTTTTAAGTTGATATTTTTATATTAAACTGCCATATAAAATACAATAAAATAAACACTGCAAAAACATTTTGGCAGAAAAGAAACAAACCATTTGTTTAATTTAAAGACCATCCTTGGGCAACCAAAACTCAAACACAACAGAATAAAATGTGTAAAATAAGTTAGAAATATACATATTTCTGAAATATATTTATAATTATAATAATAATATACTTGTCACACTTAATTATAATTTAACTTAAAGAATTTTATTCTTTTACTTAAAAAAAAACACCATACCTGGAACTCTTTGACCATTGAATTTCATTTCTATTGCATGCATCGTAGAAGTATGAGGAATGAACGATGCGAGAAAGCGATGATTACCAAGACTTTTGACATTACTCGTCACGTGACCACCATTAACTAAAATTTCTAAATTTCCAGAACCAGCATCTGCGCCATCAACTGATTTAAAAAAATTAATTTGTCATTATAAATATTTGTTTTATAGTTGGTTTTATTCATTTAAGATTTGAATATAAATTAAACTTCTTAATACTTTTCTAATTGTAATTAAACTGTATGTATTAAAATAATTAATTATTTCAATACAAAATAACATTAATTGTGATTTAATGGCATTTTGAAATTAATTTTTTAACAAAGTAATAAAACATTACTTTATTACAATAAAAATTGAAGAAATATTTTATGTATGCATTTCTACTTTAGTTTACTTTGTTGTTTCCATAATATCATACAATAAATTGATATAAACTGTTGCGTAAGCTACATTTTGTATGCATGAAATTTTACATATTTGTAGAGCAATGAATACTGGAGTTCTCAACCTGCTTTTCTTTGACTTTGAACAAAAGCAAATCGCATGATTCCAACATCATATAAAAAAACATCCTGGATTATAGTCCAGTTTCTGCTATTTTTTCTCATTAACTGTTGAAAATTTGGTTCTTAAACTACTCTATTATCATAGAATATGGTCACAGGAAAGAAGAGAACTTCACCCAGGGTTTTGAATTTTTCTAAAATGTAACAAATTTTGACTCTGCTATTTGTAATATATAAGCACTCTACCAGCAAATTAATATTATTCTCAATGCAACTGTCAAATGAATTCTTGCAATGTAATTATTGCTCAATTTGATATACATTGAGAACAAACAGAAAATTGCTTATGTAAAGAAAATTGCATTCTCTAAATTCTGTCATATTCTCAATAAATAAATCATTCCCTCTTAATCACCTCATATACTTTGTGAGTAAATAGGGTGAGATGCAAATCTGTTTAACTAAAAACAAGTCATATATATATCCCATATTTATACAGGGTGTTTATAAATGAATGGTGCGGTTTTAAAAATTAATAACAAGTAAAACGGCAAAACCATATTTGAGACAAGACTATGTCTCGGAGACTGAATCACTTTGATGCTCAAGGCAGGTCTCAACTTCTTTGATATTGCTGCTTTTTTCAAACTTTGCCGGCCATGACCACGAGATCATCCACGATGCATCTTCGATGAAATTAACCTATCTAATTTCGAAATTTCTCTCCATTGCGTCGGCCTGGGTTGAATTTTTGTCGATGCATAACAAAAAGTTCCCATTTTTTAAAAAAATAATCGTGGCTATTGTATTGTCTGAAATTATTATTTTTTTTTTGCACAAACAATATACAGTTTAACCCAATTATAATGTCATCGAACGTAACGACAACCCTAATATAACATCAAATTTTTATTGGTCCTACAATTTTGCTATACTAGATAATGTTAAAAAAAACCCACTTGTAACGACATAAAACTGTTTTAACGTCATATTTGAAGCACTCCTAAATTTACAAAATTAGATTACAGTTTTATTTAACATAGAAGAAACTGTGTTCAGTCCTAAGGTCAGAGTTCACTTCTTAGAATGACTGTGAGTGGTACTCTCCCCTACCTGACTTCAGTGGGGTGAGGTGCCTGTTTTGCCTGTTTGTAGAAGAGGGTCGCCATTTTGTATTTTATTTTGACTCTATTCTCAGTCCCCTGACTACCTACGAGTCTGGATTTTTTATGCGCAAATGATTTGAGCACCTAATACTCTGTGCCAAATATCAACTCTCGACATGTACTCCTTCATACCTCTATGCTGGTAAGAAAATCGGGCAGTACGATTTTATAAACAAGACAGTCTTGTCAATAAGTCTATTTATTACCTTATATGGGCAAACCTTACAGCATAAGCTGCAGCAATTTTTTGCAAGTTTTTTATGCATTAATCACAATCCTTCAATACGTGCACCCATGGTCATCCGACACACATCTACACAGTAATCAAATTCTTCCATATGTGGTGTAGCATGTCCTCCATGATGGTCTGCAGTGCATGCTTTATCTGATCACACAGTTCCTCAAGGGACATGGGCATTGATGGTACATAAACTCAGTCAACGCCTGAGATTAAGGTAATAAATAGTTTTATTATTAATTTTTAAAACCTCACCATTCATTTATAAGCACCCTCTATATAATCAACCAAGACTGAACTTCACAATTATCTAATTATTAAATGCCAAATTAATTTTGGGCTCTAACACAACACTATTAATAATCAATACAAAGCAATATGGACTAAATGTGAGTAGTTAAGCTGCCATCTTGTACTAATTTTAATAACATTTATTTTGAATTAAACTTAATAATTTAGAATATTCTGGAAGAAAAATCAAGTCCCATTCTAGAATAAATCCAGATTAGGACTCAAACCTGCAACTTCTACTTTACCATGAAGATGCATTACCAGTTAGGTTACCGAGATTTCTGTCCAATCTTTGCTTCCAGATAAATTAAGACAGATAAACACTTGTCTTTCATAACTAGTAACACATTACAAGCCAAAGTCCTATTCCAGATTAATCTTTTCTTTGCTAACTTATATTAATCTTACACACATTTCCAGCAACAACAAGACAATGCAGATTATACAGTGCAAATGTTTTCAGCCCTATTTAACGGCCATTTTCAGGCTTCTGCTGAAGATTGAAGCCTGAAGCTGGTCACTAAACAGGGCCAAAAATATTTGCCATGTTTAATTCACATTGTCTTGTTGCTCCTGGAAACATGTGCAAGGTTAACATAATAATTTCAGCTTTACATATAATCTGACTCTTTTCTTCTTATAATATTCATAAATTAATGTAATTACTAAAATTAATATGAGATGGCAGCCTATCTGCCTACCTTTAGATGTATTTACTTTGTATTAATTATTAATAGTAGTTAATTATAACCCAAATATAGCATTTAATGATTTGATAAAAAAATAAGTCAAGCATATGAAATCTAACAATTCTAAACTTTCCTATAATCTTAGGAGCAAAAGTGCTGTTTACATCAACCTAAAGATCTCTAACTTTACTCATTTCAAATCAAATTATGAGAAAAATTTAAAAAAGAAAATAATTTCTTATAAAAGTAAACTGCAGACATAGAATTACTATTATATTGTACAATATTTCTGACACTAAAATTCATTAAATTATTAAAACTTACTTTCAAATTCGACAGCTTTTCCAACAACACCATTTGGTATATTTCCAACTTTAATTTTAGAAGCGTCGTAACCATAACAACAATATGGACTCCCGGATAAAGGCCTACCATTTATTAAAACGTCTATGACATGTTCTCCGACTTCTGGGGTGATATATTCAACTTGATATTCACCATGAGACAGCATATCCAAACGAATTGGAATTTCTCTTCCAGATGGTGCTATATAAATGAAAATTAAAAATAAATATGTAATCAAGGTAATATTTATTTTTAATTGATCTAAACATAAAATTAGACTAACCTGTCACAATAACATTGATGTCGTCCAACTTTAAATTTGGTCTAGAAATAGTAAAAACAGACGGTTGTTTTACCGGAACCATTCTTAAGCCATCGCCTGATATAACAACTTGATTAGTATTCAGTGTTTCTTTATGTAATAAAGATTCTGTGCTTTGGTTATTATCAACTGTCCTAAACTGATGCATAATGTGGCTGTCTTGTTTAACATTTGTCGACATGCTATCAATGTGACTAGGATTGTATGGAAGATTAGCAAATTCTTCTCCGGAAAATCTCTGCCTACTCTTTTGTTTGGTTCCAAATTCCCCTTGCGTTCTTGATAAATTTTTCTGATAATAGTTTTCTTTCACTTTATTTTTTGTTAGTTCTGTATGATCATGATGCAAATTTTCAAATTTTTCATTCGTTGTGCTTTGAAAGCGACTACCTTGTTCTCTCAGTGATGAACTTTGAGTTGTAACATCTACCGAAACTGGTTTTTTGGGAGTAGGAGGAGGAGGTTTGAATGATCTTGTCTCCTCTTTCCGTGCCATTAGTTTATTATTAACAAGTTCCGCCCGTTGATGAAAAGACAGCTCTTCATGATCAATCTGTTCTAAGGAGGACGAAGATAACGATTTTGAAGATTTACTTAAATTTTTAGAATCATATTGTTCATTGTTTTTTTCTTCTTCCCAGTAAGAAGTAATAAATTTTGATGATTTTGGCATTTGATTATTAAACGATAAGCTGCTGTTTACTATTTCGGCTCTTTGTTGAAATGATAAATCATCATCATTGTCAACGTTTCTAAGAGATAATTTTGACGAAATACTATGACTACTTCTAATGTTTGAAGCATCACTCATTGTATTAATGTGATCAACTTTATGTTGTAGAGAAGAGACAAAGTGGTTTTCTTTATTAAAACTTGAAAAATTTTCTAAGCCAGAAGACATCACACTGTGATGTAAATTCTTTTTTGTTTCAAAATCAGTCTGATTTCCTTCAATTTCTCTATTTAATATTGTTAAATTATCGCTTATTCTTAATATGAAAGGTGAACCTAAATGAAAATAAAATTAGAATTTATTAAATGTAACAAAAATAAAATAAAATAATTCTTCAATTTGATAAATGTGGTTAATCTACTTGAATCTAAGATAAACTAGCAATTTTTTTTTTGCCCAAACTTTTTAAGAATCAATTGAACACTCACTATAAAAACTGCACCAATTAGCAAAAACTAGAAACCATGTTAAAAATGGATTAAGCAAATGGTAACACTCAATAAGAACTTATTTAATCATTTATTAAGAATAATAAAAAAAATACACTGTCATAAGATGACAATTTGTAAAGGATACAGAAATCAACAAAGGGTTATTTTTCACATATAAATTTCTAATACAATATAACCTCCTTTATCTGATAATGGATAATGCAAAATCCCATTTATTATGAAGTCATTTTCCAGTCCTGTGAGCAAAGATAGGGATTTTAATGTAAAGCTGTTTAGTTAATATGTAATACAAAATGTATTTTGGTCCCCAGAATATGGGGGTCATATTGTTTGGGTTGATTAATACAAATGTGAGCCCGAGGGTTTTGAGGGTGTAAATTTTTGAGTTTAACATATTTTTACATTAGAGGATGAAAAACTTTATCGCAAGTTATAATGGAAATAGGTCAGATGTCGAATCTTACACATTGACAAGGTAGGAAGGAAGAAAAGCAAGTTATCGTCCATTTGTTAATTAGTCAATGTGCGCATGCTAATTAGTAATTATAACAAGTGAACAATCAATTGGCTCAGTGCCAATGACGATCGTATAAAAACGATCATCACGGGAAGTTCAGGGCGATCGTCCCCTCAGTGCGACTGTCGCTCCGCGCAATCATCGGGAAGGTCTGAGTACAAGTGTCTCCTGTCCCAGTCCTGTCCAAGGAGAAGCTGGTAGAAGACATAAGCCTGTGGCAGCCAGCCAGCTTCCATAGTCCAGAATGATTGTCGCATACCTCATCCAACATCATATTAAGGTATATCGAAGCACAGTAACCTTCTCTAACTCTTTGTAAACTCTCTCATGCAGCATAGTGAATAGTTAGATTGCTGTTATAGATAGATTTGTGTTATCTGCATCTAAGCATTAAATCAGTAAATTCTTTATGTATACTCATGTAGATTTGCTTTAGTTATATAATAAACCTTTATTCTTTGTTGTTTAGACCTGCCTCCTGTCTATCCGAGGAAACCTCTTGACTTACCGACGCACTCCCCACTCGTTTTGTCCTCCTAGCCATCCAAACGACTCCGAGATTGGGCTTTATCAGCCTGTGCAGATTAAGTGGTCAAGACGAGATTAACCCCTGACTCCCTGCTTATCTCACTCTATATGTACTGTAGGACATTGTGAGTCTGAACTACACAAGACTGAGCTTTACTTTGATGTTGTTGTGGTGTTTCTTATTATCTGCAGCCATGCACAAGTCTCATATGCTTTTTTTTAGGGGAAAGACTTGTTAGGGTCTTTTTGAGTGATTGGAAATGGCAAAATGCCAGTGCACGTTGCCATTTCCAATAGTTATTACTTATTTGAGTTTGGTTAATGTGAACCTCATTATTAAGAAGTCTATACTTTTTAGTACCCAAAATTTCATAATAAAGAGTTTATACTGTACTACATTCTGCAGAATTAAAGTAGAAATGTCAGAAAAATGGAATTTAAGAAAAATCAAACATTATATCAATTCTTTGAGTATGATAAAGAAAACTATATGTTATATGTTAAGAATTGGTTCCATATCTTAGCTCAACTAAATCAAGAATAAAAATCAGTTCTTTTTATACTTTTCATATTGCCAACCTCAACACCTCCTCAATTGTGATGTCACCTGCCACCACACCTTCATTGGTTTCAACCTTCTTGATGAATGTTGAAACCAAAATGCCTTTCAATACATCATCCAATTTGTGGCAGTTTATATTTGTTGAAGGAATTCCAAGTTGAGAAGAAAGACAGAAAGATTTTGAGCCAAATATGAGATATAATTTAAAACAATTGTATTTCGTTTCAAAAGAATTTTCTGCATACAAAAAACTTAAACTACTAAAGAATCATTTCTGTCTGAAAGTATGATGATAGTAATACTAAGACTTTACCTGACAGTATAGAAGAAAACTCACTCATACAGGAAGAGAAACCAACTATAGAATAACTCTAAATCAAATCATTCACATACTAACCATGTATCAACAGGCATCTGCTACAACTTTTCCAAGGGGACAAAAGGATACACTCCCACTATTATAATTATTGTTTAAAATTATACATCTTAGCTTATAATACATAAGTTATTGTATTATTGAGTAAGGCATATAAATTTCCTCTCCTTAAAGAGAGGAAATTTACACTCCTTGAAGAATTAATTATAAAGTTCCAATTTCCAAATTGGAACTTTATAATTGATCCAGTGGGGCAAATGACCTGTTTGCCCCCAGCAGATGCCCATGCATTTTCTACACTATCAGCACTACATGTACATAAAAAGATCCTACTCTAGAACAGAACAAAGCATTAAGCAGAAAAAAATTACTCAAAATCAACACAGTTATTTTAATAACTGTAAAAAATATTTTTAATCTGTCATTAACATTATATATATTTAGTATTTTAATATTAATCAAATGTAATGATTAAAATTGAATGTAGAAAACTATAACTAACCTTTTACTTCTAAATTATTAAATAAAATATGGATTTCATATTTTCCACTGTACACAGGAGTAAAAGAAATGTGATAAATTCCATTTCCTCTCTCGTCAACTTCATGTGGAATGCTAAGTCCTTCTTTTTTTATATTCACTTTTACTTTTCCCCATCCTGCATTACTTGCATCGCACTTAAAAGTAACTTCTTTATCGGATGAACCCTTCTCAAATCCGGAAACCTAAAAGATGAAGTTACTGTTTATAAACTGCACATCATCATAATTAAAATCTTGAAATTTATTTTATAAATAGTTTTTCATAATTACTTTAACTTGTAAGGGATCGTAAACGAAACAAGTAAAAGGACTTCCTTGAATGTGTTCTCCCGAGTATGTGACGAAAATTTTCCATTCTCCTACAAATTAATAAAATTATAATTTTAATTATAAAAATGTTCATTTAAATTTATTTCAAACTTTTGTAACAGTGGTTCCATGGCATTATGGAAAGAGTGAATTACATGAATTGCATGTGAAATTATGGAAACAAAGTTTGTGTTAATATAAAAAAATAATAATAATAATGCTACTGTGAAACTGTATATAAATTGTCAAATTGCCAATTGTTTATGCTTGAAAATCAGAGTTGTTTAACCATGATTTTAGATATGTAAATCAAGAAAGAGGAATGTACTGGAAAAAATTCTTTAGGTAAAGAGGTCCTTCCTTGGATAATTATAAATTCTAAATAATGATAAATGTTTGAAGAACCAATCAAAAAGACGATTGATTAAATAATAACAACCAAACAAACAACGTTAGGTCAATTTAAATCTTTATCCTTTTTAAATTCCAGCTAGAGACAGAGTTAACACTCTGTCTCTAGCTGGATAAAATAAAATTCTTCATTAAAAATGATCGATGATATAGGGGTTATTATAAATACATCAAGCAACGTATATAGGCGAATAGGAGCTGCTACAAAGAAAAGAATAGTATACAAAAGGAGTCCCACTATTTATCAGTTGCTAAGGGCAGACAAAGATGCTGTGGACAAGAACACTATTCCAGGAGTCTACAAAATCCCGGTTACAGACACACGGAGGCAGAATATGATGTTCTACATCGGGGCCACCGGAAGATCCATCAAACAAAGGCTGTTAGAGCATCAGAGAAATATAAGAAAAGAGCAGCCATGCACAGCGCTGGCGACGTACGTCTTAGCCGACCCACAAGAGGTCAAAGCGGAGTGGGACCAAGCTAAATTGGTACAAATAGTACGCGACAGAAAGCACCTCAGATACGCCGAAGCCTGGCATATCTGCAAAACAAGCCAAAAAGGTTTAGCTATCAACTTCCGGGATGCAAGCAAAATATCGGCAGCATGGCGAACATGCATAGCATAGCAGCAACTCTCTTGACTCTTGTTTCTATGTGCACTTTATTGTATTTTAACGTATTTACGGGCATTATTTTAACACTTTATTGTGTTTTAATGTATTTAATGGTATTATTTTAACTATTTATAGCCAATATGTAGAGATGGCGCTTATACGATAGAATATCTTTTTAAAAACGTTCCAAAAATAACGCTTGTATCGGTAACGCAAATCTTTAATTCGAAGTTCGATTTTTCAGTTTTTCTTGATAAAGGCCATTGAATATGGTCGAAAACGTTTGAATTTATTTATTAAATTACGGCTGCATATGTAAAGGTTTGTTTGAGTGTATTTAGTTAAGAAATGCAGTCTCGGACGAGTTATAAATACATCAGTGACCTAAGTAATATTGTGAAAACTTTTAGTACTGTGTGTTGTTGGCATTGGATCCTACAAGAAGACATCAGCATCAAGTTTTTAAAGAACATGTTTTTAATGTCATATCACTGATCATTTTTAATGAATTTTATTTTATGTTCAAGTTATTAACTTTCTCTGGCTGGAATTTAAAAAAGGATAAAGATTTAAATTGACCCAAAATTATTTGTTTGGTCATTATTATTTAAACATGTAAATAATCCTTGGAACAAAATGATTTATTCAATCAAAAAAAACTTAATTCAACCATCCACCTAGGAAAGTATGCAAGAGAAGTCTGGGGAGGAGCTGAAAAAGACTTCAAGAGGACAACAACTTCTATTGACCTCATGAAGTCTCTTGAAGTCATCCATGCTGTCAAATTATCCTTGGTTGTCCTTCTGTGAAATGAAATTCCCAAGCTTACTGTAAAGAGTCTTCAAAATCTGACAAAGTCTTCAACCTTTTCAATCCACCAACCAGAGAAAAGTCTTTAACTTGTGAATCAACTTATCAGAATTAAACACTAATAACTTAACAGAATTAAACAAACCACGCAGCATTTGTTTGAATCACACAGGCATCTATGTCTGGAGGCATCTTGAATTCTCTCTCTCAATATATGATAAATAAATTTGCAATAGTGTAAAGTGTATATTCAGAAATGTATTTGTAAATATTATATAGAAATAAATTAAATACTGTTCATTAAAGAAAATAATCATTTTCCTGTCTCCTTCTGAACAATCATGCTCTTATCTATGTACAAAGGTGACATTTTCACCTATACAAATTGAGTTTGTCAGTTCTCAGAAAAAATTGTCTGTTATCATTATGTAAAGAAAAGAGCAATTTTAACTTGATATAGGAGCCCTTTAATTTAAATATTTACATATTAAAATTAAGAAATTTAATATTTCTGCTTTTTTCTATCTAATTTTATAGAATACACTTGATGTAATTACTTTGTGACTTTCCTGTACTAATAGCAAGAACTGAATGATAACATTAAGCAAAAATAAATAAGATTGTAATTAGTGAAAATTACAGTATTATTAACTCTGACATCACATGTTAAAATAATTAAAAATTGTAAAACTCAAAGATTTATTAAAGTTTTACTCAAATTACTCAAAATCTTTGAGTTTTGAGTAATTCATCTATAGGTCTAATGATTGCCTGATGTTTTTTGTCTTTAATAACAATTAGAGTATAATTGAAATAAGAAATTTCCACAATTTAAACTACTGAACTGCAAAAAATTAGCACTCAAATGTTTAAAATACTGTTTAAGACTGATAAAAACTATGAATTATCAGCCAAATGTTGAGACAAATAGCATGAGAAAACTTTTTGCCTATTTATCTGAAGATAATGATAATAACTCAAATCTGATTACAATAAGCAAAGCTTTTTTAACTTATATGTTTTGAGATGTGCTAATTCTGACATAACTTTAAATGAATAACAATAATAAGTAAATTCTACACTGAGTGTGTGTGTGTGTGCAAACATGCAAGCTGATTTATAGAATAATATCTTATTAACAATGTGTAGATTTTAGAGAAAAAAACATAATATGCAATATGACATAAATAAAACTGTGGGCTTGCTAGAAAGGACGTCTTAGTGTCTACAGGACAGTACAAGATCCAAAATATCAGATAATTTACAAGATAAATTAAAATAGAATAAATAACTGATTCTTACAGCTCTATTTTTACTTAAGTGACAAAATACATCTGTAATCAATAGGATGACTAACACGCCAAATCAGTGTATTTGTTTTTGTTATTAAAAATACATCTGTTTAATCACATATTAATTACATTTTATTTGAATATATAATACTACATACAGTAAAACAGAACCTCTACAGAATAAAAACTTGCCTAACTAAAGAATAAATCTCAGAGCAGAACAGTTTATTATATAAATACTATTTTAAGCAAGAAAGCTGTAACATAAAAACAAAACATTTTAGAAATCAATTGCATAACAAACTAAATAAAGCAGAATATTTCTTCATAACAGTAGCTGAAATTTAAATTATATTAATGCTGTAATGTGCAGGTTAAGATCATGGCCAACTTCTTAATAATAAAAGCTACAGTCTATCTTTTTTGCTTTGTTAAAATACTGCTTTCATTCTTGGAACTAGACAAAATTCAGTACTACAATTACTGAAATGGGGAATAACAAAAATGAATTCCTAAAAGTAATTATTCTTTTAGAAATTATATGATAAGGGGACCAGATGTCCCCAATATCCCAGGACTATCCCTGGTTTTGCCTGTTTTTAATATTTGACTATAGAATAAATTTTCATATAGAGCAATTTTATTAACACATCACTATTATATCATCAATTTATATATCAATAAACAAATAAATTTTAAAAAATAACTAAAAATTCAATCAGTTTCAGACTCCGTTTTCATGGATTCTGAAATGTGTTTCTGGTTGGATTGCAAATAATATGATACATCTTTATAAGAGTAACTTTTATTAAATAAATTTTTAAAGTTTTATGTTAGTCTGGTCTGACAATAGTTAATGAATTAAATATGTTGGATGCTGCTAACTAGCAAGTGACAATAGCAAGTAATCTTTGTGACTAAGGCAATTAAACACTATAAAAATTCAGTATGCAGAGTTTGTGGGTACTGAGTTTTATAGTTTTTATTCCTCTGTGCACAACATATATGTTGCCCACTAGTAGCTGAGTGGATAAAACTGAATACTGAACACTGGTAGTTGGTCATGGGTATGCACTTCACCAACATGCCAGCCATGTGGAGTTTTCTGGGTTTTCTTTGCATTTGTAATATCTAAATAGAAGCCAGTTTTCCATAGAAAATCTTTCCAGGAGTTATCCCCTTGGCAGATCACCCAAGTGTTGCATTGCCATGTAAAAACAAACAAACCACAAAACATGTTGATGTTTTCATTATGTTTTGAAAGCATATAACCCTTATGTTGAAGAAGAAAATAAGTTTAGAAATACTTACGGTGGAGAAGCAATTCTAAATTCAATTCTGACATCTTTTTCAACTTTTCTCTTTTTCTGCATTAATAAAAACACAACCCTCTATAAAATGGAAGCCTGACAAAATGGAAAATTCTGGCCGGTACCCATCATGCTTCATTTTAGACACATATTACACATGTATATATATATATATATATTTATACAAAAGCTTAAAAATTAAACGGCATCACAATTACAAAAAAGAATGATAAAATATATCTGCTTTTTATAGTTTTGAAAATCTTGTAATTGCAACAATAAACTGAGTCATTGAAAGTACAAAAGATTGGATTTGTGATTGCAAAACGTTTGTTAGAAAATGTCAATGATTCCAAAATTTTGTTACATTAGGAAATGTTTGTATTTCATTGTATTTTAACTATTAAAGCTAGTATTGCCTGTTATTGTAAAAAATTTTCCAATTGGCTATTACTGGCATTCCATACAAATTTAAAAACTAATATGCTTATATTATACAAAGAAATGAGGTTACAGCAATGTATATTTATTTATATAAGATAGCTCCACATGATCAGTATTTGCCGAATGCCAGGCAAACATTTTGTCAATATCAAGTAGTGTGGGCAATTTACTTATTACTAATAGTTGGTATTCACCATTTCCCACTCCTTGTTGGTATATTGTGCCAAATCAAATGAGACAAATAGGCAATTATTCAACAATTGGCAAATATCAAACATATGGATTGCCTTAAGGCAAATATCAGTTGCATACAACTCATTTAGATATATTTAAACAGGTGTATCTAATTATAAAACAGAATGATAATTGACAAAATAATTCATAATTTAATTATTTTCAAAAGATATTGAATAATGGAACTATTATCTAAATTTTATTAAATTTAAGGTAATATGATATTAATATCAGGACTAAAGCTACCATACGGGCAAACTGAGTATTTGCCCAGGGTGGCAAATGGCAAGGGCAGCAAATTTTCATAAATTTGTACAAAATTTTCAGTCCTATTACTTTTAATTAATATTTTTTTGTTATTATTTATATTACATGGTACAATTTGAATACTGATTGATGGAACAAGGTATGGCATTTCAATACAAAATTTTTTTCATTTTATTTAGGGGAATAAGTTGTGTCAAATGCATGTCTTGCCCCAATGGCAAAAACTGAAGTGACGGCTCTGATTATTATTTTAATCAAATGCCTTATTTTCCTATTAAATCTAATAAATTTAACAGGAAAATAAGAAAATTAAATAAATTTTCTAAGTTTAATAAATGATGTAAATGAAAAACATAAAAAGTTACCAATTTCGTCAGGAGTAAAAGTTGCTGTATAGGCACCATCATTCACACCAATGGGGCAATGCTTATTTTTTCCACTTGGTGCTATGGCTTCTACATCTATTTTTCCTCCTCCGGCACCATTTGAATTGATCTGAAAATAACAATATTATAATTTTTTTAATGTAAAACATTTCTTATGCATTGTTTGAAACTGAATTATTTGAATTCTTTGAAATTTGAAATTGAAAATGAAATTTTTTAAATACAGTAGAGCGTTGTTTGGGAATCAATTGGGGACTGGGGTTGTTCGGATAACTTATTTTTCAGATAACCAATTATGTACAAAAAAATATATGAATTTATCCTGTGTTGAAATTTTTCTCTGTTGCTTGTTGCTTCACGTTGAATTTTCATCGATGTTAAGCCTAACGAAGACTATTGTATCGTTAAAAATTATTTTTTTATTTTGTACGAACAAAATAAATATATTGAAAAATATAAAAACAATAAAAAATTATACTTCAGAAGTTAATTTAGTATCAAAAACGTAAAATATTTGAGTAGCTCAAGACATAGCCAAAGATTGCAGTGCCACAGCACTGGCGAAAATATAAATTTGTTGACTGGAATTCCTTCGGGTAACCGACGTTTCGGATAACCAACCTTCGGATAAACGATGCTCTACTGTATTTAAATTAACTTACAAAGTTTAATTTCTAAAGTATAGGATGGACAATTTATCACGGATATGAATCATTAAACTTTAATAATCCACCTAAATACAGTGGAAACTCAATTACCTGAAACTCTGAATTATTTGAAAGGGTAAAAAATCCTATATGTAAAAATGTGTAGCATTGTACAGTATATACCACAGAGTATAACACATACAGACCAAACTCTTCAACTGGAAATCATTGTGTCATTTGTTGATTATAGTGCCATGAAACTAAGTTATATATGTAACATTATGTTAAATTTTGAGTATCACAGTGCTTGATGTACCCAAAACACAAAAACTAACATGTTTTTGGATTATCTGAAATTCTGTTTATCCAAAAGACCCCTAGATCCATAAAGTTCAGATAATCTAGTTTCCACATTATTCAGAATCATTAGAAGTAGAGTTAATCCAACTGCTAATGAAGCCAACATCAAATGCTAAACATTATCCAACAATGGTCTTTTTCCATCTCCAAGCAATTGGATATTTAACATTCCATATTTTGAGTATTTTAATTTTCCAAATTTGAAATTCTCTTTAAATAAAATAATTAATTTGATATGACAAAACTAAAAAGTTTATGTTGGTGCCAAGAATCTGTGGATAATTAACATCAGATGAAAAAAGTACCAATTATAATTCAAAGCATAATGTTAGTTATATAAATCTGACTAATATTAATTAATTATTTATTCATTAATGTCAAGAGCATTCAACAAACTAAACTAGAAAACTGTAGTGAGAATAATCAAATGTAAAAAAATCTTCAAATATACGAATACATCTATGAAAGGTTCATGCATTACCACAGCACATACATCAATTAATATTAGTAAAGCTTAGGTAACAGATTTTACATTTATGCTTTTGCCTATACTTTTTCTATATTCTAGATATTTGTTAAATATCAAGAATTTTTTCAGAAGTGTAAACTGCACATGACATTTCAATGAGTAATACAAAATGACTGATAACAATTATATCACTATCACTTGTATCATTTATGATACTATCATAATACACAATACATGTGACTCACAGCAATATGACCTTTGAAAACAAATAATTCTAATTCCTATTTTAAATTTTATGTTGCTAAAACACAAGTTTTCCAACTCTGTTTAGTTTGTCAATGTAATAGTTTGGCTAAAAATAGTTTGATTTATTTGCTTACTCGCCAACATGAAATATTTGAGTACAAGCGAACTTCTTATAAAAATAAAATGATGCAATCAAAGGAGACTTCAAGTATGTTTACCAATGAAATATTATACTAAGGGGTCATCCCAATTCATTGTCTGAGTGGTTGATTTAAATGCCATTGACTATTTTTAAAGATGTTTATTATTTTTAATTTATTCTGTATTATTTTAAAGAACAGTAATTTCTTTTATCTTACTATCAATTATTCCTTAAATTTTTAAATTATTATTAGAGTTATTTAATTAATATATGTAATAATATAAGTAATGTTTGGATACAGAATTATTATAAACTGCAACACAGATGTAAAGAGCATCGTGAAGTGACGTAAAACATTGCATTAGACCACCAAAGTAAATATGTAATATCTATATGATTATTTTTAAATGACTATTTCATTGATTAATTACTGACTGAATATTTAAATTATTCCAATTGTCAACTGTATTAAAATTATTCTATTTTGAGAAATGTCTTCAAGTTCTATCAGTATGAAAACATTTCATAATCCAGTAGAATTAGTTCTTCAATTAAATCATATGCCTCTGTGTTAGTTTAGTATTTAAGATGTCTATTCAGACTTATTTTATTAATAGGACTTATTATATTGACGACTTGATTCAGCAAATTTAAGAAAACTTATCAGATAAAGATAATTTTTTCTGATAAGTTTTTTTAAATTTGCTGAACCAAGTCGTTAGTATAATAAGTCCTATTAATAAAATAAGTCTGAGTAGACATCTTAAGTTCTTCAATTGTTGATATTGTGTTATGCATGTAGACTGATGCCAGGTGAGTCCAGATTGGCATGCCCCTTGATCTTGATTAACTCTGCATGTCTTCTTTCTGTGTGTCTCAGTTTGTGATCACATGTAGACTGTCAGCCATGTTCATAACTACATACTCATAATGTAACAACCTCTATGGCTAATAAAATATTTGTGAAACTGTATTTGTAATAAGAGTAATCATTCATTTTATGGACCTTACACCTTGTCATTGTGTTTTTGATAATTTATTTGTAACATAAAACTCAATAATTTCATTTTTTTTCTTCTTCCAAATGTTATAATTTCATACTCCAAAGTCTGTTTCATTATTTAATTTTCCTATTTATGTCAAACCAGCAGGTAAGACTGTCATTACCCAAGCAAAAAATAAGTACAAAGAGTAAAATTATTAGATTATTTCATATTTCTAACCCTTCTATTATATTATATTATAGTATTTAATTTATATAACTACAGATGTTATCTTATGTAAGGATTTATCACACTGAATAACACATTTTTAAAATTCTTTAAACTGTGTATGGTAGAGGAGGAAAATTTTAAAAATGCGTTAGATCAGTCACTTGGTGTGATCAATCCTTACGTAAGATAACACTTGTAGTTATATAAATCAAATATTATGATATAACAAATATTAAAATATAAATCATATAAAGAGTTTGTTATTTTAGCCCATCATTGTAATGTTTATCACAATAATCAGATGGCATGAAATGGCACAATTTTATTGGTCAAGTACACAGTAATTAAAATTATGATATATTAAATTTTTTAAGATATCATTTTTTTCTAATGTTAGCTCTAACAAACTGTTCCATTCACAGCTGAATATCAAATGGTAATCTGACAATGAATCAAATTTTGCAAAAAATGAACTAAATATTTAAACTTGGCATCCTTGAAAACCACTTAAAACATATTTTGTGCTTGCCGGTAACCTTGTATTATGTAACTTTCCTATTCATTCCTTAATTTTGAGAATGGGACAGATGAAAGTTGAGACAAGACATGGAAATTATAAGAGAAAGAGGACCAGATTAATTATATATGAACTTCCAATTTGAACTGCGAGTCACATTATTTCAAATCAAAAATTTTTCCCTGAACGAAGTTAGATACATAACCGACACAACTCTATTGCTAACAGGAAAAGTATGATGTACAAGGCAAAACATTATTACACTCCAAGCAGGCAAGTGCTATGTGCTACCTGTCACAGTAACGGCATAATGGGTCATCTATTTTCCACTATAATATTGTCGCAGTAATTCAATGAATATAATGTCTAGATATTATATTCACTGAATTACATTAGAATAGACATTTATCATTTATTTATTTACATTTGAATAGACATTATCTTTTTTGTAAGAATTATATTTAGTTAATTATTTTGTTAAATTTTTTTCCAATAGATGGTCCTACATGTAAAGCCAGCAATCAAATGTAAACAGAAATGAATTGATATATAGAAATCCAATCAATAATTTAAAGTGGAATGTACAACATTATCTAAGTTAGAAGTATTTAAATGTAAGTGCTGAGTTTCATAGCAATCAGTCAAATGGCCTAGATATGCATAGCAAACAAACAAACAAACACCCTCATTTATATATATATATATATATTATTCTAAAATTTAATATAAATATATAAAAGTAGGCAGTTATGCCATCATCCTGTATTAAATTTAATAAGATATTTACATTCTGTCATTGTCATTTTATTAAAAATCTAATCTAATAATTTTTCTCATGTATTACAATTTGATTTTTTTCTGTTGTGTATTTTGAGTTTGATAAAATGCCAGAATATGTGTAAAAAATTCTGCAATGAGTTGCTTAACTTTCCCAGAGAAAAATATTTATGTTTAAGAAGCACTAAGATGCATTAGCACAAAGTTAAAATTGTGTGTAGTGCCATCTGTTATGAGATTTTATTAAAAAATAACTTTTATACTATTACTTAATATTAAAAAAAGTTTAAAGACTTAATTTTGAGAGTAGAGACGAGTATTTATAAAAAATAACAAATGCCAATAACAAGTGAAATTTTCCTTAAATCCAATTCCACTCGAGATACTATGCATAACCCCCCTCTAACTTCTCACTCCTCAACCTTTAACCACCAAAATTTAATAGCAACAATGCTCCTAATATACAACTTACCACACCAAATTTTTATATTAATTAATCTTTACCCCATCTTGAGTTATTAAATAAAATAGATACCAATATACAGGCACATACACACAAACACACTGAATTTTTTTCTCATTTTTTTTAAAGTTTTTTGAGTTCAGGGGTAACCAAATGCTGAGATTTGCAAAAACTCCAGAGCATAAAACTTGACACAATTACAATACTTTCTTTTGTTATATACGTAACAGCTGGGAAAGTAAAATTCATGCAAAAATATAATTAATGTCAAATATTACCGATTCACAAATTGAACTGTACAGATTAATTTAATTTTATAATTATTAATTTAACTTAATTTTATAATTATTTAAAATTAAAATTAATACTTAAAAATGTAATATTTAACTTAATAAATTAAAATTTTTAAAAATATTTTATAGCAACAGTTATCAATTTGCAATAAACTTACCAAGACTTCGACAATTGAACCAAGGGCACAAGGATCGATTCCTGAGAACAGGATTTTGGAAATGTCAGGTTGCACACAAATTTTAAGTGGACAGCAACTAATCATTTCCTCTTCACAATAAACAATTAACTAGAAAATGCAAACAAAAAAGTACATATCAAAATATTTTATAATATATAAAAATTATAATTTATAGACTTTTCAATAGTGAAATTTCAATGCCAAAAAGGAAAATGTGTCAAATCATAAAATTTGAGAAAAGGTAGATATGCCTGAGATAATAAGTTAATGATCAAAAATAAAAGCAAGAGATACCAAGTAGGATCATTCACTTAATAATAAATGTGCACACAAAGCACAACAATACACAATCAACAGCATTGTCAATCATTGCTCAAAGTGTTTTGTGTCATGTAGATAACTTGTGCATACAAAACATTTCTTCTAGTAAAAGTAAGGCTTCTTAAAGCTTGTTAAAGTAAGTTACCAAAAACAAAATTAAAGAGAAAAATACATTCTACAGAAGATTTTTATGTAAAAACATTAAAGAAGAAAAGAGTTCTAGAGATAAATAAATGCAAAAGCAAAAAATACAAACGTTTTATTTATTATTTTTGCAAGATCTTTATAACATGCTTATTTCAGCATTTATTACATTTCTATACATTCTATGAAAACAAATACTTTAAACACAGTTTCTACTGTCCTACTATCAGTACACATTACTTAAGTTTTGGGACTTGGTTCACTGAGAACAGGTCACAGAAGTGTAATTTTTCAGGAGCCCAAAAGCTACTTTTTATGATATAATTATTAGCTTATTACAAATTGGACATCCTACCTTTGAGAATATGTTAAAAATCTTAATGATTACAATTTGGACATGCACTTTTAAAGAATTGGATACAGCTAATTCATTAGAATACTGAAGCCACAAAATAGTCAATTCTGTGAAAAATATGACATATACTCTTAGTGAATCATGCTCCAGAATTAGATTATAAAGATATCAGCTTTAATTTTCAAAGCATACAGGAATATTCTAGATCTTAAAGATCCGTAATTGTATTCAAAGGTATGTTTTTTCAAGTATTTAAATATTATTCTGGCTTGGATTCTACTAATCTTAAAGGTAAAAAAAAATACTTTTATTAAAATTATTTTAAAATTTTTAAAATTAAATTAAAATTAATTCTTTTATAAAAACCTCCTTTGGTTTATATTAATATTAATATAAACATTTTCATTGATCATTTTATAAACTTACATCATTTTTTTTCTCTAGCAATTCAATAAAATCTTTTTCATCTTTGTAAAGAAATTTCAAAAACAATATAACATACAAAAAACTTTCATTTCTTAAAAATAAAAGTAAGTAATCATAGCGTTAAGTCTATCAAAAACAGATTATATTAAATGCATCTTATACTTAAGACAAGATTTTTGCAAGCAAGATAAAAACATTGATGCAAAATTACTCAAATTAAATCATCTAACGCAAACTAAATTTTCTAAAGATTGGAGTCTTAAAGTTTTATTATGATATAACAGACATAATTTATAACAAAGCATATTAAATTACAAAAAAATTTAATCATCTGTAATAGGAATTTTTTACTGATGAAACGCTTTGCTATTACAATAAACAACTTAATTTTGTGGCCATAACAGCTGATAATTTATAAATATAATTAAATTTCTTTGAAAAGAATTAAATTTTCACTCTTTCTTAAATTATTTCGTATTAAAATAAGCATTTAACANCTACCTCAAATTATACAAAACTCATAATATGGACCTGTGCAGAAGTGAGCTGTAAGCTGATCTCAACTGGAGTCCAGCAGATCTGAACTAACCATCAAAATCTGAGCTGTAGCTCAGCTCATTTCAGAGAACTCTCAGTGAGGCTTTGAATATATTTGAGATTTATAAATTTTAATCTTACTCTGTATGAAAGCATCACTTAAAATAATTTATTAAAAATATTTTTTCGTCGCACTGGATATTTTAATTAATTGAAATTATAAACAAATTCACTTTATTTTGATATTTCATTATGCTGGGATGTAAAAGTCCATACACTACAGCCATTTTTTATACTTTTATTATTAAATTATTTATAAAAATTAATTTTATTTTTAGTCTTTCTACCCTGTGAGCAATAAGAGGCACTTTTTCAGGTTCATTGTGGGTTTGGCTAGGCCTACAGTGGGATGGCTGAGTGGTAAAGGATAGAACCTGACATATCTGGGACAAACCACTCATGAAAATTTCTTGGTTGCTTTTCTGGATTCAATTATGGACTGAAAGCAGGAGCTTATGCTAGACCAGAGCATAGGCTGACACCTTAACTACCTCAGCCACCTGTCCAGCTAATATTTTTCCAATTATGAGTAATTTGTATTGTACTGTACATTTCTTTATAAAAACTTGCTCTGTAAAGGTAAAGCTAATTTTTTCTTAATGTTGAAATCTTCTACACACTATAATTTTTGTTTTATACATTTTTTGCACTCTTTTCTACATAAAAAGTTTCACTGATTAAATAACAAAATTGTATACTATATATCTGACTCCTCCTATTATGGCTGTTTCATATTATCATTTTTTACAAAGTTAAAATTTGTAAAATTGCTGTTAAAAACAATTTTCTTTTTATCATTATTCCTCTGAAATTTACTTTCCGCAGCAGTAAGCCAACTACCAGTCTAATTGCTTTATAATAGTGTCCTTATAATTACATTTCATTAGTAAAATCATAAATTGCACATTGATTAAGATTAAAGTTTGGGAAAGATAAGCTCAGCTGTTTGAAAATGCTGAGCTGAGGTCTTGACAAGCAAACTGCAAGATGAACTGTGAAATTGGACCAGAACTGAAAGCTAAGCTGATCTGGGATGTGTTCATTTTTGAAATTAAATTGAATCTATAATAACAACAGAAACACAGACAGTTTGTTGGATACGTTTTCATTTATCTGTTGTTAAGCAAGAGCATTCAGATAAAAACTACTCAAACATTAAGTAATTGAACTATGAACAATTTTTTGATTAAGAAAATTATTAAAAGTAATAAAGAGTAATATTTTGAAGTGATACAAATAACCACAGTCATTTCTAGCAAAACATTTACAGTACAGTCCAAATAATTTGAAGTGGCAGACCCAAGACTACCTCAAATTATACAAAACTCATAATATGGACCTGTGCAGAAGTGAGCTGTAAGCTGATCTCAACTGGAGTCCAGCAGATCTGAACTAACCATCAAAATCTGAGCTGTAGCTCAGCTCATTTCAGAGAACTCTCAGTGAGGCTTTGAATATATTTGAGATTTATAAATTTTAATCTTACTCTGTATGAAAGCATCACTTAAAATAATTTATTAAAAATATTTAATAATTAAACTTACTTCATGAATTCCAACTTCAGTGGCCATAAATGTACCTGTTCCTCCTGATTTATTCAAGTTTAAATGGCACTCTGTCTTACCAGAGGGGCTGTGAATTTCTGCTCTTATTCTTTTTATATCAATATTTTTCTCTAAGTAATTAATTTTAAAGTGTGCCTAAAATATAAATTTTCATAAATAATAATTAAAATTAAAATCTTTTAATGAATATTAATTTGAAATGTATAAAAAACAAATATTACATATATTTATTCTAAAAAAAACAGTGCACTGTCAATAACTTTTTCACCTTAAAGATGCACTGTTTATTAGAGAGTAACTATTACTTCTATTCTTTGGAATTTGGTGTAACTATTAATGAGATAAATCTGATAACCTTCTTCACTTTATTATTATTCAAAGAACAATGCAACACTGAATGCACATACTTTATTTCAACGTATGATAAGAGTGACAATGCTAAATGGAATGTGCAATTTTTCAGTTTATAATATGCCTTATCCTTCTCCAATACACAGCACACTTACTATTACAGGAGACTGTTTATTAGAAAAAATACAGTATTTTATAACTTTAAATTAACATCTGCAGAAAAGTTTGGCTCAGAGGAGATTGAAATTCAAAATCCCCAATGGGTTCAAATCTTATTCCAAGCTAAACTTTAGAGAGATTTCAAAGTTATTTAATCATTAAAATTTATAAGAAGTTGGGAGTACAGTTTATCTCTAGTGCCAAATTCATTTATAATTAATTTCTAATCAGTCAGAATGAGACAATTAAATAAACTGGCATTTTTTTTGGAGTATTTTTGGTTACAAAACATGTCACATAAGTTAAATCAAAAGAAAAAATAGGAAGCAAAAATAGAAATATTAATGAAATAAGTCTGCAAAATTGATTTGGTTCATTTTTGGAACTAAAAAAGTTATTAACAGATTCTATGACAGTAGCATTCTCTTTACTAGGAATATTTCATTGGGGCTACAGTGACAAGCTAAACAAATTCTGACTGGTATTTTTCTCTTTTCTAGCCAACACTAGGCCTATTAGCTACAGTCAAAGTATAAAAAAAAAAATGTAAAAGTAGCTTAAGTTTACACAATGAAAGTGAAAGCATATATTATATGTACCATATATTGGCATTGCTGACTAAGCTGAGGGGGCTTAGCCACTTCACAGCACTCTGTAATTATGGTTCTGGACAGTAGTCAAAAGAAAAGTAATATCTTTGATCTAATTATAAATAAAAATGATGAAATGGAAGAGTGGTTAGATTATTACAGTGAATAGGTTAAGTAAATAAGAAAAGAATTTATAATATTAAAGCAATAATCAATCATGAAAGAACTGAGCATAAATTTATAGGAAATGCAAGAAATTTAAAAAATAATACAAAAATCACATGGAAGATTATATACATAAGATATAAGAATATAGAGATTTTTTTAAAACTTTTTGCCCTGTGGGCACTAAGAGGGCCTAATTTTAGCAAGCTCATTATACGTTCAGCCAAGCCCGCAATGGGGCAGCCGGGTGCTGAGGGATGGAGCTCAACTTATCCAGATGGACCACTCCCAAAAAATTTTTGGAGTTTTTTACCCGTCTGGATTTGATTCCAGGCAGTGGCTACCATCTTAGTGACTTGGCCATCTGGCCACCTTCACAGAAATGTCTAAAGTAATGACAAAAACTGCCTTAGACAAAACAATAAAATTAAGAGGAATGTACTGTACTGTACATACAAATTAGCCTACTTAGAAAATCTTCAATGAAGATTTTATTGCTAAGAAATAATAAAGAAAAGCATTAAGTAATTTTTAATAAATATAAAATATAAGTAACTNCACAATAATCAGATGGCATGAAATGGCACAATTTTATTGGTCAAGTACACAGTAATTAAAATTATTATATATTAAATTTTTTAAGATATCATTTTTTTCTAATGTTAGCTCTAACAAACTGTTCCATTCACAGCTGAATATCAAATGGTAATCTGACAATGAATCAAATTTTGCAAAAAATGAACTAAATATTTAAACTTGGCATCCTTGAAAACCACTTAAAACATATTTTGTGCTTGCCGGTAACCTTGTATTATGTAACTTTCCTATTCATTCCTTAATTTTGAGAATGGGACAGATGAAAGTTGAGACAAGACATGGAAATTATAAGAGAAAGAGGACCAGATTAATTATATATGAACTTCCAATTTGAACTGCGAGTCACATTATTTCAAATCAAAAATTTTTCCCTGAACGAAGTTAGATACATAACCGACACAACTCTATTGCTAACAGGAAAAGTATGATGTACAAGGCAAAACATTATTACACTCCAAGCAGGCAAGTGCTATGTGCTACCTGTCACAGTAACGGCATAATGGGTCATCTATTTTCCACTATAATATTGTCGCAGTAATTCAATGAATATAATGTCTAGATATTATATTCACTGAATTACATTAGAATAGACATTTATCATTTATTTATTTACATTTGAATAGACATTATCTTTTTTGTAAGAATTATATTTAGTTAATTATTTTGTTAAATTTTTTTCCAATAGATGGTCCTACATGTAAAGCCAGCAATCAAATGTAAACAGAAATGAATTGATATATAGAAATCCAATCAATAATTTAAAGTGGAATGTACAACATTATCTAAGTTAGAAGTATTTAAATGTAAGTGCTGAGTTTCATAGCAATCAGTCAAATGGCCTAGATATGCATAGCAAACAAACAAACAAACACCCTCATTTATATATATATATATATATTATTCTAAAATTTAATATAAATATATAAAAGTAGGCAGTTATGCCATCATCCTGTATTAAATTTAATAAGATATTTACATTCTGTCATTGTCATTTTATTAAAAATCTAATCTAATAATTTTTCTCATGTATTACAATTTGATTTTTTTCTGTTGTGTATTTTGAGTTTGATAAAATGCCAGAATATGTGTAAAAAATTCTGCAATGAGTTGCTTAACTTTCCCAGAGAAAAATATTTATGTTTAAGAAGCACTAAGATGCATTAGCACAAAGTTAAAATTGTGTGTAGTGCCATCTGTTATGAGATTTTATTAAAAAATAACTTTTATACTATTACTTAATATTAAAAAAAGTTTAAAGACTTAATTTTGAGAGTAGAGACGAGTATTTATAAAAAATAACAAATGCCAATAACAAGTGAAATTTTCCTTAAATCCAATTCCACTCGAGATACTATGCATAACCCCCCTCTAACTTCTCACTCCTCAACCTTTAACCACCAAAATTTAATAGCAACAATGCTCCTAATATACAACTTACCACACCAAATTTTTATATTAATTAATCTTTACCCCATCTTGAGTTATTAAATAAAATAGATACCAATATACAGGCACATACACACAAACACACTGAATTTTTTTCTCATTTTTTTTAAAGTTTTTTGAGTTCAGGGGTAACCAAATGCTGAGATTTGCAAAAACTCCAGAGCATAAAACTTGACACAATTACAATACTTTCTTTTGTTATATACGTAACAGCTGGGAAAGTAAAATTCATGCAAAAATATAATTAATGTCAAATATTACCGATTCACAAATTGAACTGTACAGATTAATTTAATTTTATAATTATTAATTTAACTTAATTTTATAATTATTTAAAATTAAAATTAATACTTAAAAATGTAATATTTAACTTAATAAATTAAAATTTTTAAAAATATTTTATAGCAACAGTTATCAATTTGCAATAAACTTACCAAGACTTCGACAATTGAACCAAGGGCACAAGGATCGATTCCTGAGAACAGGATTTTGGAAATGTCAGGTTGCACACAAATTTTAAGTGGACAGCAACTAATCATTTCCTCTTCACAATAAACAATTAACTAGAAAATGCAAACAAAAAAGTACATATCAAAATATTTTATAATATATAAAAATTATAATTTATAGACTTTTCAATAGTGAAATTTCAATGCCAAAAAGGAAAATGTGTCAAATCATAAAATTTGAGAAAAGGTAGATATGCCTGAGATAATAAGTTAATGATCAAAAATAAAAGCAAGAGATACCAAGTAGGATCATTCACTTAATAATAAATGTGCACACAAAGCACAACAATACACAATCAACAGCATTGTCAATCATTGCTCAAAGTGTTTTGTGTCATGTAGATAACTTGTGCATACAAAACATTTCTTCTAGTAAAAGTAAGGCTTCTTAAAGCTTGTTAAAGTAAGTTACCAAAAACAAAATTAAAGAGAAAAATACATTCTACAGAAGATTTTTATGTAAAAACATTAAAGAAGAAAAGAGTTCTAGAGATAAATAAATGCAAAAGCAAAAAATACAAACGTTTTATTTATTATTTTTGCAAGATCTTTATAACATGCTTATTTCAGCATTTATTACATTTCTATACATTCTATGAAAACAAATACTTTAAACACAGTTTCTACTGTCCTACTATCAGTACACATTACTTAAGTTTTGGGACTTGGTTCACTGAGAACAGGTCACAGAAGTGTAATTTTTCAGGAGCCCAAAAGCTACTTTTTATGATATAATTATTAGCTTATTACAAATTGGACATCCTACCTTTGAGAATATGTTAAAAATCTTAATGATTACAATTTGGACATGCACTTTTAAAGAATTGGATACAGCTAATTCATTAGAATACTGAAGCCACAAAATAGTCAATTCTGTGAAAAATATGACATATACTCTTAGTGAATCATGCTCCAGAATTAGATTATAAAGATATCAGCTTTAATTTTCAAAGCATACAGGAATATTCTAGATCTTAAAGATCCGTAATTGTATTCAAAGGTATGTTTTTTCAAGTATTTAAATATTATTCTGGCTTGGATTCTACTAATCTTAAAGGTAAAAAAAAATACTTTTATTAAAATTATTTTAAAATTTTTAAAATTAAATTAAAATTAATTCTTTTATAAAAACCTCCTTTGGTTTATATTAATATTAATATAAACATTTTCATTGATCATTTTATAAACTTACATCATTTTTTTTCTCTAGCAATTCAATAAAATCTTTTTCATCTTTGTAAAGAAATTTCAAAAACAATATAACATACAAAAAACTTTCATTTCTTAAAAATAAAAGTAAGTAATCATAGCGTTAAGTCTATCAAAAACAGATTATATTAAATGCATCTTATACTTAAGACAAGATTTTTGCAAGCAAGATAAAAACATTGATGCAAAATTACTCAAATTAAATCATCTAACGCAAACTAAATTTTCTAAAGATTGGAGTCTTAAAGTTTTATTATGATATAACAGACATAATTTATAACAAAGCATATTAAATTACAAAAAAATTTAATCATCTGTAATAGGAATTTTTTACTGATGAAACGCTTTGCTATTACAATAAACAACTTAATTTTGTGGCCATAACAGCTGATAATTTATAAATATAATTAAATTTCTTTGAAAAGAATTAAATTTTCACTCTTTCTTAAATTATTTCGTATTAAAATAAGCATTTAACAAATTATTTATATGAGTTATATGTTACAACTCAAACATTTTAAAGTCATTAAAAAAATCCACAAGCCTAATCATGAGAATATTTTATTACCCAGTGCATCTATTACTAAGTTATATAAATATTATTAAAATTATAGTTTATTTACAGTAAAATTAATAAACCATTTAAAACATTAAAAAATTCTAACAAATTAATTACTTAGAATCAAATTATAATTTCTATCTACTTAGAAGTAACATTAATTAGATTTGTTATTTTCACAGTTTCAAAAAGAGAATTCCTTTCTTTCTGATTTGATATTTCATTATGCTGGGATGTAAAAGTCCATACACTACAGCCATTTTTTATACTTTTATTATTAAATTATTTATAAAAATTAATTTTATTTTTAGTCTTTCTACCCTGTGAGCAATAAGAGGCACTTTTTCAGGTTCATTGTGGGTTTGGCTAGGCCTACAGTGGGATGGCTGAGTGGTAAAGGATAGAACCTGACATATCTGGGACAAACCACTCATGAAAATTTCTTGGTTGCTTTTCTGGATTCAATTATGGACTGAAAGCAGGAGCTTATGCTAGACCAGAGCATAGGCTGACACCTTAACTACCTCAGCCACCTGTCCAGCTAATATTTTTCCAATTATGAGTAATTTGTATTGTACNTAAAAAAAAAAAATGCTACTGAAATTATATGTAAACATTGAATTTAAATAAATGTATAAGCAATAATTTAAGAAAAACATTAAAAAATTTGTAATAAAAAGTCATAAAATCATCATGAGCAATTTAGTAACCTAAAAAAATGTAATATTATATCATTAGCTAATCATTAATTGTTATAAAATTATAATAAAACTATAAGAAACTAAGAATATTTATTCAGCTCAATTGAAATACCATCCTAAACTATGTATATGCAATCAGAATTGTAGATATCCAAAAGTAAACAGGAAAATATCCAAAAGAATCATACATCTAAGAGTGATTCTTCTCAAGGTATCCGTTTCCAAAGTTTAGTTATTAAAGCACATCTCTTATGGACTATGTATACCCAAAAGAGATGTACTGATTTTTCTGTAAACCATAACAGAAATGAAATAAAGTTCTTAAGGATTAAAAATAATTTACAGTGGCTCAAAATGAAAAATGACTTGAAACATATCATAGATTGGATTATACTATATATTATGGATATCATGGATTATTTGAGCAGAGGTTCTCCACCATAATGCATCAACATCTTTACACAAATGTTTTTCTTGCATCTGTTATGACTTATTATATTCTATAATGCATGAATATTATCTGTGTGTTGATCGCATTTTCACTACATTGCACATTCTAACAATTATAATTTTGATCAAAGATACTGAGAAACAAGATATTGAAATAAAATGTATATACTGTATAAGAAATATCTGCATTAATATTTCATTAACTTATTATTGCAGGGTCAACAACAACAACCAGTTTTCAATTTACTTTTACTTCAAAAATCAAACTAAAGCTATTCAAATATGTTATTAATGATTTTGGCCTTATCTCTGACAGTTCAAGTATATGTTCGAGTACATCTCTTAGTTCTGTTCCATTGCTATCTTAATAATAATATATTTGTTCAATTATAAACTTTCAAAAACATATTTTTGCTAGCTAAGAAAATCTGTAAACTAGCTGTTTTTATAATGTGCATTTGTGTATGTGTGTGTGTGTGTGTGTGTGTATATATATATATACAGTGCATCTCATTACTAAAAACATATTACATGCATTGTCCTACACAAGATTCGGCACACAAGCAGGAAAGGACCGCCTTAATATCAATAATTTTGTTGCCTATCTTCTATGCTCAACAGAGTGATTCAACATGGACCAATCATCAAATTTTCAAAATTTCTCTTAAAACTTTTAAAATATATCGAAAAAAGGCGGTGGAATGCCATTCCATCGTGTTCTATGACAAAAAAGCGCTGTATATATATATATACAGTGCTTTTTTTATAGAATAGTAAGTGTTTTTTAACACATTATATATTATATATATATATATATATAATGTGTTATTAAACACTTACTATTCTATAAGTTCATCAGTATCAATAATTTGGGAGGCTTAAACAAAATATCAAATACCATATCTATCACTATTAGATACCTATAATGTTTCTTTACACAGACAATGTTTATAAGGTTATTTTCTCTACAGATTCTACAGATTACATTTAACAATTTCTGCTTAATTTGTCAGCATTATTAGCAAGATTCTGGTATTTCATGTGAGAAATTAGGAACATATATTTAGGTTTCAGATATCAGAGTACTTTAGACCACTGAAAAATTAACAGAATACATGCTATTAAATGAATATTTTAAATCACTGTATTAAACAGATAACTTCCAGAATGTTGATCATTTAAGAGTGTAACTAGTGTAAATTCAGCCGATGCACAGCAGATGGAATCTGATAAACTATTTCTATCATTAATTTCATCATCTTGCCAAAGCTGGTTAATTGTTTCATCCTGTCCTCTATTGAACATTAGCAGATGAAATGCCATAAGAGACAATAGAAAGGCAGAGATAAAAAAAATGTTTACTTTTTGTCACTTAAAACAATAGTTTACAAGAACAAGAACTATAGCCATTAATTTTAATAAACTGAAGAAATATTGTCATTATTGTGTAGCAGCAAATAATAGTCTATAATACTGTCGCAATATTTTAAGTCTATGCTCATACATATATACTGAATTTTAAAAAACTACTTTATGGAAAATATAGCAACATAAGAACAAACAAAAGCATTATTTGTATGTGATCATAAGTTTAGCATAGTGTTTCTCAACCTGTGTTCTGCAATGATGGCACAGGCAGACTTAAATTAATAAAGATTAAAATTTTGTTCAATGATGATTCATTTTTAATAATTAATAAGGTAACCAATTGTCCTCCTTTAGGGAGGACAGTCCTTCTTTTTTAAGTTCTGTCCTCCCTCAAAAAGTGTCCTTCTACATGTCCTCCTTTTCAATATTTGAAGACTAATCTGTAAATCTCCATATTTGATCGATGCCAAGCCGATCCGTTGTATATGATGTGTTTGTATTTAACATGATGATTCATCAAGGCTTGATACAGTGCATGAAGATGTGATTATGAGACACATGCGCTTCGCACAAAAGACTTTGAGAGAGCGTGTCGCGAGGAAGTGGCTTTGTTTACTTCTTACTGAAATATTACACGGCACAAACACAAAGTAGATATTATTATAGTGTATTATTGTTACAATGAATAAAATGTTTCTTTTATTACAATATTTTTTCCTTCAATTTATTTGTGTCCTTCTTTTCATTGTAAAATAGTTGGTCACCTTATAATTAATTAAACTGGAAGTAAACTGTTTCCATATGTATTCAAAATGTGCTTTAGATTTAATATGTTATAAATGGCACAGTATGTCCCAAATGTTTGTAGTACCCATACAGGTTTAAAAAAATTAGGCCTACATAACTTAGTGGTTCATAGAATTTTTTCAGATATTTCACTGGTTCTTGGGCTTAAAAATATTGAGAAACACTGGTTTAGCATAATGTAATGGTGGAAAAAAAATTACTAAAGTTTGGCAAATTAATCTGACTTTTTTCACAAAAATAAAACAAAAATCTTGAAATAGAAAATTTCTTAGAATTCAAGCAATTTCAATATAATTTCAATCACAGTTTCAGTCACAACATATACAGAAATTTAGAGATACATCCCACAAAAGTGCCATTTTCTCTTATTTTGCTCATGAGTCTATATTCTTCTGGATTTTTGTTCTTTCAATAAAATGTACAATCCTGACATAATTTATATAGATTTAAGAAAGTTCAGTTGAATTATTAATCAAAATATAATCAAAATTATAAGTAATTCATATACAATAAGTGAAAAATTATACATTATTATATATATATGACAAAATTACCTTTTTCGAGATTCTCTTCCCAATGAGACCTATTACAACTTAAATTAGGAAATCCTGGAACGTAAGCTCCAAAGGAATGAACCAGGGAGCAGAGTGCTATACCACTATTCCAGTCAGTCTAAAAATTAAAAATGTTTAATTTGTTAAATATCTATTTCAATTCTCACTAGTGAAAAAAATAAACATAACATAAACTGTTTTAGTTCTGATAAACTCAACAACTTAAATTTAAATATGGAAATCAATTTAAAAAAGTAAAACAAAAATTACAACAGAGAAAAATGCTTTTAATAAAAATATAAAATTGATAACAGCTTTAACCATTAACATGCATTAACATTTTGCAAAGTCACTAATTTGTTTGCTTTGTACTGTACATCCATTTTCACATGCAGGTATGTTAGCACAGGGTGTCCAAAAAGTTACTCTGCAGTGAAAAAAATTTAAATTTTAATTAAAGTTTTACATACGATATTGCAATTACTCCTACAGCACCAAGTTTCAGTGCACCTGAAAGATAAAAATCCAGGGAATGAGGTCTCAGGGCTTGTATGCAATACTATACATATAACTCTAATGTCATTAGTAGCAATAATATCAAACAAAAAAATGTCACGCTTTCTTTTTATATATTAACAGATTACAAGAAGATATCAATACAAGAAATAACTTGCATTTTTTTCTGACATACTTGTTATTTTTCTAAGAAATGTTCAATAGGGCTCTTGTCTCTCACCAGCAGAAGTCTTTACAAGTATGTAAATTAATCCCAATTCAAAACAGCACATCCTCTGCTAGTGATAATTGGAAAGGAGGAGATAAATCTGATCCTTCAGTATATCAAACAAAAAAAGACTAGAGAACAGAAAAAGACGGCCCTCCTGGCAATCAAGATCTCCTTACCTTACGGGCCAGGAGATCCTGATTACCAGGAAATTGGGCCCTCTTTTTCTGTCTACTTCAAAAAGTGGAATTCAAGACTTGTTTCATGTCACAAAAGTAGAAAAACATTTTGTCCTATTGAAAGATCTCGTTGAACATGCTAGAGCACCATTCTGGTACTTATTCCAGAGCCAATATCTGTTTTGGAACTTTTTTAGCTATATGCATACAAAACACATAATTGTAAATATATACATAAATCAGTAAGTTACAATATCCTTGATAAAAAATTTAAAGTTTTCCATAAATATATTTCAAAGTCTTGTATATTTAAGTGTATTCAAAATTCAGAGATGCGAATTTGATTTTCAAGCATACTACACACTAGAGCAAAGCAACGCAACTGTTAAAAATGCATTGTCTAGAAAGGCTGTTACCAACATTAACTCATTGCTTGTTCATCTTACTATTTTAATTATAACAGAAAAAATATCCCACAATCTTACTGAACACATTGCAACTTTATTGTTTATTAAATTATACAGTCCACTACTAGAAGTATGCAATCCGGATTTTCAAGTACAGGCTCCAATCTCTTCTTTCTGCTACTGAACCAGATGCTACAGTTACTACAGCAAATATGAATAAAATTATAGTACAAAAATACATCAACAATCCTACTTAGGAATTTCTTTAGTAAATTGACAACTTCTTAATATTGATTCTGTAAAAATTTCAATTTTGATTTATGTACTTTAAGTTTAATATATGAATGACTGATGAAAAAACAAACTGTAAAAACTACTACATTTTTTAATGAAATGTGTACGTGTGGGTTAGAAAACATCATTCTAGGACATTTTATTTTAGGCTGTACACCACTAATCATAACCGATACAGCTAAGGCAACAAGAAGTCTGAGTTTAGAATATATCCAGGTGCCTCAGGTGCCTTTGCAAGAGTCAATTGTCCAATTTTTAACAAATAAAAAAATGTTTCTCAAATGTTTCTTAAAAATACAAAAACATTTGCGAAACATTATTTTTTAAATACAGAAACATTGATTAAGCAGTTTTTCTAGATTTAATAACAATTGTATTGTTGATTTTGTAGAACTGTTTGATGAAACTTAAAAAATACTATGAAATATGTTGCAAAAAATAATTTCTTTTTATATAAATAACAGATTAACAATATTTTCAGTAAAACTACATAATTTTAATTTATATGCATATAATACATGTAATATACAATGTATTATATGCATATAATATATTGTGTATATATACAGTATATATGCAATAGTGTATGAAAAATCAACTGGATACAAAGTAATAAATAATTTATTTAAATATTTTAATGTTCTATTAAAAATAACTTAAGGAAGACTGTTAAACATGGCTAAAAACATTTATTTGTTCAGAATAAATTTAAGTCACCAGAACTTAAAAATGTATTATTCAATACTTGCTTAAATGTAGAATTTCATCATTATGTTAGAAAATATGAGACAACTTATATATTGAAATATATATTAAATATTAAAAGAATAATAAATATTTTCTTTTAATATTTATTATTTAATATTTTAGTATTTTTATTTTATAAGTATAGTCATGAAAAGTGAATGTATTGCCAGTGCAGTAACTAGGCAGGTGCAACAGGTGCACTTGCACAGGGCCCACTTGAAAGGAGACCCAAAATGTGTGTATTTGTTTTATTATTATCCCAAACTTGATTAATTAAGGAGCCTAAATGCAAATTCTTGCACATGGCACAGGAATGGCTAGTTACGGCACTGTGTATTGCAATTCAAAAAATATTTTCACAATCATAGTTTACATTTATAATTTATACAATTCACTGTAATGATTCATTTTGTAATTTACTATTAAGTAAATTGCATTTAATTTTAAATATTAAATGTCAATTAAAATAGAAAAAATCCCATACTTTAAGGACAAATAATCCTATTGAACATATTAAACATTCAGTTAACATTTTGTTTTTTCTGTTTGGAAGGAAAATTTCTGCTAAGAAAATGTTAAATCTTGAAATTCTTTGATACTGCCTATCTTATTTTAATCTTCATTCCAGTTTTATATTCTAATAACTGTTCTAAAGATTTAAATACACATATAAATAAATAAATATGCATCTTCCACACATGTGTATCTATGCATATACATATATATGTGTGTATATGGCTACATTACAGGTAGGAGACACATAAATCAAGATAGGAATGTTTTTTTTTTCTAGTAATGCATATGATTTTGTTCACAGTAGACGTGCTTTAGGCACTATCCGGGTAAAATGCTAATTATCCACGGTGACTTGTTCTTCCTCAATCACTTGCCGAGCAATAGTAGTGTTGCGTCACATTACAGGTGCAGCGTTTTTATACACGTCCTTCGAAATGGCGCCCGATAGTAAAACACGTTCTAACTCATCAAATCGCTCGAGTCTCGTTGTAAAGAAAGCTATTTTATATAATGTTTAACAAAAATGCCAATTCTCTTCCGTCCTCTAATGGCAAAATGGATGAAGCATTAAAAAAAATATGTGCTGCAGTAAGTTTTTAGCTACTTCCTCAGCTGTCTTTGATTCTTAAAATGGAACAGTAAACTGTTTAATAAGTTTGTGGAATCTCTAAAGGCTGCCTAAGTAGCTAATCCTACTTGAATTGTCTACTGGACATTGCAGGAAGCATCGGATAATAAATGAAGCGAAGAAAAAGTATAAAAAACATCACTTGGAAGCTAATAAATTAGATTTATAACTGCAAAATTACATTGGAAAATAAACTAAAATAGTTATGAATGAGAAATAACACTTTCTGAAACGAACAGTGCCCACTAAGCAGAAGGCAATGAGACACGAGAGGAATGGTTCCCTGGAGGACCTTCTATGAGAAATTCATCCTTATTTAGGTGTTAGACATTTGAATATTTCAATCCAGAAAACTCCACTTGAAAACACCACCAACTGCCAGTGTTTGGTGGTATTATCCAGTGGACACCAATACCATGACGGAGGAGAAAGACAATTGGAAAATTCAAATTGCCAACATATGGCATATCACGGAGAAGTGCTGTAAATGATATTGTCTACACAATCGATGTTAGTTTTATTTGAATACTGTATAAACCTTACTGCTACTTACCGGGTTTACAGGCTTAACTTCTCGAAAATCGAATCCTTCAACCCCTAAATTGTCTTTTTTATACGTTTCTGGCAATAATGCGCTTAACATCTGTTTAATCTTCTGAATTTTACATCGTATTTTAATTAAATAAAGAGAAAACAATTTTACAGCAAGCCTTTAACATTTCTGGAGGATTCGCCATCCTAGCCTTTCTACAAATCTACACACCGGAGTTAACAAGAAACCGTATAAAATATAAGGTTTATAAAAAGTCCAACTTACTTTTATCTAATAAAATTAACTAATTTCGTAAATTTTACGGCAGAAATTCGAATATTTTTGTTTTTAAATCTCATAATTAGAATGTTTCCAGCTGCGTGCACTGGTCAAAAGTGCAAAACTACAGTACATTATGGATTCATAATGGCGCATCATCTACGCTACAATAAACTCTACTAATGAGTCGATGGGGTCAACCATCAGTTACGATATACGCGCAGATTCACTAAAAGGTTCGACACGTTTACATCAAAACCCCTTTCTTAGTAAGAATTAACCGAATTGAGAAAGCTCAGATACGATTTCAGATTCAATAGTGAGGTGATGGGTTCGCACCTCACTAACGGCGTTTTCTTCGCGTGTCTAACACCTAAATGGGACTAGTTTCCATAGAAAGTCCTTCCGAAAGACACTCCCTCTTAGCAGATCGCCCACGTGTTGCATTGCCGTATCGCCAGACCGAATCAAACTACACGAGAAACCCATGTTAATTGTGGAGTTTTTCAAACATACGTGCGCCATGTGAGCAATAACAGGGATTTTTTCCATTCCCATTACGGGTTTGGTAGCCAGGACCACGAAAAATAACTGAAGGTCGATCCCGGGTCCGTTTTTGAGTCGAGGGGAGAGACGTTTTCATGAAACGTAAGCAGCTATCGTTTGCCATTATTGACACGATTTCCATAGAAAATATGCCATTCAGTTATGCAGGTCGGTACTCCTGCCGGCACTCGTCTGCCACGGTATTTTGTTCGCAACCGGAGTGTAATGACCTCGCGACACGTCCAATCGTACGGCTCAAATACGAATGACGTAAAATGAATCAAGGAAGAAAACAATTAATGAATTAACCATACAATACCCGCCGAAAGGATGAAAGATTTTACAATAAAAATGGGTTTGTGACCAATTTCTGGCCAAGATAATGGAGGTGGATAGATGAATTTTGATTCAATCAATCAAACAATCCGAGAATAATCGATTCGGAGTTGAAAACTAACATTTTTTGAATTTATAACCCCGATACATGAAACTAGAAACAGAAATTAATTGTATAACAAAGAAACGCAGCAGCAGCAACGCCCTATTTTAAAAATAAAACATATAAATTGTATGACAGCGTTAAAGAATTAAATGTAAAGTTGCAAGCCTGCTCATCCAAGCATTCTTTAATATACAAGTACAAAACTTGACCAAAGTACCGTACAGTACAGTACATGCCAAATTCGCTCCCCTTCTCCTTTTATTGTTTACCAGGAGATGGACGGTTCGTCTGTGTGTGAGAGCAGAGACTTCTATACCTATTATGTACTTCCATTCACTATCCAAACGCCATTTTGTCACGTTAGCGAGCAGACAAAAGCACGAACGATAAAGAAAAGAGGAAAACTTGATCATTTTAACCACGTAATTAGGGTCAAGCGCGAGTCAGACTAGAAGTTCGAGAAACAGGACAGAGATATTGTTTGGTCTGCATTCAATTGTTTTTAAAAGTAGTGTATTAATTGCGATTTTACGCGGGCCGCACGCTCCAGTAAACAAATTTCTTTTATTTATTTTTATAATACATTCATTCAAATACTTTGTTTATAAAATTACTTTCGATTTAAGACGAATGTTGCCAGTTCGTAGGACGAGAAATTTCCTTTCTTGTCCTCGAAAATTTTGCGTTTCGCGACAGGACAATCGACAATCGAGGTTAAATATGTAATTTATTTTTAAAAATAAATCATGCCCGTTAAATTAAAAGATATTTTTCCGTTATTCCAAAGAAATTATTAAACGAATTTACGAAATTACAAAGAAATTTCGTCGAATCATCTTAAGTAATAAAATACAGTCGACGCCATTTTGAAAATCCCAAATAAGCACGTTCCTCCGGTGATAATTCTTGTGTAAACCTCTTAAAATACAACTTTCGATTACCACTTTGTTCCTTAATCTGCTAGAAAATTCTCCATTTAATCAAATTATATACGAGAAACAGCAAAAAACACGCGATTTCTCGCTTCGTAAACGACTGTTTCGGAAATTCCTAACAAATATTCACGCGTAAATACTATAAACATCACACTGGAGCGTACACGTAACGGGGCGTAGAATGGCCTTTACGTCTTTACGACACGGACAGGTGTGTATAATTTTAATATTTTGCGGGTAAGTAGGCGTGAACGTCTGTAAACCTGTCTGTTGCAACTTTATAAATACTCCGACCGGCAACTCCCCGTATTTATGCGATTACGCTTTATATAACGTCGACCAATCGTTAAACGTGTACGTGTGTTTGATAGCCAATTAAATCGATTAATAAAATATCCACTTTAATACAAGTTAAGTTCCAAAATTTGGGGGATTTTTTTTTAATTAAAGCTCGAGATTAGTTCGCTATTTAAAGGGGGGCTTCGAAAAATACGAGGCCTTTTTTTCTGTTTAAAAATAGAGCAATTAACACGAGGTCTACTCGCCGGATCCGGTCGACCGTGACGACTTCCGCCGTTTCAAAAGGTAAAGGAATTTGCCTGGATATCGCCAACCACAGAGGAAGGCGTGGAAGCACCCCGAAAACACCCCCACGAATAGTTCGAAATTTATTCGAAACACAAAGAAAGCGCGTGTTAGTACCGACGTTAACTGTTTCAAATTACGTTCAAGTCCCGCCGGTATTGTTTTGCCGACTGTAACGTAATACACAAGAAACAGCCAATCTGGTATATATAAAAAGTCATCCTTTGTCTCTCTAATAACACAACGAAAATACGAGACGTAACCTACTGATGTTTACGTTAACAAACAACAACGTATAACACACACGCAAAGATGTATAAACAATTAACGATTGTTTTTAGTGTTATTTTTTTTTCCTGTTTTTGTCACGTGCGTAACTATTTAACGCATGGATAAACGCGTACGTTACGTACGTGACGTATATTTCTTCTCGACGGATAAGCGGAATACGTCGTCACTCCGTTTAACCGTGACAAGTAACTGTATTTGCGTCGGAATTCGAGGATAACCGGTTTGTACGGACGTAACTTCAAAGTTAAAAACCGTGACGTCGAATTATAAATTTGACGATGTTTTCATACAACTCGGTGGTTTGAGGATGTCCGAAATTAATACGTAAACTACAATTAACGTGGGGAATATTTATTACGGCGTAACAGTCGGGAGTAACGAATGTCTTTTTTTTTTTTTTAAATGAAACGTATATCCGAAATATAAAGCGTTACGGTATCAGAATTCCTGAGTTTATGGTTTCCATTTAACAAAAACGTTTGTCGGAATTCAAAAGAATTCTCTAAAGAAATTAGTTTATAAAAAATATTTTCTGTCCTTTATAAGCAGGTTGGAATAATGGAATAAAACAACGCAACACGTGGGCGATGTGCAAAGGGGGAGGGAGTATCTCTAGAGAGGACTTTCTACTGGAAACTGGTCCCTATTTGGGTTTTAGACACGTGTAGAAAATTCCGTCAGACCCGCGGATGCGAACCCGCGATCAATAGTTTTATGGTGGGCTCAAGTTACTCTGCGAAAAACAATACGGATTCGTCGAACTTTGGAAGTAAGGAATGAGTAATGTATTATTGTTATAATGTTACACAACAACTAGTTTGTCAGTTTCTTCAGTTCTAGGAATTTTTCGGGAAGTGGTCTGTCGTGCACCTGCTCCAAGATCTCCACCTTGATGTGGTGAGAAAGCTTGCGTGTCTTCTAAACTTTATGACCTAGTAGTGGCAGCTTTGCTAACGATAAAGATACCCATGCTGAACAGGTCGGAGGATAGGGCCAAGACTAAGGTGGGATCACCGGTCCTCCATGTTGGAGGTTGTGCGTGGGGCTAACACTCCACCATATAAAAAAACCTTCTCCTGAAAAGAAGGCAAAATAAAAATGTCTGTCATGCACACGTCGAGCCCTATTGTGAACATGGCTGAACTCAGGATGGGCCTAAAAAACAGTCCCTTTAGAGCCCCAATTCGATTCTTTTAATTACAGAACTATGATTTTCGAATGCAAGGCCGCGCATACGGAAGTTTTGGGGTTTAACCTCTCCCATTTGGGAAGAAAAAATTAAATAGGGTATTATATTAGTATATTTATTTTGTTCCTCATTAATCTACGGTATTGTGTTACTCTTCCTGACTATATTGTAACATTTATTATGAATAGGGCCTAATCAATGGAGGATTTAGACGGTGCTCAGGACGCAGATACATCCCTTTCTGGGACTAGTAATTTAATATTAAAATAATTATTCGATAATATATTCAGTCCATAAAAGCGTATTAAAGAAGAACTTTGCATTTATTTATTTCTGATTTTCAAAAAACTCAATTAAATTTTCTTTTTGTTTTCACAATGGCACATGCCAGCCCTGCATTAGCCACAAACTTTGGAACTGAAAATTCACGTTCGATTTATACATGTGTTTTTTAATTTCTAACTTTAATGTATTAATTTCCCGAGCAATCCTCATGCAGTAATTTATAAATTATATTATTTCCTCCCTGCGCTTCCCTCTAAAGATTAGGTCTAATGTGTGTTTTTAAAGTCACTCCTTTTGTTACCCCCAATTGCAACCAGTACTACCTTGTAGGAGCACTGATCCCACGTTGAATCATAGTTTGAAGCTTCTTACATAATGTACGATGCCCTTTTTTATAGCTCGTGCTCCCTTTTTTGGACCCTGCTATTATTACTACACAAAAATATTCCGTTGATTAAGTCTTCAAATACCGAAAACTACGGAATTAAATTGTAATTCTACAAGACGCATATCCCTTTAGTAAACCAGCACTCACCGTGAAGTTTTGAATGTTTAAATCGGATAAAGTTCTGGAAATCCACCTCAAAGTGGCGTGGTAACCGGGACTTTCTTCTCTCATAAAGTAGGACAAGTACGTCATTCCCGATAATTCGTCCAGATTTTGACTACTCAAGTCTTCGGGAGTCAGTATCATAGGAATGTTAAATTCTTCTTTAGCCACCATCATGGCGTTGTTACAGTTTTTTATTCTGAAAAATATATTAATTAGTCCTTTATTTTCTCTTCGAATATGTTAATTATTTACACGAATTTCCTCAAATCCGATTTTTTATGGGAATTCAAAACCCGTAATTCTACTTAGCCCACTACATATTGCCCCGCACCAATCCGTGTTGCCTCGTGTTACTCTTAATTACCCCTGTTACTTTATTCGTTGGAAAATGCACTAAAGTCGAAATTCTCTACAAGTAAAATATTACAGGAATAAAATTAGAACTACACATCACCTTGATCCTGACCCATTTGCGACTTTTCTCTCTTTCCCAATTTGCGACTTTTCTCTCTTTCCCAATTTGCGATTGTTCGAGTCAATAAAAAATGTGAAATTTATTAATCATTCGTTAAAAGGGGGCCTTTCATACGTTTATAGGTGTATTCCGTCACGGTGGGGGAACGAAATCAACAGAGGGAAGGAAACACGAAGACTAAAAAAACGGGGAAGTTAAGAGCAGTGGGGTGAAGAACACTAGAGAATGGGAACGAAACGACGGGTTAAAAAAGGCCCCTTAATGCCTAAAGGTTGAAATGAATACAAAAAACAAATAGGAAAAAATGGACGTCCTCAGGAATTTATTAGATAAGGAGAGATAGGAGGAACAATAAAGAAACGTACGAAAAACACAACACCCCCTCATAACTGAATCGCATCCCTCCCGACTTTGTAATTTCTATAAGTACAGAAGATTTCTTACCCCTCTCGGCGGTCGAGAGACTTCCAACGTGGAAACAGACCGGGTTTACAATACTCCAACAGGGCGCTAAACAATGGTTCAAACAATTAATTCGAATTGGTTAAAAAAAAAAAAAAAAAGGAAGAGAGGGAAGTAAAAGGGATACCTGAGAGCGATTCCGTCGTTCCAGTCGGAAGTGAAATTGGTGACATTGAGATCGGGGAGGACGGCCCGAAGCCACGACAGCATGAGTTTTTTGGGAGGAAAGCTGGTCCTCCCCATCTGATACCTTAGTATCAATGACCAGATCAGTCCCAGGATCAGTTTCAGGTTTCCTTCCACGATGTCCGTGTTTCCTGTCGTACAAAACGTAAGCGTTAAATCGAAAAATATTCATTTCCGATAAAGCGTTCACGCGCTGAAACCCCCCCCGTCGAATAGGGTAGGCCTCATCTATTTCTCTGTCGGAAACGGATGAAGCCTATCCTTTCTTATATTAAAATTACGTCATTATACACGTGATTAAAGCCGCCGATCTTTGAGTTTGGCGCCACAACAACGTGGACTTCACGTGTCTAACACCTAAACAGGGACCGGTTTCCCCCCGTAGAAAGTCCACCCGGGAGGCACCTCCCCCTCGGAGGATATCCCGGGTGTTGCTTTATTCAATCTATCCTATCCTATCATTATAAGCGGGACGTAACCCAAGCGCTGTGTTTTAATGGCACCTAGGTTATGTATAACTGTATTTATCACCGACGAAACCCCGGTTTAACGAAAATAAAATTTCGGTCGAAAGGTATAATTTACTCCGTAGTTTCGACTCGATCCTCTCCAAACTGACCTTAATCCATTGTTAAGAGGTGAGAATAGAGGAAGAAACAATTTCCCACCTAACCCCAAAATACCGTTGTTATTGTAGTATTTCTCTTGTTTTTATTCCCGTTACGGCGCCGTTGAGATCTTTATAACATCTTAACTCGACAGAAAGTAGGGATGGGTGTTTAGCCGGAGGGGGCAGATGGGTGGCTGCCCCCAAAAGAGAAGTCACAGAAAGACTCGAAATAAGGAAAAGAAGAGAAGAGGGCCGGGGGCGTCCGCATTCTCGCGTCCGGGAAAACCGGTCGTCGGAGGTCGTCCGGGGTCGGAACGCTCTTCCTCCTTCCGGCGCCCCCGGGCCCCCGTCCTCCGCGACCCAGAAATGAAGTTTCTCATTCGAAGGACAGACAAACAAACAGAAGTTGACGGAAATCGGAAAAAGTTTATAATCTCGAACGCAAATTTTAATTAATCTCGTTAATTACGCTCGTTAAATTAGCGACATGGGGCGCCCGCATCGATAAGAGGGGGGACGATCGTAAACGAACTCCCTCCCCGATACGACGGACGCTAGAAACTACAGGGGGGCGGTGACGTATCCGGTCGTCTCGGTTGCCAGAATAGAAATTGTGCGTAAATTTTCTCGTAGAAGGGCTGGCGCTTTTGTTTAAAGATAAGAAAATGCCTTTGCTACCGGAGTATAAGACGAGCGAAGAGAAACCGCCATGGCGTGACGAAAGGGCGGGCGACATCGACACTACCGACGCCGTCCCACGCGCCGGTATATTACGATTCATTCACGCTTTAGGAAGAACGCCCAAAACCCTTTAACCGAATTTACGGTTTCTCCCGGAACCGGAAGTTCCTTCCTGCGTTTTTTACGGAAGGTTTCGGAACGCTTCTCCGACGATTCCGAATTCGAGTTCCGTCTCCGATGCGGACGGCCGCGCCCTCTTCTCCTTTTAAACGGGCGGAAAATCGTTTCCGGCGGAGGTCGAGGGTATCTCCGTTTCCGGTGTTTTCGGCCATCCTCCTACCCCCCATCGTCGATCCTCGTAGGTGGCCACCCGGACCGGCGCCTTCGGAGGGGGGCGGCCACGCGCGTTCGAAAGTGGCGCGTGGCGGAGACCCGAAAGTTCCGCGTAGAGGGCGTTTCTCGATTCGCTTCTTAACCTCGGCCTAGACGCGCCTTCGAAAATTCTGGTCTCGATCCCGAGATTCCCCGGAAATTAACTTTTTTGGCGGGTCGTCTCCGGTTGAATTGGGAATTGGCTTTCCAGCGGACGAAAACCGGAAGTTTCGCCGGAACGAGCCGGAAGACGACTTTAACGCCAGGGACTCTTTGCCCGAGCGGAAGAAGCGGAGGCGGCCCGCCGATGTCACCGTTCCTTCCGACGCGCGGTCTCCCGCCGGACGCGGCGGCGGCGGTCGTTCGGAGCGGAGAAGAGTACTCACCTATGTTGACCAGCTTAATGTTGTCGGCGGCCATGGCGTCCAGGGCCGTCTGCACGTTTTCCAGGTATTGATGCCTGTTGACGGGCGCCCTGATCTTCTTCAGCTCGGTCTTGCGCAGGACTTCCATCAGGGCAATGAGCTTGAGCCCGTCGGAGAAGTCGCGGGCCAGGTCGACGACGCCAGTGCCCGCGCTCCTCAGCTGTTCGTTGACCCAATTGACAAATGTCTTCTGTTGGATCTCCACCCAGACGTATTCGTCGCCTTTTATGTGCATGGCCCTGGCCGCGTGTCCCTCGGCCGACCTGGCCTTTAGCCCGACGTGGCTCACTTTGGCTTCTTCGGCCTCCATCTCCGACCGACGCTTTCGGCCCCGACCGGTTTGGGACGCACAGTCCACGTATCGGCGCCGCGCCGCGCCGCTCGACGATCGGCGCACCGATACTCCCAACACAATAGGGCCTCGGGCCCTTCGAACGCTTCTTCGACTAAAGACGAAAACGAAAAGAACACTCGCCGCTTCGATCACTAGCTCCGTCCGACTTCCTTGCTTCTGCGCTCCGTGCGGGCTCGGCCCCGAACTCGGTATAACGCCACGACCGGTAGTTCCGGTTGCCCGCCGACGCTATACCTGAGGTCGCCCGCGGCTTCCCGCGTGGAATTCGTGGTGCGCTTCCTTCCCGTTCGAAAGGCGCGCGCCGATCTCCGCGTCGCTGACGAAATTAGTCGCTCAGCTTTAAGACCCGAAGGAACATCGTCTTCCGCGTCGCGTGGACTAGCGAAAGAACGCCGAAGGAAATCCGCGCGGGCCGGGAATATTCGGAGACGGAGCTTTTACGAAACGCTCCAGCCGATTAAGGTGAGTCGAAGTTTTCGAACTCGACCGTCCTGCCATCTGGCGACGATCGCCGAAACTATCCGGCATTTTTTACACTAAATGTCAATTGCCTTCCTAGATAGCGTTTAGTTTACTCTTTTTGCACAGAAGATTGGGAAGTGTACTGTATGTGGCCAGATGTAGTATATGAGGAGCGCATGCACCTCAATGAGATTTTTGTTTGCGATTAAATTTTTATCTTTATGTACAGTACATAAATAAGTCTGTACGGCGTTTCTGCTCTCGACCTGGCAATTGCGCTGCGATGACGGGCGTATAGTGCATTTAATTTAATTTCGACGTTAGTTTCTCCAAGTGCCGCTAGATGGCTCTCATTGAGTGCAAATTAAAATTATGCCAATGAATCGCCGGGAGGGCGCTTCACTCAATTCTGCTGCGAAGGTAGGCTGCTAGCCCGCCATCACTTGTTAAATAAACAAATTATAAATAATTAATTAAATTATCGGGCTAGTTGTATTTATTATATATACACAGTACTGAATACCACGCCAGGTTTATATCTAGATGATCACTTGACTTGGTTTTCTGTACTTTAAACAAATATCTGTTTTGCTAATGTGACCAATCGTCCTCCTTTAGGGAGGACAGTCCTTCTTTTTTAAGTTTTGTCCTCTCTCGAAAAGTGTCATCCTACATGTCCTCCTTTGTGATATTTGAAGACTAATCTGTAAATCTCCGTATTCAATCAATGCCGAACCGATCCGTTGCGTGTGATGTGATATGACATGTTTGTATTTAACATGGCGATTCATCGAGGCTTTGTACAGTGCGACGAGATGCAATTATGAGATGCATGCTCTTCGCACGGGAGACCTTGAGAGAGAGAGAGAGAGAGAGAGAGAGAGCGCAAATGACTTTGTTTACTTCTTATCGAAACACGACATGGCATCTATGCATGCAGTAGAGATTATTATAGTGTATTATTGTTGCAATGAATAAAATGTTTTTTCATTTATGATATTTTTTCTTCAATTTATTAGTGTCCTCCTATTCATTGTAAAAAAAAAAAATTGGTCACCTTAGTTTTGCACGATTTATGCAATTCGAGACACAACAGGTCGTTCTATAGTAGAAGCATTAACAAATGTTATGTACTGTAATTGACACGTAGAAAAACACGCAAACAACAGAATACATACGAGAACCGCGACGAACATGATGGAACAGTGGCGCCTCAATCGGCAGTAAATTTTCCTAATCATTAAAACTATATATATATATAAAAATAGGGGTTCAGTGACCAAACTACTTAATGGCCCCGATAATGTCTTTTTCTTTCTGTTATTCTAGTGAATAATGGAGATGAAATTATTACCATTAGAATAAGAAAATAGAATATCAGTACGTCGTCTATCGATAATATTTCAGAGTTGATAAAGTAAAATTACACAAAAACAAACAAAAATATTTGCTTCTTGTCCATCTTTTTGAAATGTAATTGGTTATGAAACTTCTGTATCAGCTTCTTGTCCGAGAACTTATCACACCTTTGGGAAACGTTTTCACGTAGATATTAAAGTTCTGTAGAAAATTCTCCATGGCATTCACTACGATTCCAGCCATAGAGAATCTTCTACAGAACTGTAACTGCTTTTGGAATCTTAGAACTCTACTCGTACACTTGTCTGCAACTCATGTAGTCGCCTCTTTACTGTCTCTGCATAAACCAATGTATGGCCGTTGGTTTTTGTTAAAAATCGGACAACACTATAACGCTCTTGCTTCGCGCACATTTGGAGAGGCACGATCATTTTATCGGTCCTTTGTCTTATGTACTCGCGCATCAACACATTGCCAATTGCATTTACTTTTGCCTCTGACTTGGATGTTTCGTGTGCCAAAATTACTAACGTTATCGCTTGTCCTCCCAATTTTTAATTACATTTTACCTGTTTTCTATTGAACGTGCCTCGTAGAACGGTGTTCTCGTGCATCAAACGACGTTCGATATGACTACAGAACAAATGAGTATGCCAATAATAATTAAAAATAAAATGTTAAGTTTTATTTATCTTCGTGAATTATCAATGTAAGCTTCAAAGAAATGTTGAAAACAGTCGGGCGGAGTTAGGAGGTGGCAAAGCGCAGCTACATCTTACCTAAATCCACTCCTGACCTCTCAATTTCGAAAAATTTTGAACGATCAAAAAATGATTATTCGATGCTTAATTATTATTTAATCGTTGGATAAATTTGTTTATAACTTAACACGGCTTTTGAAAGTTATCTTCCACGTCATAAAAACAAAAAATCATTGTTATTTAGCTATTAAAACTCATCGGAAGTGAAATTCCGAAAAGGTGCAAAAAATAGCAAATATTAGATTTAAAAATTAAATTGAAAAATATAAAACGTTATTTTTAGTTGAAAGTTTTGCCGCCATTTTAAAAATTTTCCATAATTCATTGCAAATCGCCTTCTATTTCGTGCAAAGTGCGCGTGCCTCTAGAATCATCAGCTGACGGCTACGCAATCCTGCTATGTGGGGAGTCAGCACAATCGCACGTTCGATAAAATAAATCGTCACTGTTTTTTCTTCCATATTATTATTATTATTGAATACCAACGACAAACTTATAAGTCAATTCTACATTAGCACGTTTTTCTTTAATTGGTATAATTATTCTATTATAACGCTAGATAGCGCTATACAGATACTTTTCTAAAGCGCCACCGGCGGAAAACAAATATCACAATACAAAAGCGAGAAAGCAATAAATTAGTGATTAAAATTTTATTATAAATTAATTAACTTTTAATAAAAATAAATCTGACATTATTCACTGAAAACTCTACGACGTTATGCAATTCGATACTAGCCAACGCGTGTAGAAATCGATGCGCGTAAACTACTATGGGGCCATTTGAACCCGGCCTCAAAAATATTCGTTACAACATGCACCTCTAATGCACTTCTAGTCCATAATGTCTTCAGTGTAAAATAAGATACATATATTGAAAAAGTAATACAGCAAAAACAATACAGATATTCTCAATACTTTAGAAGAATAGTTTTCGACCGGATGTCTGAATGGTTAAGATGCTGCCTACCTCTATTAGAGCCCAGGATAAACCGAAAAACCGCAGGAAATTTGGTCCGTCCCTCACCACCTAGCCAACTCATTGCGAGCCTGACTGAACCCATAATGGGTTTCACTTAAACGGCTCTCTTAGTGTCTGCAAGCCGGGACTTTTTAAAAAATCTAAAGGGATCATCTAAAGAATCGCCAGGCCATTTTTCTTTTTGCAGAACCAAATTTAAACAAATTTTTCCTTTCAATCCTGTGGGTGCTAAGAAAACCCTTTTTTCGGGCTTGCAACAGGACGAGCAGAGAATTGTTGGTGACAGGTTGATGTCCTTACAATACAAACAATAAATATTATTGAAATAGACTTGATAGCGACCGCTCTGAAGTTTAGTTGACTATTTTATTTTTATTTTTTCTTTATAGCAGATATAGAATTTTATACGGTCAACATAATTAACCTAATTATATAGGTTACGTAACTATCAGCTACTTCGTTCAACAACACAAAGCACTCTTTACCGTAAAGTGCCTGGTATCTAGGCTTAAACACACTATGGCAATAGAGTTAGCAATTTATTCTGTTATAGACAGTGGTGATATTCAGCGGGTTCGCACAGGTTCGGCCGAACCCGTTGTTAACATTTTTAAAGTTTTCCGAACCCGTTGTTAAACACACGTAACATTTCTCAATGGTTTCGTTTCTTTTAAAAAATATATTAAAATATACGTATTTCATTTTTTTTATTTATATGGGTATCTTACGGTCAGTTTTTGCGCTAATATTGCTAATGCGAGCGAAAAAAATTTAAGGAAAAATTTTCTGTTAGCGAACCCTTTGTTAAATATTTCGAATATCACCACTGGTTATAGATACTCCCTTTAATAAGTTCTTTTATATTGTAAAAAGTTTAATTGGATATTTGATAGCAACAGTATAAAAATGTAGTAGAAATATGCTGAAAATGAAAAAAACATTACTTTTTACAGGTCTGCAACTAGATATTTTGCAGAGTTTGGGACATTGTAATGTCCCAAACTCTGTATAATGTAATCACTTGTACTGTATTATATTGTACTTACAATACATTTTAAGTTATGGTAATAGTACAATACATTAATTTAAAATATTGAAAAACAAATTAAATTTTTGAAATATGTAGAGATATGCAGAGATGAATTTTTATATACAAACAAAATATTGATTTTTAAAAAATATAATGTTTTTTTTTGTTTATGTATAATAGTTAAAACATTGACATGTGTTTTACAGTCAATGTTTAATTAATGTGCTGATTATTGTAAAATGTATAAAAAAATACAATGTGATTAATTAAGCATTATAAAAGTCATTGCTTATTTGCTATACAAGATGCTGTAGTGATTTATGTTGGTAACAAGTTGATTGATCAGTGCAGTCCATTCTTCAAGGAAAGCTGTTTTTAGTTCCATGATTTCTTTAAATCAGAAATTAGCACAGTGGTCTGAGGGAAAGTCTCAATTTTTCTATTACATCCAAACTCAGCCTACAACTTGTATCTACAAGTTGGTCAGATAATGAATAATAAGGATCAATAATAAACTTTAATGGCACTCACTATGGTACGGAGTCTATAGACAAGTTACAAGTCTTGTACCACAGTAAATCATAAAATATTGCATCTTGTATACACTGAAAATCCAGAGAAAGATGGTATCTGGAAAATTAAATATTAGCTGATGTGATCATCCCTAAAAATCTCAAAACTGATAAACAAGATCATTCAGATGTTAATGGAATATATACTTCAGCACATTTGATCTGAACTCTTATAACAAAAATATTGAGATGTCTAAACTTTGTCAGAGAAAATATTAGGATGTTTTCCAGGTTAATTTAGTCTAGCATCAGCACTCAAACTTATATTCTATATTATTAATTATATCTAATAGTCAAGTAGTTCAATTTTGATATAAACAATTCATTTGAATTTTAGAACATATTAAAATTTACTAATTTAGTATATACACATTTAATTTTATAAAGAAATATTAAATATAATACAAAAACTCCAAATATCATAGTAGAGTTAACCTTAAGCCTTGTTAATTTACTGCAAGAAAAAGCTGAATTATCTGGTAATCAAGAACTAACTATATGTAGGTCTTGTACACCATAACTTAGAAAAATGTGTTTGTAACTGCTCCATAAATGTGTATAATTTCAATTCCAAACATGAAGTGTTTCATTTTATATTGTATTTCATGAGCTGTATAAAGATTGTTTGGAGTGCTACTGGACTAAATTAGCCTAAGAACATTTCTAAAACAATTTTTTTCAGTTATGTTCAAGATATGTAAATATTTTATGCATTAGTACAATAATGAATTTGAGTTTTGTAAATAACTAAGGCATTTGTCCCCTCAGCAACACACATTCAAAACCAACCAACAATAATAATGTTTGGTAGCACATCTATTCAAAACAACATACACCTACCATAGAATAATTTAAGATAAGCTTTTTTTTTTTTTATAAATCATCACATTTGGCATGTTCGATATGAATGATTTTAGTTTCTATTTGCAGTCGGGTTTTCTTTCCTTTGGTGAACGAGCAGTTCGTACACAATATTAACATCCGAAATACTCATTTATTAAAAGATGAACAAGGTTCCAATTATTTTACATTAAAGCTTGACTTCATTGTAATTTCACGATTATAAAATTTATGCATACAATATAAAAAAATGAATATTAACATTCGATATATATTTATTGCTAATTTTCACTTACATTTTCACTAGATTTTTGACAATGTCAAGAGGAATGTTTTATTCTTTTTTAAACTCATTTCAGTCTTACATAATAACAATATATTTTTCACAAATACAACAGCAATATCTCTCGAGATCTTGATTACAACCAACAAAAATTTTCTAAAATTTAATTTTCCAGATATTTAGAGGAAAATCCTTTGGGTTAATATCATTCTTTCCTGCATTATAACTTCTGGAATTATGATTTTAACTTTTACATTTTCCCAATTATTGCATAATTAGGTCTAATTCTTTAATTCCTTTTTTTTGCAATGTCACCAATAAATATATATAAAAAAACTTAGTCTTCAAGATTACGGAATGCTACTCCAATAGCTTCTTGTAGAGCTTCGAAATCTTGTTTTATTTTCACTTCTCCATCCTTGACGGGATCGGCAAATTTCATACTGCTCAGCTGATGCATTATATCGCCCATAGCTTCGCGAATCATTGCCCAGGTGATTCTTTTCTCATTCTGAGAAGTTGATTCTACTGCATGACAAGCCTGATCATAGAAAGTCATCATATTTCTCAACATTCCAACCGTTTTGTAGAACGGACAAAATCTGTCATAAGCACTGTATCCGTTTTGCTGCAAGAAATCTTCTTTGATGTATCTTGCCACTTCCAATTTAATTTTGTCAACTTCAGCCAATGAAGCTTTACCTACCAATTGCACAATTTCCGACAGGTCTTCCTCCTCTTGCAAAATCTGTTGGCATTTGGTTCGAAGAGCGATAAATTCGGGAAAGTTTTTCTCATAAAAATCGTTAAGTGCAGTAGTATATTTACTGTAAGAAATCAACCAGTTTATAGAAGGGAAGTGCTTACGCTGGGCCAACTTCTTATCCAATCCCCAGAACACCTGGACAATCCCGAGTGTGGCAGACGTGACGGGATCCGAAAAGTCGCCTCCTGGTGGCGACACGGCCCCAACGATGGTGACGCTGCCCTCTCTTTCCGGATTTCCCAGGCACTTCACACGCCCGGCCCTCTCGTAGAAAGAAGCCAGACGGGCGCCCAGATAGGCGGGATATCCTGAATCCGCAGGCATCTCTGCCAGACGTCCAGAGATCTCTCTCAGGGCCTCCGCCCACCTGGAAGTCGAATCCGCCATCATGGAGACGTTGTACCCCATGTCACGGAAGTACTCGGACAGTGTGATGCCCGTGTAGATGGACGCCTCTCTGGCAGCCACCGGCATGTTGGACGTGTTGGCGACCAACGCCGTGCGCTTCATGATCGACTCCACGCAGCCGTCGATCTCGACGGTCAGCTCCGGAAAGTCCTGCAATACCTCAGACATCTCGTTTCCTCTCTCCCCGCACCCAACGTAGATGATCACGTCACTGTTGGAATACTTAGACAGCGACTGGGAGATGACGGTCTTCCCACAACCGAAAGCTCCGGGAATGGCGGTGGTGCCGCCCTGCACACAGGGGAAGAGCGAATCCAGGACTCTCTGTCCGGTCAACAAGGGAAAGTTGGCCGCCAGCTTCTCGGTCACAGGTCTCATCTGCCGGACCGGCCAGACTTGCAGCATGGTGTACTGAGACTTCTCTCCGTCGAATTCGGTCTCCAGCACCACGTCCGTCACATCATAGCTACCAGCCTCGGCAACATAGGTGACTTTTCCCTTTGACTTGGGAGGGAGCATTATCTTATGCTTTATCAGAGTGTTTTCCTGAACGATTCCATAAATATCACCACCGGTGATGTGGCTCCCCACTCTCACGTTAGTGGGCATGAAATCCCACTTAGCAACCTTACTGAGGGCGGGGATGTTGATACCCTTTGGAATGTAAATAGACTCGGTCTTCACGTTTATGTCTTTGAGAGGTCGCTGGATACCATCAAAGATACTCCCCATAATCCCGGGACCTAGTTCGACAGAAAGAGGCTTACCGGTTCTCAACACGGGATCTCCGACGGTCACACCCGAAGTCTCCTCGTAGACTTGAATAGTCGCCATATCACCTTCCAATCTAATAATTTCTCCGACCAGAGAATCATGTCCGACTCGAACCAATTCGTACATGGCCGCTCCGGCCATCTTTTCGGCAGTAACCACGGGTCCGGAGACGCCGAACACGTAGCCGAATTTAGATTCTTTCTCCACATCTTGAAATCGCTTGAGTTTCCCGTCGGTGGCATCCATCGTTTCGGATCTCGTGACTGACGACCTTCTCTATCTCACGATATATACGACGGTTCGCCGGCGCGACGACAGGGCGCGCCCCGATCGTCACATATTAACCGTTTATTAGTTAATTTGGGAATAAAATGTCGAAGTATTTATATCTTTGATTGTTTTAAAACGTAAAGATTTTCCTGAAAATTTTGTAAAAATTAACGCGGATTTCTATTTTGCCGAAACGCGCTCTTAAAATAATTTATGCGACGATGAACTCAAAATCGCGCCACCTGGAAAACGGGGTCGATTTTATTCACGACAGAAACATTTTATTTTTCGTCTTTTCCCATTCGTCGAAAGATCCGAAAATTTGTCCTCTTTATCAAAACTCAGAAAGAAAAACCTACTTTAAGGATTTTGCAATAAGTCAATGATAAATACTGTATTATTTTAAAGTTTATTTTTGACTCACTGCCCTGTGAACACCAAGAGGACCTTTTTAATCATACCCAATTAACTAGGTACACAACGAGGGCAGCCGGATAGTGAGAGACACGCTCCGAAATATCCGACAAACCACCCCATAAAATTCCTGGACGTTTTCGACCGCTCGGATTCGATTCCGGACTCCCCAGAGCGGTAGGCCGACATCTAACCGCACCGGCCGGTCTTCAACTTTAGTTATTAAACATATGCATAAAAAAAGAATATTTAAGAGAAATTTTGTGCATAATCTTCCATCAACTGAACGAACCCAACCATTTATTCGATTAAGAAAGAAGCATTCAGTATGATTTTGTAAAGGTATTAAATCGCACAAGTTTAAGCGATGACGTAGTTACTTTGTTGCCGATCGAACGGAACGAATGACGTAATCGATCACGCTCTATCAGAAGCGTACAACCCCTTCGTAATGGAAGACGGAGACAAGCTACGCTATACTGCAACTGTAAACAATAAATAATTCCAATCGAAAAAGTGTTTAAAACTCTAAGGCGATATCTACATATTCGCTGACAAATAAATGCGTTCCATCCAACACAGGATAATAATTCGGCGGCCATTTTGGTCCGCGTTGACAAACGCGTTACGCGTAGACGTTGAATATTTTCTAATAGCGATAATAAACAGTAAAAATTGCGTTCGTAGTCGAGTTTTGCATATCGTGTGCCTATCGAATTACTCATTTTTTTCTCGTTAATTATAATCGAAAATGGTTTATCGCAATGAATAAGTTCTATAAATAAATTTATTTGATTATCTGACACGACGCGATGCGACATGTCGCGCCGCGTAGGAAACGACGAAACCTAACAGCGTTTACTTTCAAATGAGAAATTTAAATTGCAAAAATTAAAATCTAATTAATTATTCGTTTCTAAACTTTTAAAAAATATTTTTTATTGTCCTATTTAGTATTAGATTAATTATTTCAAAGAATAAAAGCATCCTTTCGTATCCAATCTACATTCCCGGAAGTTACGTTTCTCAACTTCCTGAGTGACGTCACAACAGTCGGTGTTTAGCAGTTATACAGACCGACTTTATTTTATTTAATAGTAAACTTTATTATTAAATAACATCCCGCACATGTTACATTAAACAGTGAATTCCGTAAAAACACTAAAACAGAAAACACGAGTTACTCATAACACAGCGTAATAAATCGAAGTCACGTGCCTTTCAAATACAAAACCTCGAAGAATGTTCTCTACTCCTATTTTAAGCATCATCACCAGATGCGAATTAAACATTTAATTCTTTCAAAAAAAAAAAAAAAAAAATCGATCGCGATCGATTAATTCTGCGAAAATGAAGAATTGTGAAAGCCTTACTCGAATAGGCTGCTTTTGATAATCATAAATGAGTTAGGAATATAGTAAAAATGAAGATAAACCGCATATTGACTGATTTAGAGTCTAATCTACACTTGTGGCCCTAAATATACAAGAGGCCCTTCCTCCTCGATCGAATGGGCAATAATGTATAAGCTGTCTTTGAAAATAGAACAAGGCCCTAAACTATGGCTTATTTACCTTATATGTGAATTCCATTCTAGATACAAGGATGTAAGGGTACACAGAGACATTAACACATTCTTCAAAAGAAAACATTTATTTTCAATTAGTCAATTATAATAATATTGACTATAATATTGTTTTATATATTTACATTTATATTATTTAAAATAATCAAAGTTAAGATTCATAACTTAGTTTTTCTAACTCTCTTCGTCTAATACGAAAATGGTTCCATCCTTCGGTTTCGGATATATTTTCCGCTCCCCTGTTCTTGTAGAACGATATTGCCGAATTATTCCAGTCGAAGACTGCAAAATCCAACCTGGCACATCCGGATTCTACCCCGATCTGAAATGAATAATTTACTTACGTGATTTCCACGATCAATGCATCAGAAAAATTTCATTTATATAACAGAAAAGAAACAACAAATAAATTTTTTAATTAATTTGGATTTTCCATTTCCTATGTTATGTTTACAATATTGCTAGACAGATACATGAACAGTTCATGTATCTGTCTAGCAAATTATTTGGATTGTTTCCTATAATTTACAGATAATTAGGTTAATAAATTTGTTTATAATTAAAAGAATTTGCTGTTATAGCTAGGCATGTTACCATCTTTACGATTTTAATGATTGTTTAATTATGAAATGTAGGAATATATAGTTCAAAGCACTTACATATGTAATCCTCACTTAACATTATCAGTATGTATATTGTCAACTATGGCATTTTGGGAAATGAAAAAGCCGACCTNAAAAAAAATGGCAATTAAAAGTTGTAGATTCCTTTTAAATATGTTCTGATTTACACACACAACAATGGAGCAGCATATTTTATCTAGAAATTGATAAAAGCATTTTTTTATTTATTCTACTCTCTTTGCTACTCTCTGAGCACTAAGAGAACCTCTAAATATGCCATTAATTAAGAGTTTTGGTTAGATTTGTACAGGACGAGAAATGGGTACCAACACATCTAGACTAAATTGCCTGTAAATACTGTATTTTGAAAATCCAATCAGGATTAAAGTATAGACACATGCCTTAGCCACCTCAGTCATAAGAACATATACAGGGTGTCTGCTTAAACATTTATTGAGGGGCAAAAGAGATCTTTCCAATATTGCACGAGTGTATGCATGTGCTGCATGCTTGTTTCAGTGCTAAATAACTGAAAGGAATCAATTTAAGATTATTTACAATAATATACAAATAATCTTTGTAAAGAAAACATTACAAGAATTGATACACATAAGAGCTTTATTTTGTTAAAAAATATGTTCAAAATGACCACCTTCTATAGCAATACAGAGATGCAGATGATTGACCATGTGTTATGGATGGCTCATGGTGGGCTGTGTTGTCCAGCATTTGCCAAACTGGTCTGCAAGCCACTGATGCACATCTGTCCAAGAATGAAGTGGCATGGTATCAAACTGATGTAGTCATGCCAATGGCAAGTTACCTAGTTGTTAATCCATTGTTGTGCTTAGTATGTCCAGATATCAGTCACTGTTCAGGGTGCCATCAATGAATACAGAACCAAGAGGCTGTTCACCCCAAATTTAATATCAGACATTAAGGGTATCATTCCAGGAACAATGCCTCATCAGTTTATAAAATATTCTAAAAGAATTGTGCTTCATTATGCTGTAAATTTATCATCATGATACATCACCACCACAATGCCTTGTCAATCACTTTCTTGACAGTGAAGATCCTCATTGCATGTTATGACCAGCAAGGTCTCTGGAATAAATTAATACTTGTGCATGACAATTAAAGGGTCCATTGTGCACTCCCAAGGACCAAACCTAAAACAGTCTTGTAATGTCAATTACTGATATAATTACTTCTGAATTTTGTGTGAAATTGAAAAAGTAATTTATCAGTTTTTTCTTTTTAATTGATTTGTTACTTAAAAATATGACAACAAAATTTAGAATGTTTAAGACAGGAATTATTCAAATTCAAAATTACTTCCATCTCTACATTGAATAAAGTCTATAGAATTGAATAATTTCATTCATTATGATGTAAATGTAAAGATCTTACGTCATAATTTTAAAATTATACTAAACCATTTAGTTATGCATCATATAAATACATGGGCATCCACAAAAAATTTTCTAGGGGGGACAAAGTCCAAATATAAATAATATATTGATGAATTTTTATTTAATTATTTAATTTTGAGGTTTTTCACAAGTAGATTATAGAATACAGTATTGCTTCAAAGCATCCCATAATCAAAGGTGAAACGTTATGTATCTTAATCATTTTGCAATTATAATTGTAGAATTTTTTACTCAATCTCAGGGAGAGGGCAAGTGCCCCGTTTGTCTCTGTGCTCTGTGAATGTCCACGTAGACATGTGATACTATTCCATGTTATAAACTGTGCAGTTAACAGTAAAAAATCTAGATATTGTAGTAACACTTGAAAAACTTGTATCACATTCAGTTCTAAAAATTAATAAACTATAACCACTCTCAAACATTTACCAGCAAAATTATTATTTACTGTTCTAACATTTTTGGCTTTTTAACCAGCCTTCTTCAGAATACACCAAACAGAACAGAATATAGAAAGGAATATATCAGTTTAATTTGAATATAGACTGTAAAACTTTAGAAACAAATGCACATTCATGGCAAAACAGTTTCACAATCAACTTACAACTTGTTTTCATAGTTTGTTAATATACATCTAACTAGTAAATTAGCTTACTTTTTATAGACCAAAAATAATCTTGGTAGTTTGTTTAGCTTATATTTAATTCCTTCAAGTGAAACATAAACTTTGGTGGCAACACTAATGATACTGAGGGAGAGAAGGATGCCACTGGAGTGGAGAGACATATCAGTGAATGAGAAAAATATTATACATCTTTGCTAAAGATATATAATATTTTTTTTTATTGTACGAAATGTAGTTCAGGGTAAAAACATGAGCATTTTCTAAAAGATATTTTTACTTAAACTCTAAACTAGCTGTAACAGGTGTTATAAAGTTAATATTTAAATATTCTCTCTCTTTATACCATCTGCTAAATCTACAAACTGGTTTATACCTGTACGTAAAAACAGAGATTTTAATGCCACCCAAATACAACAAAAAATATTTTGATAATTTCTAGACACTTAACATTTGAGCTAAGCTGAATATGATTTTCATACAAATTGTTACAGCTAATTACATTTGAGTAATGTAGAATTTAAATATAAAACTTATGATTTTCTAATTTGCATTTTAATTGCTTAAGTTATAGGTGAATTATTTCAGTCATTGCTGTGAAAGAAATTAGCATCATCTATATATTGATATAATGTTTTATCACAAGAGTTTCCTCCTAATATTTGTATATTTTTAACTATAAAGTAACACACACATGTTAAAATTAGAAAATTATATAATGCTGTTCAACTGTAGATATTATGACTTTGTTTGCAAAACTGAATCACTATAGAATTTTGTAATAATATGGATTGTAGGATTAATGGAATAAGGCAATGCAATGCATAGTGATCTGCCAAGAAAGAAATATCTCACGGGAGGACTTTCTATGGAAAACTCGTTGCTATTTAGGTGTTAGAAATGTGTAAAAAACCTATAAAATTCCATGTGGCAAGGTGATGTGAAATTACCAGTGTTCAGTAACAGTAGTTTGATATAGTAAGCCACTAAATAGAATATAGGGCTTTAATCTGTTGTTGATTACCTGTGATGACCTGTTCTTATATTTCTTGCATAATATTTAATTTTTGTATTTTTATCAGGTAGGTGTAAATGTTATTATTATTATTATTTTGTTTAGTTAGTTTGTGTAAAAAATTCCATTTTAAAAACAATATTTATCTTTACTATTATGGCACCAAGTCATCACTGTTTGGTCACTGGTTTTTGTTTATTTAATTATTGTATATGGGAGATGGAGAATAACAAAGCCTCTTCTATATGACTTATAGAATTTTGTTTGTTCTCAAAATTTGATTGATTGATTTTAGTTAGACTTTGCAATTTTCCATTAATTGCAATGAGGTAAAAAATGTGAGTCCATGACTTCATTTTTGAGACACAGTGATAATGAATGTCCTTGCTCCCTGACACAACTGAGTGGACCTAACGGAATTTAGAGGCAAAAATAAAAAATGAAAAAATGAGTGCCAAAAACAAACAAAATGCAAGAACAAAGTAATTGATGCCAAACAAATATGAGGATTGCCTGTCCTTTCCTGGCATTGCAAAAATTGGCTCTCTGTGGCCAGTAAGTGTAGGAATTGCCTTCTCATGTTACCAGCAACCATTTTCTTCTGATCAAACACACTTTCTCTTTCTTTATTACTCTCATACCCTTATGTACAGTACTGTACACATTTAAATATGTGTCAGCACTCAGGTTAGATTGAAAGATAATTTTTATGTACTAATACTAATTTAAAAATTTTTAATTACAAAAATGCAAGTTCCAATGTTGCACAGTATATATCTTAAACCTGATTTCAATTTCAGGATAAATCTGTAAATCCTTTGTAAAACCACAGCCCAAGTGTAAGAAATACTGACTTTCAAAACCATCACATAATCTGTTTCCCAAGTGGCTACCAGTTGGAAAGAAGGGAGAAAGAGATTAAGTCAAAATGCCGTTGTTGACAGAAAAATGATTTACAATTAACAAATGTTGAAAACCAGAAAGATGATTTTGACAACTGCTGGACTAATTTTTGAGGTTAGTGAGGTTTTATTTTATTTAATAAGTCATCCAGTTGAAATTTAAACTGTTTTAAGCATTTAAACATTAATAAAAACATGACTACGTTGCTCAAAAAAAACATTGCAGCAATGTTTGGAATTCCTGTGAGTAGTTTATCAACCATAATAATAAATTGTGAATCAATTTTTAAATTAGCTGATGATGCAAGACCTATGTCAAAACATGTTAGAATCTGTGTTTACATCAATATAGATGAAGCAGTTTTAAAGATCTTAATAAGTGTGGACCTGTGAAGCATATTACAAAGAGAGAACATTTTTTAATTTTTCTGTGCAATAAAAAATTATAGATTTTGTTTTTCAAAAACATAGTTAAACTAATTTGTAAGTATTTTAACACATAAATGTAAACTTACTTAAAATTGCATTTATATTACATTATTACTGTATATTGTTTGTAATTTTTGTTGGTGAAGTTGGATAAACTGAGCTAGCAAGGATGTAAACAGGAGATGGATGAAACTTTTATACGTCTTTATTCTACAAAGAGCTACAGACACACTGGAAGTTAGAAAAATAGCAATAATTCAGAGGGTCATAGGCAACGAGAAAAAATAAACAGTGTCAT